CTACTACTACTACTACTACTACTACTACTACTACTACTACTACTACTACTACTACTACTACTACTACTACTACTACTACTACTACTACTACTACTGCTGCTGCTGCTGCTGCTGCTGGCCTGTCTATGATACGTCGGTTCGTCCTTCCCTATCGTGTTGTGTAGCTGTAGTTTGATCCGTGGAGGGATGAGGCACGGGTAATCGATTATAAGGTAGGTATAGGAGGGTAAGGGTAACACATACACAGATTCGACGCCAAGCTTCTTTGGGCGTAAATCTTATTCTTATTACACAGCGTGTGTAGGTGTATATATAGTATTGAACACATAAGGAGGGTAGAACAGACTGGCGGCATTATTCTTTCTCCTACAACTTTGACAACAATAGAAATCATGCATTACAATGCATTGCAATACGATACGATACGACATGACAAGATATGATACACGTCCACGTCCACGTCCACGTATACGATGCATTACATTTACAAGACAGGTCTACGTATACAACGACAACAACAACAACAACAACACACAATCACATACAGTACAATACAATACAAGAAGAAGAAGAAGAAGAAGAAGAAGAAGGAATCCCCCCTCCACCCCAAACCCCAAACCCCAAAAGCGTTCCTGTCTATATCATCATCTTCATCTTCATCTTCATTGCATCTTCTTGCCCGACCCATTTACCCCCTTGACCCCCGCCCCCGTTGCCGCCTTCTTCTTCGTTCCCCTCACACTGACCGTTTCGGTGCCGGGGGGCACTTTGAGCCCGCCAAAGACGACGGCGCAGACGGCGACCATGCCGGCGCCGCCGATGCTGTATGCCGTCTCGCGGCCGGCCCACCAGTAGAGGGAGCAGAAGAGCAAGGGTCCGATGGAGCGGCCGATTTGGCCTATTTTTATAGCATCATGTTAGCTTGTGTTTCTGTGTGTGTATGCGGTGGGAGGGGGGATTGTGGGCGCGAAAAAGGGAGGGGAGAGAAACAAAGAACAACGTACCGAAGCTGCGGTGATTGCCTAGCTTCGCGCCGCGCTCGCCGGCCTGGGCCTCGAAGCTGCTTAGACTGTTCAGGCCGGTGACGACGGTGGCGCTGGTGACGGCGAGCAAGGCGGCGGCGGCGTAGAGGGCGCGCTCGGAGGCGACGCGGCCGAGCATGAAGAAGGCGATGCTTGCGCTGACGACGCCGAGCTGGACGACGCGGAGTGGGTGCATGCGGCGCGTGACGGCGCCCTGGAGCACCGAGGCCACGAGGCCGATGAAGCCGAGCAGTTTGCCCGAGTCCTTGGCGGCGTAGCTGAAGAGGTCGTAGGTCATGAAGGGGAGGGAGAATTCCATGCCGGAGAAGAAGAGGATGAAGAAGAAGTGGGTGAAGTTGAGGAGGAGGTGGGAGTTTGTGCGGACGAGGAGGGGGCGCGGGTTTGTGGTTGGGCCGTTTGCCGTGGGGTTTTTGTTGTTGGTTTTGTCGTCGTCGTCGTCGTCGTCTTTGCGCTCTTTGCTGCTGCTGCTGCTGGCGACGACGATCGGGAGCGTTTCCGGGAGGCTGTGGTATAGGTAGATTGTTTCGGTGACGATGAGGAAGAGGCTGAAGCCCGCGGCGGTCGCAAAGGGGTTCGCCGCGACGGTCGTGATGTTCGAGAGCCATGCCCCTAGCGCCGGCCCGAATGTGAATGCGATGCTGAAGCATGCTCCCACCAGTGCCATTGTCGCGCCGCGCTGCGTCTCGTCGCTGATGTCCGTTGCAATCGCCAGGGCAAGCTGGACGTTGCCCTCGCTCAGGCCACCGACCACTCTGCTTGCCAGAAAGGTGCGGAAATCCGTCGCCGCCACCCACAGCGCCACCGAGGCAATGTTGCCGCACATGCTCCAGAGCAGCGCCGTGCGGCGACCATATTTGTCGCTCAGCCGGCCGATGATGGGCGAGGCGATTGCCTGCAGGAAGGAGAACAGCGAGCCGAGCGCGCCGCCCAGAAGCACAATGTCATAGCGCGAAGATATCGGCTTTGCAAACGAGTTCTTGTACGTATTGAGGGCGTCCAGGACCGAGTTGAGGACGGACGTGGAGCCGGCGGACGTCTCGGTCTCGCGGTAGAACTCGAGGAGTTTGGGGAAGAGCGGGAGAATGAAGGTGAAGGAGATCTGCGAGATAAAAAAAAAAGTCTTGGATTAGCTCGTGCTTGGACTGGGAGCAGGGAAGTGAATGACATGGATGGTCGTACGAGATCGAGTAGGAGTGATATGAAGAGCACGCGCAAGACCCGCTTGCGAGTGGCCTTTGCTTCCGGGGACGTGGAGTCCATCATCCTAAGCTCTTCCGTATGCGCGAGTCGAGGAGCCGCAGAATGAGTGACCTGGTTGATATGTTGCTTTGCCAAAGCACAGACGAAGTGTGGTCTATGAAAGGTGATATACAGTCGGGTGGGTTATGGAAGAGGACAAGTTGCAGGAATGTGTCGTTAGAAATACAGGGCCCGACGAGTGGGCAGCAGACGGAAAGCTAAGTCAAGCTAAAAGAACGCGTCAAAGGGCGTCATTAGGAGAATTAATACGACGATGATGAGGATGAGGTTTAATAATGGAAGACACGGCAGTGGAGGCATCCGAGGCGCTTTAGTAGCTTTAGCGTTGTGCTGTTCTTCCGATTGTGGCTAGTGCACCATCCCCGCAATCGGAGAAAGTGAATGTGGCTGTGGCTGTAATTGTTCCCGAACGATCTCTTCCCGACGAAGATCGGTCACTCCTTAAAATCGGGGCTTGTCCTGCTTAGTGGCCCGGTCCGTACGAGCTTACTTTTGTTGATGCTGTTGGTCTTACTCATGCTTATTTACTTCTTGAGACTTCTTGCGACGTTTCATCGCTAAACGACGTTTCGAAACGTGGAAGATCGGATCCCTCCTTTGATGCAGATGATACGAGTCTTTTCTTCAGCTTATGGCATCATGTTGTTTCAACAGGGTCCCAACAGCACATTTGAGCTTCTGAGTTCTCCTAGGTTCATGATCAGGCAATGAACACCGATAATCGAATTACAAGCAGTGTTCTGCCGGTCTGTTACATGGATGTGTCTTTCTTGCAACCAGTCATGCTTGTTGTGCCCGCACAAACCAGCCCATAGTAGACAGGTCCTGCAGCCTTGAAGGATCAATAGATTGATTATATGCATAATCTGATGGTATATCAGAGGACAGTTCATGAATCAAGTACCACTTTCGCAGCCAAACAGACAGAATGCTATCAGTCTCCCCATTCTTCGACTACTCGTCCCATCACTGCGACAACTTCTACTCTTATTATTGTCCGATCATGACCTGACAAGCATTTAATCGCTGCAGCAGGATCAGATTTCCACCAACGCTGATACACAGCAATACCGCCAGAAGCAGTGCCACGCATGATTGTGGCGACTGTACACGTTTGTTATATGTACGCCACTGCGCCCTGTCGTCGTCCTTTTCCTCATAGTCCACCAAGCTGTATGTGTGACTGCATGCGGAAGGGGCGTGGTAAGTGTTTTGGTCAGGTTGACTTTCCATTGTCCGACGAGATGAGGTTTAGATTAGGTGTTCGAAGACGGGATGAATGGTGCTCGTGATGGTCAATAAGTATGATGCTGCTGAGAATGCCGAGAAGATTTTGGTCCAGGTAATCTGCGTAGTCAAAGACGTCACTTTTATCTTCGTCTTACGCTCGTGCTAATCCATACACATTGTATTCGCCATGAACAAAGACCAAGATCCTGAATTGAACTTTGTCTAGGCGCAATGTGTATCAACACCATTGTCTCTCATCCGAGACTAACAATGTGCTGCTACTTCGACTGCCTAAATGACACTGGAAGAAAGTGCTGCAAGGCGATTTGCATCAATAGAAAGAGTGGTCTACTAGTCCAAATCAGGTTAGACAGACACTTTGGCCAGACGCGTGCCGGTCGCGTCAACCTCATTGCGAAATGTAGGCGGTCCTGCGCCCAACTGCACAACCACTGTTGTTTTCACAGTACCTACTTCGACTCTCACTCCAGTATGTCGGACTACGAGGATGACATGGACATTGATGCGCCCGCGAGCAAAGGCGACATCGAGTTCAGCTCTGGCAGCGCAGTGAAGGGAAAGCGGAGTGCCGCTAACTTGCCCGTCGAGGCCGAGGACTCTCTACCATGGTATGTGTCTGGGTAAGACCTAACACATCGAGACTAATAGATACAGGGTTGAGAAATACCGACCAAACACCCTGGACGATGTCTCGGGTCACCAAGATATTCTGACTACGATCAATAAATTCGTCGACTCCAACGTACGAGCTTTCCTCGACCAATCTTTCCATGCTAATTGAGGTCAGCGACTCCCTCACCTTCTTCTTTACGGTCCCCCTGGTACTGGCAAGACTTCCACAGTTCTAGCCTTAGCACGACGAATATATGGCAACAAGAATATGAGGCAGATGGTGCTAGAACTCAACGCCAGTGACGATAGAGGTATCGACGTTGTTAGGTATGAGTTCCAACGCTTGCATGGGACATCAGCTAATCACTGGAACAGGGAGCAAATCAAGACTTTCAGTAGCACAAAACAGATATTCTCAATGACCGCCTCGAGTCATTCGTCCGCGATAGCCTCCTACAAGCTCATCATTCTCGATGAGGCCGACGCCATGACCTCAACAGCCCAGATGGCTCTAAGACGAATCATGGAGAAATACACTGCGAACACTCGATTCTGCATCATTGCCAATTACACGCACAAGCTGTCCCCCGCGCTCCTGTCGCGATGTACCAGGTTTCGCTTCAGCCCCCTGAAAGAGCCAGATATTCGGCGGCTAGTGGACAAGGTTATAGATGAAGAGGACATCAGGATCGAAGCACCAGCCGTAGAAAGCCTTGTCCGACTGAGTAAAGGAGACATGCGAAGGGCCTTGAATGTACTTCAAGCATGTCATGCGAGCAGTACGCCCCTACGAGCCCCCGGAGAACCCAAACCGGACCCCAAGACTATCGAAAGAGATCTCATCACCGAGACTACGATATACGACTGTATTGCCGCGCCGCATCCCGAAGACATAAAATCAATAAGGGAGCTTCTACTGAATACTTCAGATGTGAAAGCCTGTCTGCTGAAGATCAGTCGACTAAAGGCGAACAAAGGTCTAGCACTTGCCGACATCTTGACCGCGCTAGGCGATGACTTGTCGAAGTGGGAAGTACCGCCTCAAACTAGAGTCGCCTGGATAGAGGGTCTGTCCGAAATTGAATATAGATTAAGCGGCGGCGGGAATGAGACAGTACAAACGGGCGCAGTCATAGGCGTGGTTAGGACAGGGGTAGAACTGATGGACCAGAAAGGCAAAAAATAAAATATACTTAGTAATGACAAGACTATGATGACTACTTAAGATATATCGCGAGTACTGTGACCGGTGTGCAAACCATGGAACCTGAGCTTCACGACTGTTGGTGATCGGAGGCTCGTTTAATCAAGCATGGATATAATATAGGTTGTTCAGTCTAGGAGCAGAGCAGTTCCTGGAATTCATTTAGGTACTGCATCCATGTGCTACAGATGGGTAAAAGGCCCCACTCACCCCACACTAACGCAGGTAGATCGCGGGAGCTTGGACCCTTCTAATGTTCGAAGGTTAGCACTGCATTCAACCTCAGCGCCTGCAAGAGGCATACATCTCTGTCATAGTCAAGAACAACATTTTTCAACACTAACGCTCGACCGAAGTCCAGTTGGCCCATTCCGCTCACAGTTCACAAGCGTAGGCAACCAGCATCATGGATATCGTCCAGGCCGTCTCTAGCTACATCACGAAAATGGTGTCGGTTGGAGACAGCGCAACCGGCACCGCGGGCGCGAAGATGAAGATACTTTTGTTAGACAATGAGACTGTGGGTTTGTCGCTCGTAATCTATTTACTAATGTTGATGCTGACATGTTCGCAGGTGTCCATCGTCTCGACCGCGACAACTCAATCCGCACTTCTCAATCATGAGGTGTATCTGACCGAGTAAATCGTCTCTTCCTACAATACACATGGCGCATGACACCTGACAAGTCCAGTCGACTCGAGAACCAGAATCGTGAGAAGATGCGCCATCTGCGCTGTCTATGCTTTGTCCGCCCTTCCTCGGGCTCTATACAAGCATTGATAGAAGAGCTGCGAGAGCCAAAGTATGGCGAATATCACATTTGTACGCATCAGAACTGCTGCCATGCGCACTCACCATGCTGAATCGTGTAGATTTCAGTAATATAATCAAGAAGTCAGCCTTGGAACGATTGGCCGAAGCAGACGATCACGAGGTTGTCCGAGCTGTGCAAGAGTATTTCGCCGACTTTCTCGTCATAAACCCGGATCTTTTCTCGCTCAACATCGCCTATCCCATGAATAGAATATGGTCTAGCTCTCCAGATCAGTGGAACACGGACACTCTACAACGATCTACCGAAGGCGTGCTGGCCTTGTTATTGTCGCTCAAGAAGAAACCTCTGATTCGATATCAGAAGAACAGTCCTCTGTCGAAGAAATTGGCCACTGAAGTGCGCTACAACATGACTCAAGAAGATCAGCTCTTTGACTTCAGGAAGACTGATACACCACCAATACTTTTGATAGTGGATCGCAGAGATGATCCAGTAACACCGTTGTTAACACAATGGACGTACCAGGCAATGGTTCACGAGCTCATGGGCATACATAACGGTAGGGTGAGCCTGGCCGATGTTCCCGATATACGACCAGAACTCAACGTAAGTCTGAAATAGCGTACTACTGGGCTTCCTAACATGGACAGGAAATTGTCCTCGCGCAAGATCAGGACCCGTTCTTCAAGAAGAACATGTATCTCAACTTCGGAGACCTAGGGCAGAATGCAAAAGACTACGTAGAACAATTCGCATCGAAAAGTCAAGGTAACCACAAACTTGACTCAATAGCGGATATGAAGCGATTCATCGAAGATTATCCGGAATTCCGAAAACTTTCGGGAAATGTAACAAAACATGTCACGCTCGTCGGTGAGCTGTCCCGGCGGGTTGGCGTGGATAATCTCCTGGACGTCAGCGAGCTGGAGCAAAGTTTAGCCTGTAATGACAACCACAACAACGACCTAAAGACCTTACAAAGTCTCATCCAAAATCCCACGATACCCCCCGACAACAAACTTCGTTTGACGGCAATCTATGCTTTACGCTATGTTAAACACCCTTCTAATTCAACACCGATGCTTCTAGACCTCCTCTCTGTCGCCGGGAACCTCTCGAAACAACGTATAGCCGTCATTTCCAAGCTCCTCACCTACCACAACTCTCTACAAAATATCGCAGCAACGGGAGGATCCGGTCTTCCCGATTTATTTCAGTCCTCGTCGTTGTTCTCTGGAGCGCGAGATCGCTTCAAGGGATTAAAAGGTGTCGAGAATGTCTATACACAACACTCGCCGCGTCTCGAAACGATATTGCAGGATTTAATCAAAGGACGCCTGCGAGAGAATATCTATCCTTTCGTTGAGGGCGGAGGGATGACCCGCGATAAGCCACAAGACATTGTCATCTTCATGGTTGGAGGTACAACATATGAGGAGGCAAAGATGGTAGCCCAGGTCAATGCAAGCAGCCCTGGAGTTCGTGTTGTCATCGGTGGGACAACGATTCACAATAGCACGACGTTTTTACAAGAGGTCGAGGACGCCGTTGAGACTTGGCCGGAGCCTGGACCACAGACTGCGGAGGCGCGGTTGAGGAGAGAGATTGGGCGATGATTAGCTGTACGATACCCGAAGTGTCTGAGCGAAGCAGCTGTCACTAAACCAAATCTTTACTACGAAGTATGACCATCTCGTAACGCTCAAGCACCGTCGCAATATAACCACTGCTCTTGGTCTCGATGTCGCTCTTTATATTCTTCCAACGAGGTGAGGCTCATCTTCAGCTCTCTGATTGTGATCTGATGAGATTTGCTTTTGAAGAAGTGATCATGAACAGTACCACAAGCATGCGATTTTGGCTCAGCCAGGAACGTCACATCCAAATTACAGTGCAAATGTGTAGGATCTGTTCTAGTACTGCACCTTGCCTTGCACCTCTTGCATCAGGGCATATGAACAATCACAGCAAACGCATCTGTAGCTCTTCTCTAACATCAGGGGGTCAGCATAATTAAGCTGTTCTCACATACCAGAGAAGGAGTGAGGCTTTCAATTACCTCATCGCTTTCCCTCATTTCAGCCAATCTCTACATGGGCCATCTCGGTTAATCGCTTCTTGGCTCTAGAGAAGTTCCTCTACTCCTGTCTCCTCTCTTGCGTCTTATATTCTACGTCAGTCATGCTCAACACACGTAAGGCACATGGAGATAACACGAAGTTCCAAGGCCGGAACCTCTATCTGCAAATGAGGCTGAAACGTGCGACTTGCATAAGTAGGACAAACAAGCCTCAAATAATAGAATTCATATCAACGGCGATACGGCATGCCCTTCGTGCACGCCGTTCTAGGCACCGATGGCTCTAGCGCGTTAATAACCACACTCCAAATCCACGTATCATACGCCATCCCAATATGTCCAACCGGATCATCAGGACAAAAGTCTTGCACAACAACATTGTTGACTCCCGGCTCGTCCACCCTCGATGTGTTATACGGCGTTACCAAGCCATCCTTTGTCGAGATGATAATCGTATATTCGACACCATCCTGCGCAATCGGCGTTCCATCATTCAGCCGCGCAATCGCAGCTCCATCCGGCCCCAGATCATCACACGCCGCACACCCAACCGTCTTCAGAATCGTCCCCACAAGCTCACGCGTGAGCTTGCCACCAACATACGCCAGATCATACAAATTCCCAAAATCGGTACCGTGCGTCGGCGGCGCAAGCGCAACTACACTCCCCACCAAGCCCGCCAGTCCACCAAACTTGGCCGTGTACAAGGCCTGAAACGCGCCTTCGGAATGACCGACGATGTCGACTTTCGCGGCGCCTGTCTTCTGCGCGACGGTCCTTATGAATGCTGCGATCTCCTGGGATGACTGTGCGATGGGCTGCAGGCCGCCGACGAAGGGGAACGCCGGGTAGTCGCCGTATGTGAGGGCGTAGGTGCAGAATCCGCGCTGCTGCATATGTGTTTGGAGCACATTTAGGTCCTCGTCCTTGGTAGCGCCGAGACCGTGCAGGAAGACGACTGGGTTTGCGTGTGTGGCGCGGCAGGCGTAGTTGTTGGAGCCTGGGGCGGGATAGACGCCGACTTGTTGTCTTGGGGCAAGGGGTTTGGTCGGTATGGCGTTTACGGTCATGGAGAGGGTGCTGAGGAGGAGTGTGAGGATCATGGTGATTGCCATCATTTCTACGGTGACGCTGGGGTCAGACGGCCACGGTGAATTGGGGTTTGTTTTGAGGACCCAAAGATATCAATCTAAATAGAGATTGGCCAGGTCTTACACCAGGTAGGTCAATGTGTAGTAAGGTAGTGTATATATACTTATAAAAAAACCGTGTGTAACAATGTAGAGCATAAAAATAAAAATCGACGGTTGCTGCATTTGGCCTGTGGTCAACGGCTGAACAGCCATTACAAGTCCGCCTTTCCACTATTGGCACGGGTTCGCGGATGCCCGCACGAATAACATTAGCTGCCACGCCGGGTGGCTTTCGAAGCCTTGGATAATACCGCCACAGTTACCAATCGACAGTTCCGGCTTACGGTTTATGGATGCTTAATATAGGGGCCGGGCCCGTGCGAGTATAAGCGTCATTCTTCGTGCGCAGCGGAATGTTTGCATTGCCCACAAGAAGGAATGATCTGCACCAAAGACAGAACAGCATCAGTATAAACTGAGTATAAAATGCAAGGGTTCTCTCTCACTTTACTTCTTCTTATTGCTACCTGGACTTTTTCTTTCGAAGAGACTACCGGAATAGTCATATGACGGTATGAGTCAATGTCTACACACGAATAGTGTAGATGATCAAGTTTTCTTGCCGCTCGGTTCACTTCTGTAATAACAAACAAGCTCGATGAGCTATGCGATCAATCTCTCGAGAACGTTTTGCAACACAAGTCAAACCCCATCAACACTCTCACTACGTCTTATGTCTGGCAGACCGCTCATTTCCCCGAGCCGTAGCCTGGGTGGTTGCTCCGTCTCGGGGAACAATGCTCAACTACACTGAGTGCTTCTTGGATGCTATATTGGGGCAAATTCTTCACTGAGTTTCCAAATAGATCATCAAGTGGGGTCATCAGAAGAGCGTGGCCCCATCGGAAAAGCTGCACGGCCGCTGGAGGCATTTGTAAGGCCTCTATCCCACCTCGCATTAGTATCATCCTGCAGAACAGTTAGCTACTGGTGCAGAAGCGATTTGTGGTTACAGTACTTTCGATGTGCATCATGGTGGACTCTCTGGGCGAGCTGTCTGTCTCCATATACATGCTCATGCACGGCCAGCTGTCCCACGGCAAGGATGACAGCTGTACTACAGCGACGATCAGGGTCGTTCAAAGCTTCATTCAAAGAGTGAACAGCAAGTGACCTGAAGTAGAGTGCTTCAGAAACTGGCAATTTGCCCTCTGCCACGGGGATCCCAGAAGCCATGAACAGAGAAGAGTAATACAGTGCTGGTTCTGTAAGGTCCAGTTGCCTACACCATCGAACGTATACCGAAAGCTGTTCCATAGGAACCTTAATCGGGTGGCTACTCTTCGGTATAACATGATTATACCAAAAATCTGTAAGCCACTCACGCCGCGATTGGATGGCTGGCGTGTACGCAAATGGATCTCTCGCACTGGCATTCATCAGAAGCGGTAATGGTAACGGCTGCCTAACCAACAGCTCGCCGACTTGAGCTTTCCTCTTTTCGGAACTTGCATCAGTAGTCTTGTAGCGATCCTTTGGGTTTGACGTGCCACTTGATTTGACACGGGGCTTTGCATGTCAGCCTTGCCCTGCAAATATCTTGGCTAAATGTACCTTATTTATCCCCTTGACAGTCTTGCTCTGGACTTTGGTTGTCGTCTTCGTTGTCGTTTTGTTTGTCTTTGACTTCTCGGGCTTCTTGCGTGTTCGAGGTGCGACTTTATGGCTATGTGCAGCAGCTCGCGACCAGATCACTTTCTTTATCGCCTGCGGCTTTTCACGATGGAGCGAGCTCGAGTCGACCCAGACAAAGTTCGACTGTGAGGTTCCAGGTGTTTCATCTTCTTTGGTGGGACTCATGACTTCTCTGTGCGAGGCCGAAATGATGAATCGATGAAAACGCACGCGGTTGATATTATAGGAATGGACGGAGCAAGCATCTGGGACATTCTCGCACTGCAGTGCGACGACTTCGGGACTGATGCTGGTTGTCTGATGCACCAGCAAGGAACACTTCGCTTCACTATGACACTGGCGAGACTCAGTGCACAGTCTGTGATGACGGCAGATACCTAGAGATAGGGCCCGAGGACTGAGGATGTGGTATGCTTTGGCTTCTCTTTGCTTTTCCACTGATGACGAGAATCGGCCTGGAAATCGGATCGGCTTGAAAAGTGGGGCCAAAGCACTTGGTCACGTGCAGCTGAGCAGATCTTCGGACGATTTTCTCGAAGTCTACCGGAGACGTCTCTCGTGTCATGCAGGACGCATACGGCGCGGCGCTCTTCCAAGAACATGTGGTATCGTTATAAGACCAGCTAAGCGGATACATGTATATTAGTTTAGCGCAGAGGGAACAAGGGGCAAGGGGTAAGGGGCACCGGGCGGGGCACCGGCAGAACCAAGATGTCGACGTCTCCGGCTTTCCCATGTCTAGTCCAACTTCGTAATGATAATTAACATACATACTTTCAACCATGCTCGGATCCTATCAAGTGTTCTCGGTAGACCATGGTCCATGTGGTGTATCACATAACTCCGCTTACTCAAAGCGTATGCTAGTCAAAGCCAGAACGTCTATCTGTCTGATCGAAGCGGCGAGGGTCGCCCCCATAATCAAAATGCAATACTGAAAACAACACAGAAAGTACCAACTCGTAGCCTCCGATACTCGGGACATCAGCAGCAAACAACATTACAAATGGCCAATTACCCGTATCGTCAACTTAATATGCGGAGCTCCACTCGTTGCGCCGCACATATACGCCGCTGGTGACTCGCTTGTACAGCCGATGGATCACAGGTCCGCCCAAGCCAGGAGCACCCAAATACGAAACCGAAAACTCGATACGTGCAGTTTGCAAAACCCAAAATATATGTCTAGGGACGCGGCGGGCCGCCTTGAATGCGTACCGCTCCATCTGCCGTAGCGGTGATGATATCGTTAATGGCGCACTAGAAATGCGCAATCGTGCCTCGTTCGATACCCATACCTCGGGTCAGGCCGGTGCCTGTGTCTGCTCGACAGTTGCTAACGACCATCTCTGGACGTTAAAGGATCAAAGAACACGGTTGATAACCGAATCCTTACGCCTGTAGGGTTGTACATATGCAGGTCACTCAACATCCGGCCTCGCTAGCCCCGCACCATACGAGCAAATCACTGGCCTGGTCGAATACGAAAAATAAGACTTGCCCTGGTCGGAGGAAACTGCCCTCACGACGATGGATACCCAAAACCCCTTCCTCCTATCGCACCGTTGCATTCTACATCGCCCATAATGTAGACTGTTGACTACTACTTACTGGCGCGGGGCGATATGAACGCCGGCGCAATGCACTATCAGCGCTGCGCATCTATATACTCTGCATCTGTGCCCATTGGCTCCACCTACACATAAGTATATCTCTGATACACAGCATATCCAGCCTCGGACTCATATTATCTTTGGCTTCAACACCCAGCAAGGCAGTTCCACCACCTTTGCGCCATCAGCACATCTCTCCCATATGTCAGCACAAGTCGCACAGCCCAACCGGGGCATTCATCTCGATGTTGACCATCTGAAGAGAGCGTACTCGCCTCGATCTCCCCTTGCAGAGGGTGAGCAGGGTGCCACGCTCGGTATAGTTGGTATCGACCCGTCCAAGCCGAAGGCGATTATAGATTCCAATATCCATGTGGAAGACAAGCTTCGCGCTCGTCAACGATATCGCGAAGAGCGTGCCAAGCGCCTCGGTGGTTTCGCACAGTATCTGGATCCAGCCAGCTCACAACATCTTTCAAGGTTCGCAGAAGACCCCTGGATAGATCCAGTCAGACCGAACTTCGGTGCGGCATTCCCAGAGCGCTGCAGATTTCTCATCGTGGGAACAGGTATATCTGGTCTTCTCTATGCCAGGAATCTCATCAAGGGTGGCTTCAAGGTGGGAGATATTCACATGATTGATACTGCCGGTGGATTCGGCGGGAGCTGGTACTGGAATCGCTATCCTGGCATCATGTGCGATCTCGAAGCATCTATATATCTACCAGTTCTAGAAGACCTGAACTATACGCCGAAAGATCGTTATGCAAGTGGTGAAGAGATCCGGGGATATCTCAACTCTCTTGCTGAGCATTACTCGCTTCCATCGGTCGCCAGCTTCCAGACTCAGGCTCGATTCATGCAATGGGATGAGGAGAACAAAGAGTACAATGTCACCGTGACGCAAAAGCAATCGGGCCAAACAGGGGATCGTGAAGTTCACTTTAAAGCAGACTTTGTGATCATGGCGGCTGGTGTCCTAGATCGACCAAAGCTACCCGCTGTTCCTGGCATTGATAGCTTTGGGGGAGACTCGTTCCACACGGCACGCTGGGACTATAGTATCACTGGCGGCGCTCCAGGTAAGGGTAACTATGACCTGTTCAAACTGCAAGATAAGAAAGTCGCAATTGTCGGCACGGGTGCGACAGCTGTCCAGGCAGTACCGCATCTCGCCAAATATGCCAAACACTTATACGTCATTCAGCGTACTCCTGCCGCTGTTGATGCTCGTGATAATAAGGCCATCGATCCACGGACCTACGCCAAAGATGTAGCTACTCACCCAGGCTGGCAACGCGAGCGTCAGGCCAACTTCAATGCCTTCACGAACAAAGAAGATCCGCTGCCTTCGGTCAACATGGTCAACGACGAATGGACACGCTTTAACACTTATTGTGCCGTTCTTGGTACCGGACATCCGGGCAAGGGCTTTGATGGCAGCCGTGAAAAGCTCGGTGATTACATCGAGCTACTCCACGAGATCGACATTGCACGCCAGGAAAAGATCAGGCGCCGTCTCGATACTATTGTCAGGGACTCAAAAACCGCAGATCTTCTCAAGCCATGGTATGCAGGCTGGTGCAAGCGCCCCTGCTTCCACGATGAATACTTGGACTCGTTCAATCAGTCTAATGTTACTCTTGTATATACGAATGGTAAGAGTATTGAGGGCGCATCTGCATCCGGCCTCCTTGTCAATGGTAAGGAGATTGACGTCGATGTCATCATCTGGAGTACAGGCTTCAATCCGACTGGCATGATAGATCCAGCCACACGTGCAGGCGGCATGCAACTCATTGGTCGCAACGGTGTCAGCATGCGCGACACATTCGATTCTGGCGTGGCCACGCTGCACGGTGTCATCTCCCGTCATATCCCAAACGTGTTCTTCGCTGGGCCTCTGCAGGCGGCCAACGCCGTGAACTATACATACACTACAGACTGTCTATCCGAGCACTGCGTGTACATGATTCAATCCGCACTGCGCCGCTCAGGTGGCGCCAAGGTTGCGCTTGAGCCTTCGGAGCAAGGTGTGCTGGAATGGGGTAATAGAATCGCGAAAGGCGCAAGTTTGCTTGGCGCCGTGGTGGGCTGCACACCTGGGTATCTCAATGGTGAGGGTGCGGCGGATCGACCCAAGAGTGCAGGGGAGCGTGCAAAGGGTGCTAGGGGAGCGACATACACTGGCGGTAGCGAGGCATTCATGAGAGAAATAGGGGAATGGAGAAGAGAGGGAAGTATGAAGGGTATGGAGGTGAGAGTACAAGAGAATCGGTCGTGAAGAAAGGTAAGATGGAAGTGAGTGTACAGCCGTTAACCACGCGTGATGGACTTTGACAAGGGTGCCTCTGGTGACATACACGACTACATGGCTGTGTTGTAGACATGGTCAGGATCCGTCTTTCTTGCAGCAATAAGAATGGTAGAAGGCTGGGCTAGATATTAGCTAGCACTTTCTATCTTCATGTGCCCCGTTGTGCTCCTCTTTACACCGTCTAGTTCATGGAGACTACGCTTTCATTGTACTCTATGAAGTGACTTCCTCGGGCTTAAGACGTTTGTTGCAACTCTACACTCGTTGTCTTCCACTCTTGTATCTCTACATTCACCCCCAACATAACTTGGCTAACAAACAAAGGAAACACCTAAGAGTACACCGAGACCTTGGTAAAACTTTATTGGAAACACGGCGGATATGGTTTGCCCTTTCGATGACGTTGAAACGAAGCTGCGATTTTTGATGGCATGACCCTCCTTTATATTAATACCCCGCACTTTGATACTGCTCGGATTTCGGAAAGCAAGGGCCTTCCCCATACGGACGCGAGCCGTGCCGGAGAGAAGAAGCTCGTCATAAGATAACCATTGCGTTTACTTCCGCGTACTCGCTACTGGTCATGCTATACATAGGACCAAGGCTTGACATGCATAGAAGAAGCCGGTACGTGGAGTCTGAGCCTCATGCCGAGTACTTGGCGAGCAGCGGTTGCTCTCGAACCATGAGGCCATCATCACTAGTTTTTGGGGAGATTAGACCCATGAGGAGATCAGTGTTCGGCCCGGGAACTAATCATGCCCCTATACAAACTACTGGCTTGCGCAATTACCAGCTTGGCGAGGCCAGCATTGGGCCTCTGCGTTCGTGAATTAAGACTTTTTTCGAAGACTATTGACTGGAGGGTGAGCTCACTTGATCATACGTTGCGCCTTGGCATAGTGTGTCGTCAGTCATGTCCAAATTTAAGGTCAGATCAGGATGTCGCAAGAGGAGTCCTGGGAGTCGGCGTAGCTACGACTATATGAAGGACCAAGGTACCTCGACAATCATGGCATTTGTGGTCATGCTTCTCAACCCTCCCTCGAGACTCAAAGCCTAAGACTACACTCGCTATGAAGAACCTTATATCCTTTGTGGCCACTGTCGCGGTGCTTCTGTGTACTCCGGTCTGCTCTCGGGGTATTGACCCTCCAGCAGAGTATAAAGATATCCAAAAGACATATCTTCGCAGTGTCAAGTCAACTCTTCCTTCTGGGAAATGCACGGAGAAGAACATAGCCGTTCGTAAATCATGGTATGCATAACCTTTGTCGGGTCCCACCCACTCTCTAACACTCTCTCCCTAGGGACAAACTCTCCAAGAAAGAACGTAAGGCCTATATCGACGCCGTCCTATGCCTACACTCTGCCCCATCCCGCGCCGATCCGGCATTGCATCCTGGCAACCGGAATCGGATGGACGATTTCGCCTCATCGCATGCTAACGTCGTCCTACGCTCTCATGCCAACGTGAGTATATCCGGAAACCTCAGCTTGACAGACTCACAACTAACACTTAGTAGGGTCTCTTCCTCCCATTCCACCGTGGCTTCCTCCATGTCTGGGAACGCGCCCTGCGTGAAGAATGCTCGTACACCGGATACCAGCCCTACTGGGACATTCCGCGCTGGGAGAACGATATTGCAGGCTCAGCTCTCTTTGACGGCAGCTCCACATCCCTCGGCGGCAACGGCGAGCACCTTGCCAACCCGCCCCCCAAGGTCTTCCGCATCGATGCCAACGACGGCAATCCGCCCGCTGAGTTCACGATCCCGCCTGGTACGGGTGGTGGCTGCGTGACCACAGGTCCCTTTGCCGCAAACGTATTCAACATCTCCATTGGCCCCGTAACTCCCGGAAATCCGCCTCCTAATGACCCGATGGGACGCAACTACAACCCGCGCTGTCTGACCCGCGACTTTATGCCTGGCCAGACGACGCGCTTCCTGAGCTGGGCTAATATCACAGAGACTCTAGCGCAGCCAGATATTGCGGCGTTTAGACCGTATGTCGAGAGCCCGGATGGGCCGCATGGCGCTATGCATGCGGCAGTCGGAGGCGCTGTGCTTGATTTCTACGTTAGTCCACTGGCACCGGAGTTCGTCTTCCTGCATGGCTGGTTGGACCTTATCTGGGCGTTATGGCAAGGGCAAGATTGGGAAGCGAGGAAGAACGGATTGGCGGGGACGCTGACTTGGTTCAATCGTAAGTTTGCTTTGTATGAAATAGTGACGGTACGTGCCAGTAGCTGACAATACGCAGGTCCGCCCAGTGCTGAGGCTACGCTGGATGATATTCTGGATTACGGCGATGTCGGCCCTCAGATCCCTGTTAGGGATATGATGAGCACGACTGCAGGTGGCCTCTGTTACCGGTATGAGTGAGAGAATACTGGAAAGATCTGCTACTCGGAGTTTAGATTGTTTTTTGGGTATTGGAGTTTGACCTTGAACTAAAGGAAGCTTATATGGATCACACATCCGAAATGGACGTGCCTTTCGTAGGGTGATCATGACCATGAACCTGTGCCTCCTCTTGACTGTATATCTGGGATGCACCCAATGCAAGTAGCATCAGTTCGTGAGCTGCTTTTCCCACGGTTACCACTAATGATCCTGGTCCCATTGTGTCATGATCGTCGCGTCCGTTCGATGCAGACCTCGAAAAGGGGTTGTCAAGGCGAGGAACGACTTCGCCTCAGGCAGTAGTTCAGCACCTTGCTTCACATCAAAAACTCCTGCTTGCATACACCACAACACCATTGCAGCAGTCCGTATCTGCTTGAGACGTTTACCCCGCGCGAGACGTTTCGTATCAGCTACCAAACCTCTACTACATACACATCACTGATTACTACGCGATTCCATAATCCCACGCCAAGCTCCTCGCAGCCTCGGTCGTCTACATCTGAGACAGAGCTGACCAATGACATCTCAAGGGATTACCCACGCCACATGGGAGCTCCCGTCCAGTACCACGCTAGCACATACACTTATATCCCAATATGGCATAATACGGTCTTATGAACGTGCGACCAGCGCAGACCGTTATACCCCAAGCGTCCCCAAGATGCCATTTATATTCACATGGCTACACTATAATAAACGTGTACCGAGGCGAATGCTAAGGAAACTTTCTGGACGTGGCTGAACATGAGGAAAAATCAATGACCTTAAATGCTATCCATGCGCCGATCAGAGCTGGTCATACCGCCAACAGGAAGAGAACTTTCGAAAAAATGAAGGCAGTCTTTGCGATCTCGTCGTTGGTTGGGCTGAGTGCCGGTTGGGCGTTTGTTGCAGAGCAACCAGGCGTGGATCATTACCTTTTGAAGAGGCAGCAGGTATAGTCAAGAAAGCAATTTTGGAAATCCGACTTAGAAAGCTGACTTGAGACCAGACTCCGGCACCCGGTCAACCCGGAGGTGCGGATACTTGTCCGTTCAATCCGGACCACAAGGACGCGGTCCCGGTCAATGACAAATTGTGAGCACATCGGTGCAAAAGACCCAGTAACGTGATTGCTGATCGATCTAGTCCGTATAATTATGCCAAAAACGGTCTTCCTGGAAGGGGGCTCGGAGGCTACCTCGTTCCAGCGATCGGTGACGAAGACCACAAGTACATTGCCCCGAAGTCGACGGATATTCGTGGGCCATGTCCTGGCTTGAACGCTGCTGCAAATCGTACGTACTCCTTTCGGCGGCACGAGGTGCATTAGTCTGGTGATGCTTCAGGAAAGACGATGCTTGAAATGTTACAAGACTGAAGTTTCGCTGCCGTGCCCTATCTCCCCAGGTATGCTGGTCTAACAATCGAGCAGATGGTTTCATTGCTCGTGATGGTATTACTAAATATACCGAACTCATCGATGCCGTACAGAATGCCTACAACATGGGCTACGACCTCGCCAACTTCCTCGCTGCTATCTCCATCTACATCGCTGATGGTGATCTCGTCACCTCCAAGCTCTCTATCGGCTGTGACGCCACAACTCGAACTTCCGTCAACCCGGCCCTGACCGGCAGCCAACCGGGTCTCGATGGGCACAACAAATTCGAGGCGTAAGTACCCCATATCCTCCCTCTCAAAGGCAAGAAATCTAAACAAAGGCCCACCCAACAGTGACACCTCGCTCACGCGCAACGACTACTTCCTCGGCAACGGCGACAACTTCAGCTTCAACGGCACGCTGTTCGGCCAGATGGTCAACACGACAGGCGGCTATTTCGACGCCTACGGCATGGCGAAAGTGCGCTACAACCGCTACGTCGACAGCCGCACACGCAACCCACAGTTTTCCTTTGGTCCTCTCGCCATCTTCACCCATGGCGCCGCCTCGTTCGTCTACGAGATGTTCCCCAGCGGCACCGAGGACTACAGACCCACGCTCGCGAACACTGCCGCATTGTAAGTCGTCCCCTCCTTTCCATTCCTGCAATCACGCTCGTTGGAATTCCTCCCACTAACACGCACAGCTTCGGAGCAAAGAAAGAGCGCGACGGCTCCTGGAGCCATATCCCAGAGCGCATCCCCGACAACTGGACGACGCGCGCCACGCCCTACACCTTCCTCGATGTCGCAGCGCAGACCTTCAAGCTGTACACGCAGTACCCGGTGGGCTTCGGGGGCAACGTCAACGGGCAGTTTGTCGGGCTGGACTTCCCGCCTTACATCAAGGGCGGCAACTTCACCGGCACGGGGCCGAGTGACTTTGCCTGTTTATTCTATCAACTGATTGCAGGTCCGATTCCCAGTAGTCTGAATGGCATTGTCACGCCGACTGTGGAGGCGTTGGCTGCGGCGTTGAAGGCGATCGATGGGCCGCAGTGGGAGAATTTGGGGTGTAAGATTCCGGTTACGAAGTGATCGCTGGTCGACGGTATAGGCACGCTAGCCACATGTATATAGAGAGGGAGGTCTTCATGATAATCCTTATACATCACTACATACTACCATGCACGTCGTAACGAGAGCTAACATGGTCTGAATTGTAAAGTACAAGATCGACGTTATGTGAGCCTGATCCTTCTGGTTTAGGCGGTTCAAGAACGGCCGCAGCATACTTCCAGGACCATCCGGAAATGCCGTCGGTCTCAACTCGCGCCACATGATACGTACTTGTTGCTATGTACGATCCAATTTCTACTGTATAGTAAACTCAATATGTACAATAAACATGTCAGCATTCATATATACATCCTCCTCAACCCTTCATTCCACTGTGTATCGCAGGACCCCTCTCACGTCTGCCCCTCTGCTATCAATTTATACTGCTTCCTCTGCTTCCTCCATTTCGGATTCATCTTCTGCTTCGTCTTTCCAATCGCCTTTGCGATATTTGGGAAGACATATTTCTCACCCACATACGCAAGGCAAAAGTTTCCCAATCCTAATGCAAGAATGAAGAGCTGAAACTGTAGCGACATATCTGTAAGCTCCATCAGCTTGTATAGCCAGTGGGCTGGATCGAATAGCATGTAAGATGCAATAAGCATCGTTACAACTATTGTTATGACGAAAGGTACTAAAGACTGTTAGCAAACACCTAACATTATGGGTGTAGGAGAAGACAAACAATTGCGAGCCATACTCTGCCTAAACGGCGGGCCGACGCTAAGCACAACTGAGAATAGGATGTACTGATAGCACGAAAGGAGAAAAAGAGTCGTATTTTGGGAATTCTTCGAGTTCGAGTGGTTCTTGTCCAGAATAGGAGGTTGGTACCACGGCTGCCGCTGCACGAAATAGAACCCGACAGCCTGAATGAAGATGGTGATGACGATTTGCCCGACGAGTGGTGTCAAGACTTTACGGCTCACGAGCGACGCAGTTGGGCGTTTGCGAGACAACTCCCAGTACGGTCCTGTCCAACCCATAAATATCGCAATTGGCAGAATGAGTAATAAGTCGATGAATAGAAACTGGAAATCGCCGAGATTGGATGCGCTTGCGTATAGAAAGCTGACGGACGTGAATTGAATGGCGGAATACAAAGACATGTATTTGAAGCAGCTAAAGCTCGTAACCAGTGCAGCACGACCCTCGCGAATGACCTGAGGGACGCACGAAATGTCAAAGACTCTGCTGGTGAATGGTGCCGCGACCGATGCCTCAGCTTCCGAGAGGGAAATGCCCACATCTGCAGCCTTCAGGGCACCACAGTCATTTGCACCATCTCCACAGAAGCTGACACAGTAATCGATACTTTGGAGCTTCTCGACAAGTTCGTGTTTCTCGTCGGGGGACATGCGTGCGAAGACTTGCCCACACACAAGCATCTCGCGGAGTACTTTCTCGGAGGCGTAATCAATGATCCATCGGAACACGTCGCCACTCACAGCGACCGAGTAGTTCCTCAGATTCGTGATATCGTATGGTAGCGAAGCATCAGTCTCTGCAGGCGGTGGGAGTGGCTTGAGGGTGTGTTCATCTAACGTGTAGATAGGATTGTCAACACTCTCCCAACTTAGCTTAGCCAGCGGAGTCCCCGAGTTGCCTTCGACAAAATGTGGTACGAAGCAGTGAGCAGTCCTATCGATGAGGTTACATTCACGGCCGACACTGATGGCAGTAAGGATGTTGTCTCCGGTGCACATGACCTTGCGGATTCCAGCATTGGTCAGCTCATCAAGGACGCCCGCTGTCGTGGGCTTGAGCTTGTTTTCGAATATGATAAAACCTAGGAACTGAAGATCGGATTCTGCTTCATCGCGCTTCATCTTCTGGACCTTGATCCAGCTCATCTTCGGTATCACCTTAGTCGCGCAAGCAATGACTCGATACCCACGGTGGGTGTAGTAGCCGAGAAGTTCTTCGTAGTCTGGTGGAAAGCTCTCAGGCTTGCAGATCTCGGCCATACATTCAGGTGCACCCTTGACGAATACACTCCCATCGCGTGACCCGAATTGCCGAACAATGACGCTGGCTCGTCGGAGTTGCGATACAAACTCGAAAATTTTCAAGACGCCGAGCTCAATTGGGGTACGATTAGGTCCTTCATTGTTATCGATATCGTACTCTGACCCTGGTGGTGGTCGGGCCACAGATGGAGAGAGTTTGTGTTGATCGTCATCATCAATGTTGCCGTTCCGCTGCTGGCCTTCTTCGAAGACCCAGCCGGTATATTCGAACATTTTGACATCCAGAGGGTCGCCAATGAGCTCACCATCTATCATTCGCAGTGAATGGCAAGTTGTCATTGTGTACAATATAGCCTTGTTGATGTCATAGTCCACGGTAGGATCTCGCTCATACTGATTTCCTGGTAATAGATCAGAGGCCTCGGAAAGAATGTCACTAAACCTGCTAGGTTGGGCAACTCGTACACCTAAGACGTCGAGACCGTCTTCTGTCAAAGTTCCAGTCTTGTCAAAGCAGACGACGTCAACCTTCCCGCCAACATTGACGCGCTGCGGACTGATGCAAAAGATTTTCTTCTGCTTGAGTCGACTCAATGCGAAATTAGTACCAATTGTGAGAGTTGCCGGAAGCGCTGGAGGGACGACAATGGTAATCAAATCCAATGCTCGAACCACGATAAGATGCCATGCTAGGCCGAGGTGTATAAAATTGACAAATGATACAATGAATCCGATGCCAGCAATACCACCCATGACGGAGATGTAGCGGAATGAGTCACGGTAGAACTTGAAGCCAGATGGTTTCGGGAACAACATTGAGCGGACTAAAGCCCCTTTGGTGGTGTTGAAGCCGGTTCTGGCAACCATGGCGATGGCGGCGGCTTCGTCGTCCTTGTCATCCTGTGGTCTGCGAGCTCGGATGATTTTCGTGCCACTGAAGAGCAAGTGTCTAGCAACGTCCGCCGGTATGGCCGTTGCTCCAAGGTTCAACGCTGCCAAAGTCTCATCAACTGCAGGGATCTTCGAGACTGGAACAGACTCCCCAGTAAGCATGCTTTCGTTGACGATGCAGTCTCCCGAGAGAAGCAGACTGTCGCATGGGAATTGTGTCAGATTAGGATCTGTGATTTCATAGATGTCGCCGGGAACGAGCTCGCTCGACTCAACATAACGCCAGAAGCCATTTCGTAGAACGCGGACGTCGCACTCGAACCTTGATACTTCGCGCAATCTTCTCATAGTCGCTTTGGTTTCCAGTAGTGTAGCTGTGATGGACACGATAGAAATGACGAAAATACACACTGCGTAATAGTAGTACTCATCCAAAGACCAAAGAGTCAGACTGGCGATCTGAAAGACATAGAACGGGTGGAAGGCCTCGTCTACAAGCAGCTGTCCGGTAGTTTTCTCCTCGATGTCTATGACGTTCTTTCCAAACAAAGTCTCGCGGTATTCCTTCTCATCAGTGTCGAGACCTCCGCGGATAGCCTCGATTTCTGTCCAAGAGGGATCCTTCCAAGTCGTGCCCAGCATGAACTTGTCTCTGAGGGGATTGAAGCAAAACCTTATGTATCGATAGTCCAAAGTCAGTAGCTCTTTTACCATGGGATCATCATCCTCATGATAGTCACCATGAAGATCTTTATCCTGTACACCAAATATTGTGGATAGCGGCTTATCATAGCCTACCCGTGAGATCTGTATTATCTGCATCTCGCCCCATTGATTTTCAACGACAACCCAGTCACAATCTCTCAATGAAGTCGGTGAGCCCGTGATCTTAACATACCACCTTGGTAGCCAACGAAATAGAAGCCATGCTAGGCCACCTGTGCATATACACATCGTGACGTAGATGGCGAATCCGATCATGGAAGTCTGGAACCCAGCAACGACTATCGTGAGATCCTCCGTAACAATGTAGATCTTTTGGCTCACTCTCCCATCTCTCCACCCATCGCCCGATTCAATACTCGTCCGGGAATGCAATCGTAATAATGGCGCGCGCGCTGATCCGGAGGACCGTCTGGAGTGCTTCGAGTAGTTCGACGATTTGCGCCGAATCGAATGTGGGCGGCGGCCGTTTTCTAAATCCTCGCCCTCTTCTGCATAGCCATCAAAGTCTTCCATATTGCCATTCAGATCACCATTCTCTTCCTCCTCAAAGACATCTTCCTCCGTTATCTCTGAGCCTTGTTCGTCGTCATCGTCGTAGAAGGCAAAGCTCGTTTGGCTAATGGTAGAGTCTGCCCGAGCTCGAGTTCGGTGCGCGAAGGAAGACACGCTCATGGGAACGCTTTCAGACATAGGTCCTGAGAAGATCTAGCACCTTATCAGTATGGGACACAAGTCAGGGTAACATACGGTATGCGGACCTCGTCTTGTGCCATCTCGACATCTTCCATGAAGCTAGCTCTATGTTCGATCAGTATCGCAATAGTGAGTCGACCTCAACCACTCACTCGCTCATGATTGATCTTCTTCTATATGCGTCGCTGCTTCGTCGTCGTTGCAGCGAACTGCTGCGACGCACGGCTGACCCATGTTCGTGTGCGTCTTCATTCATGATTGCTTCTGAGATCCAGGATCTTTGTTCGTGCTATAACATATCGAGGACTGTAAACAGTATCGCCCTAAAAACAAGGTTCGCTAACTCTGTCAAAACAAATGCGACCTCATAAGGTATGAGCTTCGCAGCGTTGGAGCCGCGATCTATGTTTTTAGCGGGCCGACGTCACTGGCCGGAGGTCCAACTCAAGCTTCGTCCTGAGCTGTAGGCACCTTCAACCTCCACATTATCTTGGTCGCTTGGGTCAATTACACAAGATCACGTACTAAAGAATTCTTAATTATAGAATCGATTCACTTTGCTAGAGGAGTTGCCGAGTGATGCAGAGTAGCTTCCTTCGTATGTAAGTCTATCAATTCCTGCCCTGCTTCTCTCAGCATACTACTGCATCAAGATACCTCATCAATTTTTCCCAGTGGCCGACATTTTGGTAGCAACATGTTCTCCCAGCTCCCCAACCATCTCCATTCTCTCGCAACCTTTTCCAAGTCCCGCAATGCAGCATTGACCGCACCGGTATCTTCTTTTAGCCGGCGACCCGTCACCTCCACAAAGAAGATGTAATTCCAAGACGCAATCCCACTTGGCCGTGCATTGATACTCGTCAAATTGATATTATAAGGTTTGAACACAGCCAGAGAATCTGCCAGAGCCCCTGGATCGCTATGTGAAATGGTGAATGAAACCAGTGTCTTATATGCCGGAGTGTCTGTGTCAACTGCTCCACCATTGGAGTCACCATTGCTCTGGGCTGAGTGGTTCCCACGCCGTAACACAAAAAAACGTGTCTTGTTGTCGCTTGTATCCTCAATTCCCTTTGCAAGCATGTCGAGGTCGTGTACCTGTGCTGCAATTTCGCTGCTGATCGCAGCCGTCTCGCCGGACGTATCGGCAGCTACGATTTCAGCAGCTCGAGAGGTTGATGAGACATCTTGTCGTTCGATACCCTTGAAATAGGTTGTCAGGAACGCATTGCACTGTCCCCAAGCTTGCGGATGCGAATACAGCTTTTTGATGCCCTTTAGCGACACAAGAGGAACGGCCCGCGGGATGGCTGGGCTCGGGTGAGCAGCCGTAGGCGTAGCATGGCCGCTGCTATGGGGACTGGTAAGCGCCGACGTGGTAGCAGCAGAATGTGCCTCTTTTGGCATATGACCGACCAAGCAATGGTGTACATCCACATAGACTTCGCCGCAAACGAGAATATCAGGATAGCGCTGATGGGCATCCGCGAAAAGGTCCAGGGTGAAAACTACGCTACCATTTGTACTGTTCTCGAAGGGAACAACGCCTCTTGCACATGAGCCAGATTGTACGGACTTGAATACATCTTCAATTGATACCTGTGGCTGGAGGTCATATTTTGACGAATCTGAAAACGCCTTGAGTGCAGCCTACTATGCTTAGCAAGATTTCATGTATCAGATAACGGAGCACAAGGACGCTAAAACTAGATAAAGACATAGTAAAGCTACTAGGTTATCGATAGAACACGGTGCGCACGAGAAGAAAAACCAGGGTAGAAATATCCGCTTACTTGATGAGTGTATGAGGCTCGAGGGCCGAGGAATGCCACCCCTTCGTGCGGGGTGTTCATTGCAAGATTGAGTACATGTATGTAACCACGGAGAAAATTGAAGAAGCTAATATTCAGCCAGAACTATGTAGATCAGATCTCGACTTTACACTTGCTATTTTCTAGGATCAGGTAAGACGGAGCATGCGTGCCTTCATCGGTCGCCGATATGATGCACGCAAAAGCAAATTCGGTGCGGACCGAACGACCTTAGGGTATAGTAGACACATGACTAACCTGTAGCACAATATTGTAGAACGTAAGATCCACGCCTAGATTCGCTTTCAGTCCCTATTTGTTCATCTGGCGAGCGAAAGCTATCATTAGAATTACAAGTCCAATGAACATTCTACGAGTGATTAACACGTGGAGCACTTTATTGGCATTTCAACAACTAGCAATCTAAACACATGGCTCAGCAGTTATATTCTTGGCTGATATACGAGCCAAATGTCTCCTACTTGCTCAATGCCCCCATATAAAAAACCTTAAAGCTCTGCACTGTAGCAAGCCCATTTTGATGCTCATCGAGTCTGATACTGCTCTAGTCAGTGAACATATAATATAAGGCTTTATCAACGATGAGATGGGGAAAAGCCTACAGCATCAATGTAGTCGGTCGACATTATAGCCTGGCGTAACAGGGAGAAGCGAACGTCTCGTCGCTCGTCCCGAGTGCTGGGGTGTCCTGTTCATTCGGACACGTAGAGCGAGGAATGCTCCCAGGGCCTGACGCGGCGAGCCCCTGGGGTGCTTCCTCGCTCATTGCGAGGGTGCGAAATCGTCAATCTTGTCATTCGTTAGAAACTGGATCTACTCAAAATTCGAAAGCTATACTTACCATCATAAAATTCATCTTCGTCGTCGTCGAAGTCTGCGAGCTGCTCAAAGTTGAGCTTGTATCGCAGAATGGCACCTATGCCACCGAATCCCTTGACGAATTGGTTGCCCTCACTGGACCTATCGGATACAAACTCAAGAGTGGCGCCAAAATCACGGTACTTTTCTGCAAGCCATTCAAGGAATGGCATCTGGTCGGCAATCTCCATTTCCTGTCCGGTCTCTTTGTCCATAAACAGCGAACGATCGGATTCCTGAAGCTTGTTTGTATGCAAAATGATCTCTGTCCCTTCTGAACTCTTGAGCGTCCATCGAGTGATCTCGAGATTCTCGAATACGATGAGGGTTTCCGCGGCACCAGCGTCGAGCGCCTTCAAGGTATCCTCGACACCATAACAGACCTTACCTGTGTCCTGACTGATCTCGTCGAAGTACTTATTGATAAGTTTCTTTTCCTGGATGAACTTGACGTTACTCAGCGTCTCTCCTGATAGCTCAATGGCTTGATTGAATCCGTTTTCACCACCGTACGAGACATCGACGACCTTGATGACTTTGGACTGGAGGCGGTTGTCGAACATATCAGACTGATTGAGGTCGTTCTTGAAATCGGCGGATCCAGCAAGAATGAGACCGGCCACGTTCACTTTGTCCGCAGTGATGAAGTTCTGGACGGCTAACTCAGCGACCTTGCGAACGTAATTGTGACGCTTCTCTTCACGAAGACGTGCGAAACGGAGTGCAGACTGCCCACCACGGCCGTGCTTTTTTGGTAAATCAACGGAGAACTTGTGAACAATATCACGAGTATTTCCGCTCAAAGTACCAAAGAGCGCTCCGTTACCGTCCATAATGATGAATCCGAACTTCTGGTCCGACTCCAGCAACTCGCTCAGCGCTTCAGTATGGAACTTGTTGTCGCAAAGATATAACGAAGTGTTGATGGGCTTGAAGGGCTCAAAATCGATGTTAATCTTCCGCTCCTTTCCCTCAGAAGTAATAATTTCACCGCAATATATGACAAGGCCGTTGGGGGGTACTTTTGAGTATAATTTGAGACGCTGCTGGGTGGATGTGATGGCGGATAGAACCGAGAGACGATTGACGCGGGATTTGATGTTAGATGCCGTGCCCTATATCATATCAGTATGTATTTTATTGGGCATGCATGTGTCGTTCAAACGCACGTATTCTTCAGCCAACATCTTTGCCGCACGGGGGATCTGGTCCTTGGGTGCTGTGTGCTGTTAGGGAAAGTGTATGCAGACTAGAGTGAATGGACACATACGGATGATGAGCGAGATCATGGAGGTTCCATTACCACGAGCGGCTTCGAGACGTTTGATCAGTTTCTTGACCTTCCATATCTCGATATTTTTTTCGGCGTCAGCGCCTTGCCCCTGCGGCGGTGCGCTCATCTCGGGCAGGTACAGATAAACCTACTTCCAAAGATGCTCGACGCAGGTAAGAGTAGTGTCGTTGGCGCAGAAGCGGACAAGACACGAATGTGTTGAAAAGAAGGGAAATTTTGTGGAGAGGCCAGTGTGTATCATGTAGAGCGACGAGGGGTACGGCTACGAGTTTAGCGGCGGTGTGTTTTCGCTTCCAGTCACGAGTCCCGCAGTCCAACCCAGTCCAGCAACCCAGCCCAGCCACAGCCAATGACCTCAGTGGGCTCCTGTGGCGGCTGCTTATGAGGGGGCAGCAGTCAGGAGTTGGAGTCAGAATAATGATTGCAGTCAATCTAGGTCATTGTACCTATGAATCAGAAACCAGCATTATCCTTCTGTTAATCACAGCAGCACATCCGCCGTTCTAGAAGGGCTGAAGATACCGTGGCGCCTACGGAAAATCCTGTTGTGACGGCAGCGGGGGGGGGCGGGAGGCCAGTTTTTTTGGGGGGGGCAGGGCCGGGCAGCGCGAATTTACCATGCAGACCTCGCGGGGGCACCTGGGGCAGCAATTATTAGTCCTGCTGATAGGTACGTCTTTCCTTAGGTAAGGTACTAGGGAGGTACCGTAATTGCTGCAGGTGCACCAGCTCCTACTTACTACTCTCTACGTACCACTGCGCCTAGTGGTCCCTCTACAGAATCACGAAATCTTCTTGCTTGATATCCGACACTACAACATCTGCATCCATGGGTGAGTGACTGGTGCTCAGATTCCAGAGCCTAATCCATAGCTGATTGGTGCGCCGCCAGATGTCATGCTAAAACGGGCCGTTAGATAGCAATCTGAACCGTCGATCGGCTGCGATATCAATCTCACGATTACGCTCGCTCTCATGACCTTCCCAAGCTTCCTCACCCCTTCTCCGCCCAAGTCCTCCTCGGCCCTCAACACTCTCCCTTCTCTTTTCTGTGTCTTCAAACTTAATCTGCTTTGCACATCCTCATTTGCCCTCTCCTTTAAGACCAGCTCCTCTTCACCACATATCTGCTCCACTCGTCCCAACTCTTCCTTGCTCGCATGCCCAATTGCAGTACGACCCCACAATTACCGTGGCAGGATAGATAGCCCTACCTAGCTCTCGTAATCTCACTCTTTATCATCTCGAAATTTTTGTCGCGACTCGCTCTACCTTCTCCTTGACAGTGCACAACCAGCTACACCTCTGCGGTGCTTTAGATTGGCCATGGATATTAATGACAAGAGGTCAAACACCATCAAGGACTACGAACAGGGCCGCTATGGTTCCTTTAGCTCTACTGGCAGTCACATACAATGGGACGAGAGCTCTGAGCGACCCGGACGCGCATCTAGAACTGAATCGCCACATATGACCGATCACAACGGTCAATTAAGGCATAGAAGGTGAGAGCTCCCAGAGCCCACTCTTTCGCGTGTCGAAAGGGGCTGAGGAGAATTCTCACTCCATCAAACGGATCAAACACTAACAGGAAACTTTCTACAGGTCCTCCCTGTCTATGCGCATACAGAACCTTGCTGATGCAGGTGGTGTCAACTCCTTGAACAATTTTGCCCGTTCCTGGCAGCGCGCCGTTGGTTTCCACGAGATCACCCATGTGCGGAATTCGTTTCGTATATCTGATACTGGGGACGATGATGATACACAGCAAGATGATGTGGACACACCGACCGCAGAGACTGGACCGCGAAGCTACCGCTCGCTTCTACGCTCTGCTCTAGAAGAGGAAGGACGGCGGGCCTCTAATGAAGGCGCCACAGACCATGCAGTCGAAGATGACGAGTCGACAGTCGAGACTTCCGGTCTCTTGCATGTCTCAGGAGATGAAAGGAGAAGAATTCGAGACGAAAGCATTTTTTCTATCGAGCCTTCGCTGTCGTCGCCTTTTGGCGGAAGTTATGGGACCATGTATGGGAGTCTTGGCTCTCGTATCAATGACTCCGCAAAGATGCATGCTGGAAGACTATTCACCGAACAACAACTCAAAGGCGTGACCGAGCCTGACGAGCAACGTGAACCTCTTCTCGTGAAGCAGGTGGAAGAAGATGGCCAAATCATCAATGTTGTGGTTGGACAGTCAACATTACCACAAGTAAGTATTTTGATTTGTTAGAGGCGCTAAAAGTCCCGTCCATACTAACAGCATAACTACAGACCATATTTAATTCTGTCAACGTGCTCATTGGGGTTGGACTATTGAGCTTGCCCCTGGCTCTGAAATACTCTGGGCTGCTGATTGGACTCATCTTTTTCACTTATTCAGCCGTCGCAACGGCATACACGGCGAAACTCCTTGCCAAATGCTTGGATGTGGATAATTCGCTAATAACATTCGCGGATCTTGCGTTTGTCTCGTTTGGCAAGAAAGCCAGGATTGCTACAAGCATTCTGTTCAGCCTAGAGCTGATTGCAGCTTGTGTAGCACTGATCATTCTGTTCGCTGACTCTCTCAATGCCCTTATTCCTGGCTGGGGTGTTACTGGATGGAAGATTCTTTGTGGTTTGATCTTGATCCCAATCGGATTCCTCCCGTTACGACTCCTGAGCTTTACCAGTATTCTAGGTATACTGTGTTGTCTTTCAAGTAAGAATCTCATAATTAGATCACCGCAGCAGGTCCTAACAACATTTCAGTATTCCTCATACTTGTCGTGGATGGTCTGATCAAACCAGAACAACCAGGATCACTTCTTGAACCAGCTCAACAGTACCTGTTCCCAGAGAACTGGCTAACCATTCCTCTGAGTTTTGGGCTATTGATGTGTACGTATAGACAATAAAAGAACCAAGTATATCTCTAACCAACGTCTTAGCACCATGGGGTGGTCACAGTGTTTTTCCAAACATTTACAGGGATATGCGTCATTCATATAAATACAGAAAAGCCATCAACATCACATATAGCTTCACAGTAAGTGTCTACATATCACTCGCGATGCCACCAAGCTAACAACATAGCTCCTTCTTGATCTCGGCATGGCTGTCATAGGAATCCTTATGTTCGGCGAGGATGTACGAGATGAGATTACTTCCAATATTTTCATGACCTCTGGTTATCCTGCCGGACTCTCGGTTATCCTCGCAATTTGTATTGCCATTATTCCGCTTACTAAAGTCCCTCTAAACGCTCGGCCGATCATCAGCACCGTGGAGATCTTCTGTGGCATCGATTCTCGAGCAATCGCGTCCACCCCTTCAATGGCCGGTATGTCCGGCTGGAACCGCGGCCTCCTCATGATCACTATCCGGGTCATCATGTACATTGTCTTTGTCCTCATTGCGATCGTTTTCCCAAGTTTTGATCGCATCATGACCTTACTTGGCGCTATTGCATGTTTCACAATCTGCATCATTTTGCCGCTGGCGTTCCACTTGAAACTGTTTGGCAAGGAGATGCGACGTAGGGACAAGGCGTTTGATTGGACTTTACTTATTGTGTCCGTGATCATGGCGGTCGTGAGCACAGTATTTGCATGCTTGCCCAAGGACTTAATTGGCGCATGACGTGTGGACTCAGGGAGGCTATGTTGTTGATATTAGTGCTATTGTAACCAATAGTCTATGCGCATATATATACAATGTATGCCGATATATCAAGTATATCACATGATATGTGGTGATACTATCGCATCGACACAGTATAAGCATAGGGCGCAAACAGATTACCGTCTTCCCAAGGCTACTATATATGAGTCCGGTTATAAGGCGGCAATAAGACATGCATCAGCCACAGTGGCATGACCTCATCCCTGTTCCAACCCAAAGCTCCCCTGCACGCGAAACCCGAGGTCGCAAATCGGTTACTGTGTGTATGTATAGATGTATATATGGAGACGCGGAAACTCCAATTAACGCTTCTATAATTCTCTTTTGTTGCGCTTGCTCCCTCACAATCCATCCTATAACAATGGCCTCGACAAGTCTCTCCCGCCGCCTGCCCACGTCTCTCCTTCGCAACTCCCTCTCGCTCTTCACACGCCGCTTCACCTCCGACCTCTCCCATCTCAACGCCGAGCTCTGCGCCCGCAAAATCCCCCTGATCTACGACTCTCTCGCCCCCGACAACTCGCATAAACTCCAGATCGCCCTCAGCGCCTGTCTGCCATCCCACTGGACAAACACAACAGCGTTCCCTCCACCGCTACCACCCGCCGACGCCGACGCCGACGCCGACGCGCCGCCTGCTGGTGCTGCTGCAGAGCTGCTCCCACCAGCACACCATCTGGTCTACTTCAACCCTGCCATTCCCGCGGATCGCTTGCTGGCCGATGGCACAGACCCACTGCAAAGTCCCGGCCCGCCATTTGTGCGGCGCATGTGGGCGGGCGGGTATCTGAATTTTGGCAAGGGTGGCCCGCGGCTCAGGTTTGCGGGCTGTTCCGGGCATCATGCGCAGCCACCGGGGGTGTGTCTCGAGGGGATCAGGGATGTGCGAGTCAAGGGCAAGGACGGGGAGGAGAAGGTGTTTGTGGGCATCGAGAGGCGGTTTGGGAGTGGGCGGCGGCGGGTGCCAGGCGAGGGTGAGGATGAGATCAGGCAGCGGTTGTGGAGGGAGACTGAGGAGGATTTGGGCGAGGCGGAGTTGGTTGAGCGGAGGAACATTGTGTTCATGAGAGAGAGGAGTCCTGAGGAGGCGAGGAAGGCTAGTGAGACTAAGACTACCAAGATATTGAGAGGTGAGTTGCGCTTGTTCCAGCTATGTTATGATGAGAGAGACCGGGAAATGAAAGCTGATGGCTTGTGTAGCACAACATGCCCCTGACTTTTCGTATGCCTTCACGCCGACGCCTGCGCTGCTCTTCCGCTACTCTGCCCTCACGTTTAATGCACACCGCATACATCTCGACCCTCAATACTGTCGTGAAGTAGAAGGCCATCGCGACTTGCTCTTCCATGGCCCGCTATCCCTCACGCTTCTGATGACGCAATTAGAGGCACAGCTTCAGGGTACAGGAAAAGCAATTGAGTTTTTCGAGTATCGCAACCTCGCGCCGTTGTACTGTAATGAGGAGGTCAAGGTATGCGGCAAGGATCTGGGAGATGGCAAGTACGAGCTGTGGGCAGAAAATGCAGAAGGAGCGCTGAGTGTGAAGGGGACAGCGAGAGCGGGAAACAAGCAATAATCATATAATGCTAATCCGAGCGGCGTGTATCGAGACTATTTCAGAACGATACAAAAGTTATTCCGTGCGCCGCCGGGCTTGAGCTCTTCCTTGTTGAACTTCTGTTTACTTGAGGCTTCCCAGCCGTCCCATCGCCAAAGTGTGTATGTGAGCTTGGATGATAGCTTTTGCCGTATCAGGCTATAGCCTAAACTATTCATGATACGGGCCAAATGTGCCTCATCTAGATATCGAGAGTTGTGTACGCACGGCGCAGGTAGGACAAGGAAGAGACACGGATATAACTCTTCTTCGGTATTAGCCTCCTCTTCCTCTTCTTGGACTTCATGATTAGGCTTCCTGAGAAATTCACACGTCCGTCTGAGCATCTCCCCTTTCCCTTCTGCGTCGGGTACATAGTTCAGAACCAAGCTTAAACTGACCACATCATACTTTTTGCTCTCGTCTGTCGGTATGGGCCGTTGCATAAAGTCCTGCTGCTCAATCTGCGCATCCTGAGAATGCAGATCCAGTCGATCCATGTGTACACCACGCATTTTCGAAACCGCGTTCGTCGTGGAAAGACAGCCGACCTCCAAGACCCTCCTCACATTTCTCTGCTTCTCGACACCATTTGGGTCTGCTGCCCTCTTTCTCTTCCCGGTTCCACTCCCTAGTTCCGTAGCAGCGCCTTTGCTCAACCATCCCACAAGCACACCACTTGAATCGCCTCCCCTCTCTTTGCCTTGCCCGTTCAGGCTCGCCTTCTGGTAGGCTTCCAGTCCTCCGAGAGCGTCCATTTGTGCCTCATATTCGGTGGCTTTTTTCCCGTCACCGGCTACGAGAGCGGCAGCATGCTGTTTACGCAGAGTGTGGAAGGCACGGATTAGGGAGCGGCCTTTTTTCGCGGACAGAGTAGGAGTGCGAGAGGTAGCTTTGGCAATTCGGTTCAGAGGGCGTGGCCGGGAGGAAGAAAGAAGTTTAGGACGGCGGGAGGGCATATTGTGTACTATACATCGGACTGAATGCGACTGTGACTGTCGTGTTGAGGAGTTTTGAGCCAGCTGCAGCTGCGGGAAAGTTTTGGCGGGGATCCGGGGGAGAAGTGGACCGGTGGATGCGGAGCGTTCCGCGCCCGGCGCATAAATTACCGCAAAGGCAGATTCGGGAATGTTGTCACAATGAATGAACGATCTATATTCCTGGATACTACATGGATATCTTGTGCTCATAAAAAGAAAATGCCCGCGAATGCAACCGCTAGTAACTATGCATGCATGGTAGGAATAGTCTCATGAAAAAGCCACCGAACGCCGTTGTATATGCAAGTGGGATCAGACGGAATCGCTGTGAGAGCAGGCTTCAATCGCTCGCATAGCGTCACGGAGAGAGAGGAACGACGTCGGGTAGTGGACCGATAGGTACGATGGTCTCTCCAGCAGCTCTCGTATAGCCTTCGCGAATCTACAGTCGTCAGTACTCGAGGCTCGATTCCTCAATACAACAGACTTACAATTTGCATATATGTCGTGTCCTTGAATGCATGCGAGGTACTCTCATCCCAGTAGAGTCTCCGAAGCCAGGCATGTATGCGCGGATAGTCGTACCTTATCATCTTGAGGTTGCATTTGAAGAGCGTATGGTAGACAACATCGAATCTGACAATCGCAGGGAACAACCGAATGTCAGCCTCGGTGACGTGGGATCCAAAGAGATATGGAGAGTGACCTGGCTGTGAAAGCAGCGCCTCTACTCGGTCTAGTCCGTCGAAAAGCCGGGTCACATTTTCAGTATATGACTTCTGGCAAGAGGAAAAGCCGGTCTTATAAGCCCCGTTATTGATGGAGTCGTATGCGAAAGCATTGAAGTCGTCTATCTGGGCTAGAAGCTGTGCCGGTAAGAGACCTCCTGAGCCTTTGCTTGATTCTCGCCGAGCGAGGGGTAGCAGGTCGTCGAATGCTGATATGAACATGCGGGTGATTTCGCCGCTGCTATTACTCACGATTCGTTCTAAATAACAGTCAGTATATGGATATCTAACATTGTATATATCATAGACGCACTGGTCTGCTTGTCCAGTAATGCTGGAATCATGATACGGCAGTCGTACGAGGGTGCTGCGAACTCGTAGATCTCCTTCAGGTACTTGCATCCAAAAACGGGACACCTCCTGTGGCCAAATTGGCCTTCACCAGAGAAACACCATCCCTTCCCTGGCTCCAGACTATCGAGAACCACAACCTGAATGACATCCTGCAGGCCTTTGAGCTTATGAGTAATGTTTGCCCGCTGTGCCCACGGACATCCTGGGTAGATGTAGAGTAGGTAACGATCTGCCTCCGCAGGGAACGTCTGCGAAGGGATGCGCTCAGGAAAAGCTCCAGGTGGACGAGAGAGTATGCTATTCGTGAAGAATTTGTCTGCAATCAAGGGTTGGAATGTGTTCTTGGCGGGACAAGACGTCAGGATTGTTTTCGCAGGCAGGATAGGGAGCAGTCGAGTGATACGTACAGGAGAAGTCATTAGAGCGAGCGGCGCTGCAACCATGGATCCTAACTCTTTCACTGTCTCAGTCACCTTTAATCATCCACAACAACGACAAGGGCAGCATACGAGCGAGAAGTTTTCGTAACGTGAGTCTTACTGTGCGGGTGTATTATGTATCTTCCACGTCGACACCGCTATCCTACGCAATCTCTGTTTCAGTGCCCACTCTACTAGGGTCCTCGTTCTTTGATTACTATCCATCACTCATGCTCCTTCATCCCGATTACTGAACCATCAAATAATTCCCACCACCAGAAACGCGCCTCGAGACACTCTTCCAACCCTCCACGATCGCTCACGTCGTGGCGTCTCACTTGCACTACATCTCTCTAAGGCTATTTGACGCCTCACATCAAAGTTTGCGACTCGTACCGTCCAGTCGAATATATGCGATTCATTTAGTCCGCAGCTGAGCAGGTCGAAAACTCCGAATCGCTCCACCTGGTGAGTAGGCATTCCCTGGACTGAAAGAGATTCCAAGTCTTATCGTTTCAAATTCCTTCTAGCATCTTGCTTGGCTCTTATACAATAGCACCTTGTTTCGTTGCCCCAGCTTTTAGCTTGCAAGCATGCACATCACACTCATAATATAGAAGACCTGTCTGATATGCTTATTAGCTGCAAGTCTTCATGCTACGGCGGTATATCAATTTCGTTCACGAGAATGATATCCTTGTACTGAGCTTATTATTGCTGTAACGGGGTGCCCCTGTAACGAGATTTGACTGTGCTTTGCGTTCTCCTCACAGTGACTCCATCTCCATCGCTCCTAGCATGTCGTCTCTAGCTGCATATGCTGCGTCTCGTAGTCCATCAACATTGCGTCTCGGACAATCTTCCCTGCGAATTGCTTGGTCTCGGTACAATTTTTCTTATTCCAGCTCGTCGACTCCATTGGCTTCGGCCACGTTGCCCCACCCAAGTTATCACACCACTACTTCACACAATCTCGACTTTCGAGACCACGACTTAGAGAAATTCTACAGATATACATCGGGTCGATGGCTCTGGAATGAGCATGATCAGCTTGCCTGCCGTTATGTCAGGTTCAACCTACCTGGACTCCTCCAAGTCTCGTCGAAGGCGATGGGAGGCCGGTCTTGCGTCGAAATCGAAAAGCTGCATGAAGGAAACTTCAACAAGGTCTTTTTGATCACATTTGATGATGGCCGAGATTTGATCGCTAAAATTCCAAATCCAAATGCTGGACCGCCGCACTTCACAACGGCCAGTGAAGTCGCTACAATGGACTACGTATGAGTTATCCCAGGCGTCACGTTTAGCAGTCGCTAATATGAGGCCATTGAAGATTAGGAACATCCTTGGCATTCCTGCACCCCAGGTATATGGCTACTGCTCCTCAACAGACAACCCTGTTAGAGCAGAGTATATTTTGATGGAACGCAGTAAAGGGATAGAGCTAGGCAAAATATGGGAAAACATGCCTGGGAAAGACAAGTTTGAGATTGTGAGGTCATTGGTTGGCTACGAAAAAGCTATGTATTCTGTCAATTCACCCATGTACGGGAGCTTGTATTATGCGAAGGATCTGCCTAACCTAAGCTCGGGTCAATTCCTCAATTCCACAGATGTGGTAGGTGAAGTTGCGCCATTTGCGATCGGCCCAACGACCAATAGAGCATTCTTCGATGGAGGAAGATACAACGTTGAAGCGAAGCGAGGGCCTTGTAACACCCCTTACCATCGCCCTCGTGCTCGACCCAAGCTGACTGAGTGATAGGGTCTTCAATCAACGATTTCATCTCTTCCCGTGCCAATCGAGAGCTGGCATGCATTGAGAAATTCTCGAGATTCCCTAATCAGCAAGGGATGTTCAACGGTCCCAACCAGTATCGTCCGACCAAAGAACTGAAGATCAAAGTCCTCCGAGACTATTTGAAAGTAGCAACACAGATTCTGCCCAAGGATGAAAATCTCTCTAAGCCAGTTCTCTGGCATTCCGATCTACATGCCGACAACATCTTCGTTGACCCTTCCCAGCCGACCAAAATCCTAAACGTGATTGATTGGCAAGCTGTCAATGTCTCCCCGCTCTTCCTTCAAGCACGACATCCTTCTCTTATCGAGTTTGAAGGGCCAATTCCAGAGGGTCTAAAACCCATAGAATTACCTGACGATTTTGACAAATTGAATGAGGATGAACAACACCAGGCGAAGATCCTCCGGGCTGCTCAATCTCTCTACAAACTCTACGACATTTCCATGCTGCGTCAGTGTCCAGACATTGCCCGTGCATTGCGCTTTCGAGATACTCTACCCGGTCAGATCACCGGTATAGCAAGCTCAATCTTCAGCGACGGAGAGCCGGTCCTCCAGGGCATGCTCATACAACTTCAGGATGAATGGACGACATGTGCCAACTCCGAGACAGCATGCCCTCTTTCATATACCCCCGATGACAGGGCACACCAGCAACGTCTTCAGGAGAGTTGGAACGAAGGTGTCGAGCTAATGTACGAGAGTTTGACGCAGATAGGAGCATACCAGGGATGGAATGGGTGGGTGAATCACAGCAATTACTCGTTGTACAAAGAACGCTTGGCCCGTCATCGCGAAGACTTTCTGCGTCGCCACGCGTACCACGATGAAGAAAGAAGTCAATGGATGCGAGCTTGGCCGTTCAAAGATGACGTGGAGATTCCTCTTTGACGAGTCTGGTTCAGGGAACACTCACTTCGCCTCACCTACTGACAATCTATTGAAGTCTTTTCCCCTTTACACAGGATATGAGTGCGAAATATTTAACCAAAGAGCCGCGAAGCCTTGGCTTGTCTCGAAGATCGCTTCAGTACAACACTTCACGAACATAGCTGGCAAGGGCCATCAGGCCGATCGACCTGTCTGCTGCGATACCTGCGCATGAAACCCAAAAAAATCTACCACGCGACGCACGGAGTCCTGACTGCAGAATCGCTCTGTTATATTTTAATTCTTGATCTAGATATAGATTTTCTCGGCTCAGTACCATGCTTTGAATATAGATGTCTAGACTGTACCATTAATAAATCTCTTCTTCTTTCATTAGCACATATGTATCAGTATTTCTATATCTGCAAGCCGTATTGACGACCTGAGCAGTAGCCAGTCCAGTATGTCGGACTTGCTGAAGTCATCGCCTACCTAAGCTAATCCAACTTATTATAACTACCGGTACTGGTACTGTCTTGCTTACTAATACAACGGGCGGATTCTCATCTGCCTAGCTGAGTATCGTGATGATGCGACATGGTGGTAACAGGCAAAATTATAGTTTTAAATCATAGATACCTCACATATCTCTTCAAAGTATCCTGTCTCATATGGCCGACTCGACCTCTTCGAGTACTAGCACAGGGCAGATCATGTCCCGCTTACCAAGGACTGTAAAGTCCACGCTCTGCGATGTCTGCTACAAATTCGAGGAGAAGGTGCTACGACATAAGGTTATCAAGGGCTATAAATACGACAGTGAAGACCACTACTGGCATTGGAAAGCATTGTACGATTCTGCCCAAGGCGGTTGCGAGCTATGCCAGTTACTTTTACCATTGTGTCTCGAAAGCTACGACCGCCGACAGAATCCATTTGTCCGATGTGGCAATATTGTTATACCTCGACACGAAGGACAACCTCTCTTGACAGCTTCCACTGAGTACGAGTCAAGCCAGACCCCGTATGTACTTCATCACACCCGTTCACTCGGGTCGTAGCATGGCATAGTGGCTGACTCAGATCGTTTCCGAAAACAGGGAAAGAGTTCACGAAGGGAAGGATTACCTTGGAGGTATTGTACTTGCCGCAGAAGCTGGTGAGTGTAACAGGACATGATCTCTCGGTATGTTCCACAGTACTGATGTTGAAGTCCCCAGGGAGTCAGGCGCGACAGGAGGGCCGATTCATGGGGCGAAAGTGCTGTGCATATCCCGATTTCGATCTAGCCAGGCAATGGATCAAAGATTGCGAGGGCCATGCTTCTTGCGCTCGAGGTAAAGTGGTAACCTGGACAAATCCGACGCGACTACTTCAGATCATTGGAGACGGCTCAATCGTCAAACTCATAGCGACAACGAACTCAGAGCGGTATGACTATACTACCCTCTCCCACAGATGGGGCACCGACCGCTTGCCGATGCGTACGTTACGCACAAACATTCAGCAGCATATGTCATCCATAGTGACCGAGAACCTCCCGGAGACATTTAGAGACGCAGTTCTCGCAACCCAGACGCTCGGATACGAGTATATATGGATCGACTCGTTATGCATCATCCAGGACGACACGCAAGACTGGGAACGCGAATGTCCGAGGATGGCGTCCATATACGGACAAACCGCCGTGACCATTACAGTCCCAGGGGCCGAGAACTCATACTCGGCGTTCCTATTACCACGGAGAAGTACGCACTCGGTGGAGCTCCAATACAGGAACGAGCAAGGGGAGCCGCAAGGTTCAGTGACAATGTGGCACCCTGGCATATGCTTCCGAACATCCAGTCAAGGCGGATGTGTGAGTCCGACCACGCACCCGGGCGTCTCAGGGTTGAAGGATCGGGGCTGGGTCTTTCAGGAGTGGCTGTTGTCACCCCGGATTCTCTATTTTGGCTCGAGCCAGATCTTCTTTGAGTGTTCACACTCGCGACGCTACGAGATCAGTGACCTGGAATACAGCGCTCCCTTGTCGAGACCGAACATGACCAAGACTCTTCCTACGTACTCTGATGCCGTCCAGTATTACGAATGGTGGTACAGTCTGGTGGGACGGTACTCGATCTGTCACCTCACGTTCGAGAAGGATCGTTTACCGGCCATTTCTGGCATCGCACACAGATATCCGTCGCCGATGGACCAGGATAGACTGCTCGCGGGGCTTTGGGTAGGTGACTTCCCCGGCGCCTTGCTATGGCGATACAGCTACGAGTGGTCATCTGAGGGCCAAGGGAAAGATAGACCAGAAATGAGGGAGGATGTTTCGCCCTCTTGGTCATGGTCATCCAAGGTCTGGGCTGCGTCCAAGGGATATCCGGTTGTCTGGCAGTTCGAGCGTCCTGGCGATCAGGTTCGGTGGACGCAATCGGCAATCAGCACCACAACAAAGCTTGCTAGTCTGTCGAGTACGCCAGATCCATACGGTCAAGTAAGTGAAGGGCACATCCATGTCCGCTCGAAGCTATTCGTAGCACTCCTGGGAGGGGAGGAATACCAGACAGCCAAATGGACACCGTTCCTCGTCGTGAAACAGGGTGGTGTTGGCAATCTTGGTGACATGAAGTATAGCTTCTACCCCGACGTCCCGAATCGGTACACTCCCCGCGGGACGTACGTTGAACGTGATGGCCGCTGGATGAGCGAAGTTCCCGATATCGATGTTGGCATCTTCATTCTTCCGCTCATGATTGACGGTGCCGATCACCTGTGTGGCGTTGCCTTGAAAGCCAACCCGGATGGAAAAGAGTACTATAGAGTTGGACTCGTCACCGGTCGCACCCGTCTATCACAGGAGATGATTGATATTCTTGATTTATCTAACCCAGACGACGCTATAGAAATAGTCGTACGATAAATAGCACCTGAAGATCAAAGAATACCCCTTGGCTAGGCCAGAGCAACAGCCTTCTATGGACATTGAGCGTGTCAGCTTCTTACTAGAGCCACTCCCGAGACGATGCTACTCTCATCCCAAAGCCACAGGACAGAAAATGCCCAAACCCATACGAGCCCTTCAGCCCACCATCCGTCCGAATAAATTCGCAGTAAATCACACGACGATGCGCTAACCATCTAAAGACCATTCACACAAGCATAAAAGCGGTGCATATCTACCCATTCTCAGTTGAACAGACTCCCAAAAAACCAGATACGAGAGCGGGAGATCCTCAAATCGATCGAGTATGGTGTGAATCGGCATATCAGCAAAGGGAAGCATCAAAGGCATTATTATTTTGATCGCAGTGGAGCGTGAACTTGAGGCAAAGTGTTGTATACGAGGGAATGGGGAAACGGATGGGGTCGAGGATGGCAAAGTGTGTTGATCCTGTCTTATCTATGTCAAGAATAGGGGGGGGGGGGGTAGCGGGAAGAGAAGTTTGAAAATCATCTGATCTAATTACAGGATAGCGAGCGGCTTCTGTAATCAAGTAGAAGGAATGAATGTCAAGACAGTGGAAGTAAGCAGCGGTTCAGTCAACTGTTGCGTAGCGCGATCGGACGCATGTCCGCACACGGAGATTGTAGACTTGTAGACACGACCCCCCGATGGAACTCTTCCGAGCCAGGGGTCTGTCTCGTCGCACGAATGAATTACTTGCCATTCTGCGGAGCTCCGTCCCGGATGCATCGCATGCCTAGACTTACACTTTTCAGCGCACGCATTGCATGTCCAAGCGCATATGATAATCATGCTACGGTCTACAGTACCACCTCGTTTACTACGCCTTTGCATCATGCCTTTCGATCCAATCATACAACTTCCTTCTCCGTCCATTCGTCATTTATGCTCGAGAATATTACATGTTTAGAAACACCCAAGCCCAGCGCTTTCAAAGCGTTCCTCGACCACCGAGAGGAAAAAACAACGACAAAAACAACAGGACCAACCGCCGTTCTTTGGTCAGCTTGCCTGATTATTGATACCTGCATAGTGTGATGAAAGTGATAAAAACCTGTGTACGAGAAAGACTCCGTGAAGTGGATAAGAAAAGTGAACTGCTGCAGCGCGGCCGCGCGACGAAATAGATAGACAGCCGAATCCAGTGGCGGACTTCTTTGTCGAGACTTGGGTGAAATGACGCCAGACGGGAAAGGTGTAGCTTTGATGTAGCCAGAGCTGGTTAAAAGAGGAACGACTCCGCGCGTCGAGGTAGAGACGTGGTGCCTGATGGAACGATGTGAGGAAAGCGCATTCGGTATAGTTCGTGGGCTGCAAAGTGGGAATCAGAAAAAGATGGCAGCCCACATTCATCAGGATTGGAACTATCGTCTCGCTGGTCTCGTGTCTAATGAAATGTTGGCCGTAGAAAGGGTCATTATGGAGCGTGGTGGATGCGTGAGGGAGCTATTTCACAAGCTGTAAGCTATATCTCGATTGTCTTGAGCTCCGAGTCGTCCGATGGCTCGATCTTGTTCTCAACCACTTGTTTAACGTCAGCATTCTCCTTGTCGTGGCCGTTCATGGTCAGCTTGCGTGGACTAGGTATATCTCCACTGGTCCGAGGAGTGTCAACCGAAACAAGCTTCTCTTCCGCAATAGGCTTTCGAATGCCGTTGACGTCCGTGTTCACGCGAATTGGTAGAGGCGCTTCTTCCGCGACTCTAGCTAGAGGACTTGACATCTTGGTTCGTGGACTCGCGGTCGCGCCCTTGTGCGGTCTGTTTGAGCTCCTTCCGCGTTCCTCCACACCACTGACTGGGCTTGCATATGGGCTTCCAGAGTCCGAGCCACGAGGACTGCTGGTTCCAGCGAGGTTCGGGTTGATATGCAAGCCGCCATTTGGAGGCCCAGGGCGTCTTCGCGGTGGCTTGCGTCCGTACTTCTGGTCAGCGCGCCAGCGCAAGATCTCGAGGTATGGCGGCTCAACATTCTGCTTCTTGAACTCGAGCAGCTTGAGTTCCATGGTTTCCTCGTCGATGTGCACGTTCTCGGAGCCAAGATCATCGGCCAGAAGGGCAAGAAAATGAGCCCAAGACCGGGCGACAACGTACTTGCAGTCATAATCACGACCAAAAATGATTACCTGACCCCACTTGCCAGCTGGTCCCGGAGCAAGATCGACAGCTAAGCAGTTACCACCCCAATCGCGAGCGAGCGGGATCCATGCTGGGTGAGAGTATGTCTTCTGGATAGCACCAGCAGGCTGCGAGTCCTGCTTCTCTTGAAGTTCCTGTCGCCAAAGTGTGTTGGTTGCGGGTGCAGGAGGGGGAGGAGCAGCAGACGAACTGGCTCCAGCAAACGCTTTGCTTGGGGGTTGAGGGGCACGAAAGTCGGATCTTTGGGCCAAATGATCATCGCGGACCTTCCTCCAGTTTGACCACTCTTCGACAATCTCTTCGCAGTCAAGTAGCATTAGGCCAAAAACTATGCCAGTTGGTCTTCCTCCTCGCTCTTGGCCGTCATGTATCCTTAAAGAGTCTTGCACGTCCAGTGGTAGTGTGCAGTCTAACTCGTGCTCTAGCTCGTCTACATCGGGTTTGGTACAGCCTTCACAAAGCTGTTCGAAGAGTTCCTCGTAATGATCTTCTGCCCAGCGATCGATACGCTTCCAGGAATGTGAAACAGGCGGAGGTGGTGGCAAGCCGTCTGAGAAGCTTTGCATGGGAATCTCACCGGCAGCTAATCTGGACTCGTCATCTTTCCCGGGCAGGGTCCCGGTGTTCTGTCTTGATAAAGTCGATCGCTGGCCAGGAACGTATGGCGAATTGGGAGCGGCGACCTCACTGGGGGAGTTCATGAAGCCATTACTCGTCTGGGGATCATCCTGACCGTAGGAGAGATCTTGTCTCGATTCAAAGGCAGTGGTCGCGACTGATGTGAGGGGAGCGTGTCGGCTCTGTGGTAAGGGGACGTGACGGCCAGTCCGGTATGGCGAATCGAAAGAGGCATGACGGTCATACGAGGTCATAGTATGCCAAAAAGATCGCAGAGACTGGGTGAAGCTGTTTGGCGGTCAGTCGAAGGTGGAATGCAAGCAATTGTAGGCAGGGTGGGCGTGACGTACAGGTTCTGTGCCATGTTTGGCACGGGGGCTGCAGCTGCAGACAGTTTGAAATTGGTGTCGGCAGCGCGGTAAGGAAGAAGATGGGATGAACACGATGGTACAGGAGATGAGGTATCGGCAGATAAGCGTAGAATTACGGGTTGGGAGAGTGTGACAGTAGTTGTTGTTGTTGTGGTAGTGGTCGTGGAGGAAGAGGACAGGGAAAAAGATGGAGAAGCAGAGAATGAAGGATCGCGTTGCGGTGACGGTAACGGTGCCGACGCTAACATTGGGACTTTTAGAGAAGCCTCTCTATAAGGGAGAGAGAGGCAGAAGCAGGGGGGAGGGGGGGGTGTGGCCGGGGGGGGAAAAACGGTGCGTAAGTTAGACGGTTGGCGGGTTTGCGCTTGGCGATAGGCGGTGGCACACGCAGGCAGGCAGGCAGGTAAGCCAGCTAGCAAGCAAAGCAAACAGCCTAATGATGGCTGGGACCTCGGGCGGGCGAGAGGCGAAGAAAGGGCGGTCGGTGGCTGTAGGGAGCTGCCCAGATGTTGCTGCTGTCCTATCGAGTCACCAGTGTGTGCAGTGCGCGGTGTGCAGTGTGCAATATCCAGTGTCCAGTGTCCACTTGGGTGTTGAGGTGTGTTAATATTAATATGTGCTGTGGAGTCAACACTGGAGCCAGTCCACAGGCCAGGCTGTCACTGTTTCTGTTTCTGTCACTGTCACCGCCGTCAGGGACTCAGGGGCAGCGTTGATGAAGCTCGTGTGCCGCAATTCGTCGATAAGTCTCTCACTTCTAGTCTTGTCGATATGTTTGTTCAAGCTGGCGAGGCTTGGTCTCCTTAGTCCTCGGGGAACGTTCTTCGACGCTCCTCTTGTACTTGATGGCAATGCGTCGGACGACAACAGGGGACCTTTGGCAAGGGGCCGCGATGGAGACGGGATAATTGATCTTGGATAAGGGAACGTTGACCGTTAATTAGCAGTCGTCGGTGGGACATGCGGTGGTTTTTGACACTGACTGACTATATTATGTAGCATCAGGCGCATCACGAACTACTTGCATATACATATATACACACTGCACACTAGTAAACAATACACAATCGTCTGCTCCGTCGGCTCATCTTATCGTGCTGCCTCCTCATCAAAGTCTCGCGTCGTAGTGAAACACGCGACCCCCTGAGATTCCGCTCATGCCATGCAGGCCCCCTCCCTGGATGCCCCGTTTCGTGCCCGTACGCGCGCCACACCTCCGCCTCTGCTCTGCAGCACATCCACACCAATAAAATGCTCCCTTTCTTCTATATCTGCTATTAATCTGGTGATCGTGTCTCTTCGTTTGTCAAGTCGTCACTCAACAGACTGGCCAGGGCGTGCGCTATCTTGATACGTTGTGGTGTTTGATGCGCCATGTTTGATGCTCCATGCTGCCATGTTTTAACATTACCCAGCAACCTCTCGCTGCTGCACCAGCGCTATTTCTAGCACAAACCTTCTCCTTGCCCTCCCTCTTCTCGCTCCTCTCCAAGCACGGGCAGATCGTTATTATTATCTGCACTAAGTATCACCTAAATGCGCCTTGGCCATCATGGACGTTCCTTGCAGGCATCTAACGGACCTTCAACAGTTGCAGCATCACATCGCTCCGTGATTCGTCGGACTGGTCGAGAAGCGCCACTGAAGAATCCTTACCCGCCTGTCAACTTGTCATAGCTATCAAGCCGGAACCGCCCCTATCCTGTGCTGCGATTGCGGCATGTGACTTGAAGCTAAACTTACTCACTTTGAAACTCCTGTCTTTGTTATAATTACTACTCAGGACAAGAGATTGACTTCACTCCTCCAGAAAATGTGCAACGTGCGACGGGCTCTTGTACGAGCTGTTTGCATACATAGACTGCGTGCCACTGCATGCTCGCCAATAGCTTGACTCTCGGAATACCCTTGTATGTCATAAGAGGCTAATTGCTATTCATTGGCTATTCCACTCTTCGCTTTGGCCACTTGTCTATCTATTCTAGGCTTCTAAGCTTGATCGCATAATTACGCACACTTCCTCTGCCAACCACACTGTACGAATCAGTGCCCATATACTGTACGATTTACGCTTATGCCTACGCCTTCGCCAAAATACTCAATGCTGCGAGCTCAACTTGCCAATTCATCTTCACTTGATGAACGTGTTGATCGGAAGACGATAAACGTCTATCGTCCAGTATGGCCGCACCGTGCCCTCCCACTCTGCTGATCCATGTAACCCTGCAGGCACCGGTATATCTTCCCAGGTCGTATCGAAGCCAAACTCATAGAGGTCCATCTCCGCAACCTGTCCAGAGTCAGCACGCAATTTCTGCGTGTATACCGAAGACAATTGTGGTCCTTACCTTTGTATATATGTCGTAGCATATCTGGCGATCGGCTCCAAGCCCATTGTACCATCCAAACTTACCGTCGTTGTCAAGTAGCGGAATGACACCTTCTTCAACAAACGCTTTGTACGCAGCGTAATCCTCTGCAAACGTGTCATAGTAGATCGCATCCAGTACCACACCCTTCTCCACCATCTTCGGAACCATGTCCTGCCACCGACCTTCCCAGATCGTCACGTTCGGCTTGTCGTACCATCCCGTCTCCCTCAACCTCTGCAACACTTGCGGATGTGCTTCGATGATGTGATGCTCTGCTGGCCCGCGAAGCTGAATCTGTCCATCCACGATACCCATTCCATGACCGACGTTCATTGCTCGCAGGCCTGGTTTTGGGAGTAGTGTTTCGGCGTGTCTGGTCATTATCTCGGTTTCCCAGGACATCATGACGGCATTGTTGCTAGAGTCCAGAAGAATGTCCTTGCGGTAGCGAAGCGTTGAATTGAGGTAAGAGGAGTTGTCCTTAGAGACGTCGTACCATTCCTCCTCTGCTCCAGCCACGGCCACAGCGCTCTCGGCACTTTCCTCCTGCATTGACTCAGTGGTATGACCTCCAGTCTCCATCTTAGTATCTGCGGTTGCGTCGACTAGCTCGACGTCGTCGTCCTCCTCGTCATATTCCACGTCCTCCATGTCGCGCTCTATAGAACCTAGTGCATTAAATAGAAGCTCCGCGCGCACGCCCGCTTCGACCATTTGGCTGTAAACCTCTTGCAGCCCTAAACGTAAGGCAATACATCCTGGGGTCTCGTCTCTCTTGTCTGTGTCGTTCCAGATAGCTCCATGCTGTAGAAGTAAGCCGACCGTGTCGACAACCTTCTTCTCATTTTCCTTCGTCCCAGCAGCTATTGCTGCATGTAAGGGTGTTGTGCGAGTGTCATCGCGCACATTCGCTGATCCACCGCTCTTGAGCAAAATCTTCAGTGCCTCCGTGTCATGTCTTGACGCAGCTGAGATTATCCTCTGAGCCAGAAGAATATCCTCGTCGCTGATTCCTGTAGAAGACATGATTCAAGTGTCCATGAACTTCGCCACTTAGATAGACAGAACTTTGAATAATTTCGAGGTTTACGAGATGCAGGGCTGAGCTAAACGTAATCCGGCTAGATGGCGGGATCTTAAGCGAACGGTGAACCGCATGGCACACGGTCGTGAGGGTTTTTTACAATGACTGCGAGACTACTGTCCATGAGACTACTGTCCATAGTTGCGTCTTTGAAAGTGATATATCTTTTGGGTATTCGATAACAAAACGCCGAGAATGCACATCTCGCTCAAATTTGACTTGACAATCATCGTTTGATTTTCTTGGCTTCTGGACCACCTTCTTCGTCCTCGTCACTAAGGTCTGCATAAAGCGTCTTTGGCTGTGTTGTCTTCCATGCGTTCGTGAACAGGGGATCGTTCTTGGCCTTATCGGCATACCTCAGCAATGCTTCACGGGGATCTTCATCGCGCATAGAGCTAAGTGGTATGCTGTCCCTGATGTGTCTTGCGTCGGGGGCATTCTTCGAGAATGGAGTTGTTGCAGGTATATGTGGTCTCCGCGGATCTCTTGATTTTCCTGACGCTGTGAGGCCTAGCTGGGGGTGTCGGGCTGCAAAACTCGTCGAGGGCTGACCAGATCCAGTGAGAATGCCTCCAGGAGTGACAATGGCATCATTGGAGATACCCTGCGAGAGGTCCATGGTGAGGCTAGGATCATCGTCCACGTGTCTTTTCTTAGGAGCTTTGCTCATTACCATCTTGGCACCTGATGTTGACGTATTGGGGTTGTAGAGGACGTGCGCTTCTGCATTAGCAGAACCTGTGATTATCTGGTTCAATCTCTCATGCCATAGCACTGTGACCAACGGAGATCCTGGAGTAATCGGAGTCACGAGCTCTGGTCTAAGAGTCGCTGGGTTCAAAATGTGCAAATGGCCGGTCTCAGACCCGACCAGGACACTAGATGAGTTCGGGGAGAACCGGATGTTCGAGGTTGGGAATTCTAGCGAAGTTGATTTGTGCGAAACAGTGTTGACTGGAGCTTTGAACTTGCGGGTATCCCAAAGCTTAATCGTGTCATCACCACCACGAGTGATGATAAGTCTACCATCTGCACTGATGTCCAGTCCTCCAGTCCATGTGTCCTTCTCATGAGCATCTCGAATAACGCCAGCCGGCCGCGAATACGGACCTTCACCGCTCCACATAACCAAGCTCCCGTCATATGCTGCAGCGACGAGTACGTTGGGACCTCCCTGCATAGGAGAACCCCAAGAGACAGCTGTCATTCTCGTTCTGCCTCCAGAGCCTGGCAGTTGTGACTTGTGCACAATAACATCTCGCTGCGCCCTCTTGTTGTTGACATCCCATATTCGTAGTGTGCTGTCAGTCCCTGCTGTCACGCAGAGATCACGGTTTGTTGGATGCCACGCTCCGGAGGTAACCTCTGATACATGTCCTTTGGTATTGTTCATATCACGCAGGTACATGTCACCCTTGGCAAACTCGCATTGTAATTCTCCATCTCGACTGAACACTTTTGCTTGCGGTGAGGCTGTTATAACGAGTATCTGATTCGAAGAAAGTGGGCTGAAGCTGGCTTGGTATATAGGGTGAGCTTCGGCGTTGGACTTCAGCTTGGTCGCTGCAGGATCTACAGACTTGAAAGCACGTATAGTAGTCGGAGTCATAGATGAGAAGTCGTGGAATTTGAGCGAGCAGTCCTTAGACCCAGTCACCATACGTGCTCCGGACGCGTCGAGGGTTATCGTTGTTACGGCGCTTTCGTGCGTCTTTAGCTTCATCTCATGCGAAACGGGAAACTCGTCGTCTTCGTCTTCATCTTCATCGCTGCTGTCACCATTATCATCGGAACTCCCAGTATCCTTCTTGCCTTCCTCCGAATCACTGTCATATCCAGCCGCAACCAGTTTCTTTGGCTCGGGAGCTACGTTTCGCTTTGACTGTTCGATCTGTGCCTGCACATTCGTTTTCTTGCTCTGTTTGCCGAAGGATGTTGGCAGGAAGCTCCGAAGTGCTTGGTCATCCGTGTCCGTGATTTCATTTTCGTCCATCTCAATCTCGGCTCCAGGTAAGATCGATGTACTTCCAAATGGGGTACCTCGCGCAGTGATTTCTATATGCGCTGGAGTAGCTCTAAATATTGATGTGGGTCCAGCCCGGCCGGACCTGAACGGCGGTCTAGCCTCAATGGGCTAGCGTGCTCACTGCTCTCGGCTGGGGTGCGACCAAGCAGCTGCTCGAGAGAAATCTATTCCATCAAACAACAAAATATCGATTGAAGAACTGACATAGGCTGTGATAAGGGGTATATTCAGACTATTCTATCCTATACGATGTATTATACGATGTATATGGTACTAATGTAGCCAAGCTTTGTTCGTGCGGCTAAGTCTAAGCTACATACCTAGGTAAGATCCAATGCTTGATATCAATACGGCTTGAGAAGTGCCAGGTCGTCAGATGTGAACAATTTGGCAGCTGGTATGCTATTTGCCACACCCCAAAAACGCCATATCCACCTGAGGACTTTGCCCCCATAATCAGAGTAAAAAAGTTATGATCCTTTGGAATGTGACCTAACAGCGCTAAGCAAAGATGATACTCCGTTCGCTGAAATCTCATGCTTCGCCAAATAGTCGTGCAGTGATATCGCCCATGTACGCCTCTTCCAGCTCATAATCTTCCCCATTGTTCTTGTCGATCTCTAAATATTCAAAAGCAGACACCACTGCAGGTACGTCGAAACCCATGTCCACAAATCGGTCGATCAGTTGCTTGTTGTACCCATGATATCTACAATTGTTAGCTTTGATCTGATATAGTTCGGGGTGCACCTACGCTTCCAGCCTCGCCTTCTCCTCATTTTCTTTCGCCTGTGCTGCTTTGCGCCTGATAGATTCAGCCGTGGCACCACCGCTGCCTTCACCTTGCTCTTTGCGAGATGCACCTGCGTACTTCACAGCCCATTCCATTGCCTTATGTTTGAACTCTTCTGGCTGTCTGATAAGCATCGCGGCGACCTCGGCGTCTTGGGGGTCTTTTGGCTCTGGTGTACTGAGTAATGACTGTAGTGATATGAGGGCGGACTTGACTGTGAGGACTGGAGACCACTGGGAGGAGAGAGTATCGAGGCAGATTGCACCCTACAAGAATAGGTCAAGGATCGATACATTGACTTATGGTTCGGAGCATTACCGTTTGGCTGCTGACATTAGGATGCCAAATCTTAGTTGTGAACCGCATGAGTGGTGGGCGAAACGGATAGTCAGTCGGTATCTTGATATCGACTACATATGTGCCACCTTCGTAAGGAGTATCTGGCGGCCCAGGAAACGACCCAGTCAGATGGGTCATATCGTCCCCATTGCCAGCAGGTCCGGCTTCTATTTGTGAATGTCTGTCGTTTTGAATGTCGGCAATTTCCTTTGCAATGCGACGATTTCGATTCGACATATCGTAGAACTGAAGACCAAAACGTAGATGTAGCAGGTGTCGAGGTAGCGCCGGAGGTGTCGGACAGACAAGGCGAGCCCTTGGGAATGCTTGCCTAGGCGTCTGTAGGTAACAGGTCGTGATTTGGGGAAGGGTATCGGGTTTTTCTGTTCGCGAAAAACAGTAGGCCTGGAGCAGGTCTTATGTGAGTATTGATCTCTGAGTGTGTTTATGTAGTATTCATACCACAGTGTAATGTTGACGGTGGGGTGATCAGTAGTCGTTCACGCGAGCTTAGACGTGGAGAGAAGATGAGAGGGAAGTATAGTTGGATGGTTGTATGTATATGTATACGACGTCCAGATTACAGGTAGAAGTAGCCGGGTGATTTCGTTGAAGAAGAGGGTTTGACGTGTTGCAACAATCCTCGAATCTGGCTTCGTGGTTCCATTCGTTTGCCAGCGGCCAGTCATCCACGAAGGTACAGCTACAGCAGCAGCGCTAGTAGACGCCACCGACTAGCGCAGCTTACCTATCCGTCTACCAACATCCCCATCAATCTTCCAGGGCTATCGAGCTCTCATACACATGTAAACGTCGCTGGTTGTATAACCCATCAACTACTTGCATCTCGTGCATCTCTTTCGTCATTCTGTTGACAACCTGCAAATTTTCATCACTACAAACCGTTCACACGCGCGCTATTAGCCTAGAGTTGCTAAGCACACTTTCAGTATGGTAAGCATACACGATAAAGAACACCTAGGCCGAGGAGCTATGTTGACGTTCTCTATAGGGCGCGAACCAATCAAGCGCGGGTGGCCGAGCGCCAGGTGAGGGTGGGAAGGACAAGAAAGACGGCAAGGTATGAAACTCTCATTTACGAAAGAGAAAGAACACCATCAGATGGCTGAACCTATGATACGCGACTTGAATCTATTGCCTCCTGTATATATCTGATGTGGTACGCGAAGACAAAAACTAACACATCATGTTTTATAGAAGGATAAGCCCAAGTATGAACCACCACCGCAGCCAACAACCCGTATCGGTCGTAAGAAAAGAAAGGCTGCAGGCCCAAACGCCGCTGCAAAGCTCCCGACAGTATACCCGACAGCACGCTGTAAGCTTAAGTATCTGCGTATGCAACGAATTCACGATCATCTATTGTTGGAGGAGGAATACGTCGAGAATCAGGAACGCATCCGCAAGGCCAAAGCAGCAAGTACCACCCAGCCAGCCGCTGCTGGTGGCGATTCCGACGCTATTGACCGCAACGCCGATGAAAGATCTAGAGTTGATGATATGAGGGGCAGTCCCATGGGCGTTGGAAACCTGGAAGAGTTGATCGATGACGATCATGCGATCGTTTCTAGTGCTACCGGACCGGAGTATTATGTCTCGATCATGTCTTTCGTCGATAAGGATCTCCTTGAGCCGGGAGCCAGCATACTCCTGCACCACAAGTCTGTTTCGGTCGTTGGTGTACTGACAGATGATGCCGACCCACTTGTATCGGTCATGAAGCTGGACAAAGCACCTACGGAATCGTATGCGGATATTGGTGGTTTGGAGCAGCAAATACAAGAAGTAAGAGAAGCCGTGGAGCTACCTCTACTTCATCCGGAGCTCTATGAGGAGATGGGTATCAAGCCACCGAAGGGTGTCATCCTCTATGGAGGTCCTGGTACTGGAAAGACACTGCTAGCCAAAGCTGTGGCCAACCAGACCAGCGCAACTTTCCTTCGTATCGTTGGTAGTGAGCTGATCCAGAAATATCTTGGTGACGGCCCACGATTGGTGCGGCAGCTCTTCCAGGTCGCTGCCGAGCACGCCCCATCAATAGTGTTTATCGACGAGATCGACGCGATTGGCACGAAACGATATGAGTCGACATCTGGTGGTGAACGGGAGGTCCAGCGTACTATGTTGGAGCTCCTTAATCAACTTGATGGATTTGATGATCGCGGCGATGTCAAAGTGATCATGGCAACTAATAAGATTGAGACACTTGACCCTGCCTTGATCCGACCTGGACGTATAGATCGCAAGATCCTCTTCGAGAATCCGGACCAGAACACAAAGAAAAAGATCTTCACTCTACACACCTCAAAGATGTCACTGTCCGATGATGTCGATCTCGATGAATTCATCAACCAGAAAGATGATCTTTCTGGAGCAGATATCAAGGCTATCTGCTCCGAAGCCGGTCTCATGGCACTCCGTGAGCGAAGGATGCGGGTGCAGATGGCAGATTTCCGCTCAGCAAGAGAAAGAGTACTGAAGACTAAGAGTGAAGGCGAACCAGAGGGCCTGTACCTGTAAGATCAGTGGATAGATGGCAGTAGCTGGAAGCACAAGTGAACTTGGTCGGATGGCATTTAATGAGAAGACATCGACCTGCTGTAGTAATACATTGCCTGCGAGGTCGTCATACTCTTGCGTCTAGATGTGACAAGGATTGAAAGCTCTATAGAACCCCCGGCTTGAACATCATTGGACCACTGTGAATCGAATCAGGCATATTGAAGAAGAAAATCGGTAATGAACTAGGTATGATTCGTATTGCAATATTCACATCAGGCCTTGAACGTCACTGAGCTCCCTTAACTAAGTAGCATCTCTGCTGGTTCCACACAAGCACGTGTACATTCCCTTTTGCTCGCTGTCCCGTTTGCCAGATAGCTCATTAGTGTGCTGGCTGCTCAATTTCATACCTGTTTTCGAATTTCCAAAGAGAAGATTGCTTGATAGCTTTCTCTTGATAGCTTTCGAACTCACGCGACAGAAAAGGTCGATCTCTTGACTTAGATTACTCAACACAGATATTCCCCTTTTCAAATCCAACAATGTCGACTGAATCATCAAGTCTAATGCCTCACAGCGACACGGGAAGCAATACTGGCTGTTGTGCACCCAAGCTTTGCCTCTCGCACATGGACTCCTTCACACATCTCACGGCGCCACCCACCACTAACCTAGACATGAACGAAGCAGGCTTCATTGGTTCTATTGGCGTGACCTGGGCGTACCACTTTTGCAAACTCAGGACCAAGAAGGAGCAAATGAACGACGAGTTGTACTTCAAGGATCGAGAATTCTCACGTGAAAGACAAAAGTGGATGGCAGAAGAGAAACGCCTGTTCGAACAGATAAACCCACTGCGTATACAACTCGTTGCGACGAAGCGCGCGCTAGAGCACGAACGCAGTGCGAGACTTGAATCGGAGAAAGCATATGAGACTTCGAGACTAGAGGCGCGCACGGCATTTAGGAAGGCGGAGACACAGGAAGATGATATCAGACGCCACGAAGACCTGGTCTCTGGGGCCCTTAGAAACATGTTCGCTGATGCATACGACACCGAGTACCACCTTCACAACGTTGACGATGGGTTCCAAATAAACTGCCACGGGTGTGAAATGATCTTGCTGGCTCTTTTGTCCCCGCTTGGTAAGCTACGTCTGAATCCTGGTGGGTGGATTGAAGAGATGGGGGACGAGACGAGCAAAGTTCGCGAGCACAATGAGGAACTGTGTCGTGTGATTAGTGGGTGTATATATGAAGCGGCGGGGATCTGTAAGTGGGAGCGAGCGGAGCATACGCATGATCGCGATTCGCAGTTCATGCCGCAGTGCTCGACGTGTATGAACAGTCTCAGGTCAGTCGTGGAGCGGGCGGAGATTGTCAATACGCTTGTCCTAGAGAAGGAGGAGTTGACAAAGGAAATTGATCAATTGTCAAAGGTGTGTCGATCAGAAGCGCGAGCTGCAAGAGATCTTGTGGCAGAGCTGCGAGAAGAGCGCCTGATCGAGGAGCGAATTAAAGACTGGGCGGTGGGAACAAGTATCGCCGACTTCAAGTCCGAGAACGACCAGCTTAGGAAAGAACTCGCCGAAGCTCAAGAGGGGATCGAGACACAATCTCACCTCGTCGAGGAGCTTCAGGGGCAGTTGGCGCGGGATCAAGTTAAAGACAGGCAGATCCAAGACTCTGCGCTCAAGATCTTGTCAGAATACCACGACTTAAAGATTGAGAATGTCCAGCTCAAAGAAGATGTCGCCGACGCAGTGGAGAGCAAGAATCGTCTGAGCAGTCTTTCCATCGCGGAGATGAACGACGCCTTGCAGACCATAAAGAGGCTTAAAACGGAGCGCACCACCCAGGAGAAATCAATTGGAATCGCAGATCAGACTGTTGCACTCCTTTGTGAAGAGGCCAAACAATACGAAGACCTCGCCCGAAACCGTCTGACCTTGCTTGATGTACTGGCCCGAGGACATATCTCTGGACTGTTTGGTTCGAGGAACTTGGCCGAGAATAGCGCTCTGGCTCGCAATCCAGAGGAGCAAACCCACCCAAACGATCCAAGCTACCTCTCGTACGCCATGCTTGCTGAAACTCGAATATCAAGCCTCGTACGCTCGAACAGCTTACTACGTGCCGAGCTCAGCGTGTCTCATAGTACTCTAGCCGAGCGCAACGAAACACTTACCGCTATGGAGGAAAAGCTAGATGCAAGTGAAAGTCGACTCCTACACGAAGAGATGTCCAACAGCCTTGCACAGTCCAAGATATTAGATTTAGAAGGGACGATCGAGACACTACAGGCTCAAATGAAGGACATGAATATCCAGTATATGAAGCTGAAAATGTTTATCCAAACACAAGCTCCGCAAACAATAAGCGAGGTCATCCATCAGCAAGAGCAAGAGATTGAGTGTCTGAAGTACCAGGCACAGCATACACGTGAGCGTAAACATGTTTCCACGGATGGACCAGCTATGCAGTATCCGCATGATTGTCTGGAGGATCGTTCGGTGGATGAAGAAGAAGAAAGGGAGGCAGATAACCACCGACTGAACTCTGAGATGTATCGTACGGAGGTTGCGGACTGGTTCGCTGGAAATGTCTCAAGTGTCACTGGGCTCTCTCCGGATCTTCAAGACTGGCGTGATGTATGAAAAGTTAAAGTATTGGATTCATGGGTCACGTTCACTCTTGTAGAATAGAACAGACATGTATTATCCCCTTGATTGAATGGGGTCCGCTACCAATATTGAGACAAATCATCAGACTCATATATTTGACATTACTGCGAGGTCTAAACCGGAAGATTCGTTCTTTACTACAAGAAGTTGCCGGTCGCGACCAGGAGATACACTCGACTTTTGTCCCATATGTAGCGTCGAGTTTCTTTCTCCTTTTTCATGGTCCGAACACACCCCTGGATTCAAATACCTATGAGCCATGATTCCAGGGAAGCAGAGACGTATGTTCCGAGTTGTTAGGACACTATCCGGACCCTCGTTAGCCTGGAGCGCCTGTATTTGGTAGAGGTGGACCCCAAAAGTCGTCAGCTTCCTTCTCTTGCTTTTCTCTCTCAATTTTTCGTTTCTTCGCCAGTCCTTCCTCCAACTTCCCATCCATAGTAGCGTCGCGTTTCTGTGCTTTATTCAGGCCAATCAAATCTATTTTATCAGGATTACGACATTGGTATAGTTTCTTGTCTACACGTGTGAGTTCGGCACGCTCTTCGAGAGTTGGCTGGGATGGTGTATCTCCATTTGATATCATCGTCGCGCAGCTACGGATGGTGGAAATGACCCTAGTTTTGAGTGGAGCTGATGAGTTTGATCCAGGAGCGACAGTAAACTTGGTATCAAGATAGAAGAGAGTCAGTGGCTCGTCGGCGAGGAGATGAGCGGCGAGCCAAATTTGAGAAGGCGTGTAGAGAAAGTACGCATCGGTAAGCAGGGCTGCATTTTTGAGATAGCGATCGGATGCAATACTATGAGCTTCTGTGATGCGTTTCTCCATCTGATGCACCTCGTGTATGATTTCAGGCCCACCAGAGGTCTGAGGTAGACTAAGTAGAGCCTGCTGTAGTTGTACGGCAGACTGTGAGTGCCCAGGAAGTACAGCTGCCTCTCCCTTAGCCATGGACAGAAGTTCCAGATGACCACCAGTCAGACCTCGAAAGGGATGTCTCACTTCAAATGTGAACCTGAGTGCTTGAGTCAAGATGAATTCTGGGGCTAGTACATCGTCTCGAAGAGTCGGCTTTTTTCCTCCTATTTGTCCGCAGTATTTGTCCAAGTCTTGGTGGTGGTTCTCGGTTTTAGTTGCGACAAAAAGAGCAGTCTTGAGAATGTCTTTGGGGTGATATGTCATTGGAGAGTTGAACAAGTAGAATCGTTTCATATACTGAATTGCAGTTCCCTGAGCAGTAAGCATGGAGAACTCAAGGCATGGTGTCCTCTCTCACGTATACGTTTGCGGGGTACTTGAAGTTGTCCTTGCCCATCTTCAGACATTGCGCGCAGTAGTACCCCAGTAGTTTCTGCTCCTCCTCTAAAGTCAAACATTCTACCTCTTTGGTCTGCAACTCTGACACTACAGTCACTTCTCCGCCATTTTGTGCTTTGTCTGCAGCAATTCGAGCTTTGCGGCGCCGGTCGAAGGCTGCCTTCACGCGCTCTACTGCGGCTCGATTGGTGTTTCGACGCAACGACGCTAATGAGTCTGGAGTAAAATTCCAATACCGAAACTGAGTCGACGTTCGGTACTTCGCATCTTCATTGAGATGCATATTGGAGCATGTTGAGAATCTCGGGGTAGATCGTGCCTCGTCAGGTCGTTGTTGTTGAATGACAAGGTCCGAGGGTCTAAGCTGTATCCAGAGTTAACCCGGAATAGGACTAGCATTTACGGACATCCCAACCTAATACTAACGAGTCTTCTCTCTATTCCACTATTATAGACAGTACAGCCTTACTATATCTATAGAATAACTATCCTGTTGTGTACTATACTCCGTTGACTTCTGAAGCATTCATCTGTACAGAAATAGCTTTACATAGAGCAAATATGACCTCATGAAGTAATAACGATGCTTGAAGCATGATCTATCATTTTAAGTACATTATGTAAAATTATGAAGTTTCTGTCTAACACATAGAGAGTACAAGCGGTAGTGTATCATCATTAAGGATATTGTACAGGGCTATAGACACAGTTTGTACTGTAGCAACCATACATTAACCAAGTCAGGTGTCGAACATCGTGCTTTCGACTGCCGATAAAATTCTCAATACAACACCCCTTTGGTACTTCTCACCTCGCCCTCGCCCTCACCGACCTCGACACCTGGTCTTTCCCACGGGCCCGTAGCTATCCGAATCGCTACAGCCAACGCTTTAAAGGCACTCTCCGCCCTGTGATGATCATTCTCGCCTCTCAAGCAATCTACATGCAGCGTTACGCCCGCCGCCTGTGCGAAGCTCTGGAAGCAATGCGGTATCATTTCACAGCTCAGGTCGCCAATCTTCTCTCTCTTGAGCCCAAGATCCACAACGGAGTATGGGCGATTTGAGAGATCTATGACGGCGCGCGAGAGGGCTTCATCGAGCGGGCAGTATGCGCTGCCAAAGCGGGCGGGGGCAGGGTGTGGTGGGGTTGTGGGTGTGAGGAGGGCGGTCTTGAAGGCCGTACCGAGGGCGATGCATGTGTCTTCAGCAGTGTGGTGGTCATCAACTGAGTGTTCGAGTCAGCTCGAGCGGTTTATTGTTTATTCAAGTCTTCAGCGTCTGAATGGAGAGTGGAAGTAGACGTACTGTGCAGATCACCCTTCGCCCGTATTTGTAAACTCCAGCCCGCATGCTTCGCCAGTGCGTGCAGCATATGATCCAGAAACCCAATGCCCGTATTTACATCTATCTGTTGACGCTTGGAGATCTGCGCTGCGTGATCTTGCTTGACAGCTGTTTCGCCATTGGTACTGCTGTGTGGGAGGGCGCCACCGTCGAGGCTAAGAGAGATGTTAATTTTGGTTTCATTGGTGTCGCGCGAGATTGTCGCAGTTCGTGCTGGGGACACCATTATACTTGCTGTTGGGGGGGGTTAGAGGTAAGATGTATGAGCGTTGGAGTTGGATGTAGAATAGCAACAGATATGGCTTCGTTCATCCGTCATCAGGTGCTAGTGCTACAAGAAACCACTAGTGGCATCCATTACAGCTTGAATCCACTACTTCAAGTCATCTTGATACCAATAATTCAGTGAGTCTCTAGATAATTAGTACTACCTAATTAGCTTACTATATCTAGATAAGACTTAGTATAGTTTAATTAGAGTATTGCTATATTAGGATATTATGAAAGTCAAAAGTATTGGTGTCTTGATATATATAGTACACTCCTAAATTATTCCCAAGGTACCTAGGTATCAGAGTAAGTATTGGCATTGTCTCACACCAGTATCTTACGTTTTGCGTGTCGATCAGCGATTAACGGAACTAGACATCCCTATGTGTGAGACAGGGACGTGAGATAGTATCCAGTAGAGGTTTTATCGATTGCTTGACGGTAAATTTCATAATACAGTGCATAGCAGAATACAAATCCCATTGACTCCACAGTTGCAGATCTAGTCTGCTATGGAACGACTGAACTGCCTGTAACCCACCCACGCGAAACCCTAGACCGTGGTAATGGTACACGTGAGACGTATTCCTCACGTCTCGATCACGGTCGAATCAAACCAGACACTCAGAAATTGTTCCCATCTGCAGCTGTGTCCATATCCATATCTCCATTTCCGTTCCCGTGTCCGTCCTGTGCTGCCGCTGCCGCCGCTTCAGCAGCTGCTTCAACCTCTGCCTCATTTTGTTTGAGCCTCTGCAACGCTTCTTCGGCGTCTTTGACACGCATCTCCATGACTGCTTCACCAACAACAGCTTCTTCAACGGCACCTTTTCGAGCAAAAACTCGGTTCCAACGTGCACCCCAAGCACGTAGTAGCTCGGCTTCAGCAGGGGTGATATCGTTCGCACCAACAGCTTCCATATACCCATCGGTAGCACCAGCCGCAAGACCCTGGGTGGCCTCAGCAATCACGGCAAAGAGCTCCCGCATGCTTTGACGCTCTTCAGTGACTTTTTCGTCGAGCATGCGGATCTGCTCAGGAGGGAGAGCTACCTGTAAACGTGCAGCAGCGATCTGACGAACTCGGGAGGTGACTTTATGCATTGTCGTAGACACCATCTCATAGACCCACGGCTGTGAGAGTAGTTTGCCTTCCTTAAGACGAGAAGGGCCAAGAGCCCATTGTATAACGTGCATTGGAGAGAGTATAGTGTAATTGAGGAGCTTGTCGATAATAGACACTGCAGTGCCTGGATGAATGGACCAGTAGTCGACGACAGACTGTACTATTTGTATACGCGCGGATTCAGGTGTTGAAAGCAGGCGGTCCTTGCAGCGATCGATGATGGATAGAGCATGTGAGAGTGACTTGGAGCCAACAAAGAGTATACACGTAATGTATGCATCGGTCGATGGAATGTGTACATCCCCAATACCACGCTCGGCAGCCTCGTCGTGAATCTGGTTCATGACGATGTCAACGGTTTCTTCAGGGGCTTTCTTGCGGATGAGGGCGAGCAGTTCCCGTCCGTACGTAGCGTACGGCGTACGTTCGTCATTGTACTTGAAGTCAGGAATGTCCTTCTCCTTGGCTTCAGTAATGAGATGATGGTATTCCGGTGGTAAGGTGGAGCGTATACGTTTGGCGAAGCTGAGCCGAATCTCTTTGTCAAGGGCACCAACAATGAAAGCTTTCTTTGGATCAATCGCAGGTCGGGTCAGGTCATCAGTCCATTCGGTCCATTTCCACCGGAACTCAAAGTTGCTGAGATGATGTGCGAACCAATCCATGAATCTTGCACTCAACTCCATATCCATACCGTCTAAATTGCGGAAAAGGAATCGAATAGCCCTACCTAGACTAGGAGCGATAGCGGCAGGCGCAATCTTGCAGCTTTCTGTAATGATTGAATGGTAGTATATAAGCTTATGCTCTGCAGATGGTAGAACGAAAATTTGCGAGAAGAGAGCATCGATGGCAACATCTTCAGGTTTCCAAGTTGACTCGCCGCTCGGGATGTCGCGCAGCTTGTCAAATGGCGTCGCCCTTTTCACGAAGGTTCCAGGAGCCCAGAAATTGTCCATGTCGATTAGAAACTTGGCTACCTGGTGACGATTGAAGTCGAGGATGTTGATGGTGTCTACAAGGGTATCGCGGACAAGGGTACCGACGAGTGCTGTAGTCTTAGGAACAGTCTAGAATCATCAGTAATGTATGAATCGAGCTTCGCGGGCTGTAACTCACTTCAATGTCCTGATCGGCGTATATTGAGTAAAATGCTTCGGGGAAAAGAGCCTTCGGCCCTTGCGAGACTGGGTTAGGCATGGTGATAACGGGGAAGGGGTGTTGCTTAGGCGAGTCGATGATACCAGCAGCGTCAACATCGCCCTCCGTGGCAGGGAGAACTGGCTTGACATACGCTCTAAGGATGAATGGCAACTTCCAGCCCATGTTGGCTTCTTGTTGTATCTGATCTTGGAGCAAACCGAGCAAACTCTTGTATGAATATGGTCGGTCTTCGCTTCCGCGATGGAAGTTCTCAGTCTCAGCCGCGCCATGATATGGCTCAACTAAGGACTCCAAGGCGTGCGGGGCGGATGCGACGATACCAGTTTTTTCGAGAAGTTCCGCTGCCTTCTGCTCAAGTCCAGTTGCGGAGGTTGCAAGGACATAAGGTATTGTGAGCAGGATGATCTTGACGATCTCAAGGCCGATTGTGTCGGCTGAGCTAGCGGCTTGAAGTTCTGCAGCACTGTTGAAGAGTTCGTCGAGTATTCCGAAAACGCCATCGTCGTTGTAAAGAGACTGACAGCATGCAAGGAAGCGGAGGAGTAGCTTGAACTCTCTCCACGAGCCTTTCTCTAGCGCGGCCTGCGCCTGTTTTCCGGCACGGGTGAGTAGCTCGACCGCGATATCTGAATTATAGTCATTTGCGTACTGACACAGCGCGGCCATGATTGGGATCTTCAGTGGTTGTTCGACGCAACTATTGTATCTGTTAAGTTCACGGCGCGTCTGGCCTTCGAAGACTACTCACAACTGAATGACTAGATCCAGCACCCCACCCTTCACCTCCGAATCTTCATAGCTCTCTGCAATCTTCTTTGCAACCTCTTGCGTCTCAGTGGCTGGAATCTTCGTGCCAGAGTCGCCAAGCTGCAGAACGCATCGTCTCACCTTGACAAAGGCTGGCTCCTCAATCTTCCGACGCTGGGGCTGGCGATCATAGTCGTCATCTTCTATTTGGTATCATTAGCTAGAAACCCACGAGGCCTTTGGTAGCACAGGCTAGACTTGCCCCTGTATCTGCGTTTGCCATTTTTATTATGGTATCCTCTTCCTCCGTGCCTCGGCTTTGAGTCTCTCGAGTCCATATCTGCCATGTTTGAGTCAACGATGGGCCTGTCGGGATCGTTCTGATTTTCAACGGTGTTGAGCTTTGGTCGTGATGGCGATGCGAAGCTTGCACCTCGCGACGAGCTAGCGTCTCTGGAGTAGCAGCCCAGTTTGTAGTACTCGTTAGGTGAATTTTCAGAGAAGTGATTGTACGCTCCACGGTCGTTGGAGTGTTTGACCTGAATAAGACTCGGATTTGGGAGACCGCGAAGTCGGCCTTGCTGAAGCCCTTTGCGCGAACGGGGGATCAAGTTTTGCCGACGTGAATGCTCATGATTATGGTAGCGCGGGCTACTCCCTTTTGGACCAGCTGGCACTTGCGCTACCTCCGAACCTTTCCCGGGGTAGCTCGACTGACTATTGTCATTACTAGACGAACTAGCAATCGGGGCATGAACATGATCTACAAACACTTTCGAGCCTGCATCTTGACCATTCCGGGGACTGTCCTCGTGATCTTTGACGATAGCGAAGACGTTTGAGCTTGCCAGACCGACATCATGTTGCAGATCGCTCAATGCATTCTCATCGTAATTGATCAAGTTTGGTGCCAAATCTTTGACCGCTGGGACCGCTCCTGAGCGCTGTGAGTTTAGATCTGGCTCAAGTATAGCATATGAAGAGAGCCCTGGCGTCTCCTCATCCAGAAGAGAATCTATAATATTCATGGTGGATGGCGAGAAAGTAGATGAGTCAGGGTGTGGAATCTCTTAGAAGATACGACGATGAGTGAGGTAAGAGGATGTTGAGGTCATTTGGTAGGTGAACGACAGTGAATAGATTCTACCAGTTAGGTCTAACAAATCGAGACTTGAATTCTCCCTCTGCCAGGCACCTCCGTCACCAATTCATGGATTACCACTCGACGTACATGGCATTTGCCGGGTAGACAGGCTACTTTCAATACCATTGTTTCACGTTTTGGGACGTGGTAAAGTTCATGTGAAGATGTGCGATGACAACTAATCAATAGAAATTTCAAGATGTGCACGTGAAGTGAGGCCCGCTATTGAAATGTGTCTAACTCCGATTTTCTTTTGCCTACTGACATCTCGAACCTTTTAACCAGGAAGTTCGTCGCATACAGCGTTTCTCAGATGCAAATGGACGCCTCTGTAGCCAATCCAGATCCTTTTATGGAACAGCGAAATACTTGAACAGTACCTATTGTCAGAAAATGCGAAAACGACAGGTTTCCTGAATGCGGTGAAATCAGAACATTGAAACGTCGCTGGCTGCCAGTCACACCAGTAATATGAGTGGAAAGAAAAATTGAAAAACGTCTAATAAAAGAGATGAACGAAGAATTGAAGATGCCTATGCCTGCAGTATGCTAGTCCTGCCTCATTGAGCCTTCTCCATCAAGATCAAGGGCTGCGCCATATCTGAGTATTACGCAGACTGCGCGTAGACGAGCAAGATCCACCGCAGGCTGAAGGCTGCGTTTGTATTTGAACCATTCCAATGTCCTGGAGTGGTATAGAAGGCCTGGTCGCACCAAAATAAGACATTCATCCCGTGAATCCAACTTCACAAAAACAAAGGGCGCAATTGTCGTCGTCGATTCATAGCTGCCTCTCATCCAGGACCAAGTAAGACCGATGTCGCAAGAAGTTGAGAGTAGGATACTACAATCGCTCTGCGATATCACCAAGAGCGCAAAGGCACAACAAGCTGAGCATTCGACAATACTGGTACGGTGATACGGTGTAACTGTGGAATATTGACATTTCGTATCATTTCGGGCGTGAGGAATATACTTCGTGCACGGGAATGAGTGCCTTACGAAAACAAAAGGCCGTTGTGATTGTGGTCAGAGAGTCCGTAGTACCTGTAAAGACGGCACTCTCCAGAGGGCAAAGTCGTCAGGGAGGCGCGTAAAGGTTGTCGAAACGATGACAAGACCTATTTGGTAACAGTGGCTCGCCATTTTGAGTCGACTAGAGTTTAATCCAATCTTGCGAGCATGTCGTCTTTGGACATAGGCTTGAAATTTGGCGATTCGATATCGAGGCCTTGCGATGCAAGGATTGGGCGAATATGAGCTGGAATCAGCTGTCGATTCAGTTCTGGCCGGATAGAAAGTTCTGTGACCTGTTGTTAGCAGATACGAAACAGTAAAAGAAAAGTACCACAAACCATGATGAGTGAAGTTGAAGAGTGGAGGGAAGTCCTTCGGAGCTCCATTGGCGTGGCGGGAGTCAGGAAGCTTAGCAGTTGGATCTCTCAGCTCATCAAAGAATGGATGCACCATTGCATCAATGGCCGAGAGACGTTGAGTAGGCGTGTACTCCAACAATTGAGCAATCAGCTCGATTGCATTCGTGTCCGCTTTGCGGAAGACCTGATTGGGAATTAACTGTTGGTTCACCGGTGGTTGTTGCGCTAGAATTTGTCTGACCTTGTTGAAGGGATGCGGTTTGATCTGTGGGAACTTGTGCTCCATGTAGTTCGGATTCATGGTTCGAATCTGCTCCCGAGTGGGTGTACCGAGAACCTTGATGATTTCGACCAGTTGATCGATTCCAGACTCCCCTGGAAACAGAGGCTGGCCAAGCATCAACTCTGCCATGACACATCCAGTCGACCACACATCTGTATCACAAATGTCAGTTTCTTCGGTGCTTAGGAGAAACAGTGCGCATTGCAAGCCTACCGATCTTTGTCGTATAGTTTGTGGCACCAAAGATGAGTTCTGGGGCACGGTAGTAGCGAGAGCAGATATACGAAACATTGGGTTCGTTCTCGACAAGGATCTTCGCACTGCCAAAATCACAGAGCTTAAGAATTCCACTGCCAGGATCTAACAGCAAGTTCTGCGGTTTGATGTCGCGATGGCAGATACCCTGGGAGTGGATGTACGCCAACGATCGGAAGAGCTGGTAGATGTACAGCTTGACCTCGAGTATCGGCATGACCGTCTTCATCTTATTGAAGTACCGCGATGCTCGATACACTGTCTCAGGAACGAACTCAAGCACGAGGTTCAGGTAAACTTCATCCTTCTGAACGTTGGTTAGCGCAGTACCGCTGTGTGGTAACAATTGACGTGCTTACCCGCTCGCCGTTGTTATAGAAAAAGGCCTTGAGCTCAACGATATTTGGGTGTCTCACAATGCGCATGATCTGAAGTTCGCGATTCTAGCATGAGTTAGTCATTGATACACTCGAGACCTTCTCCATCGGCAGACCTTAAACCGCTTGTCTTGCAATACACGCTTGATGGCAGCATCTTCTCCACTGGGCGACAGCTTTGTCTGAAATACGACACCAAAGGAGCCATTTCCTACGATCTTGCATTGCGTATATGATAGATCCCGATATTCGCCAGTCACACCATCCTGGACTTTCTCGTGGATTATCTCTTCGGGGTCTATGTCAGCTGTCAAATAGTGCAAGTACTGGTGATGGCAAACCCTTACCACCCATTCTCATGTTTGTGAAAGCGTTGTTGCGGGAGCCGGTCATCGCCTTGCAGCACAGCTATGACGAGAATTCGTTGGTGACCGAGTTGCTACCGAGAGTATGGAGGACTGGCGGAAAGCGGGGTGCAAGCGAGTTGATCCGTTCTGGGCAAGTATCGTGGGGGATATAAGGTAAAGTATGAGGCCAAAGCGATGTCAAGAGGATGATAAGAGGATTGCTAGGAGCTGTTGAGGTTTGTCGGCGCAGGCCCTCGAGGGCTGTTCGTCAAGTGCGCAGGTGATGGTGGAGTAGCGGGCGGGAGTGGCTGAAGAAAGAGGCAATCAGCAGGACGCAAAGGCGGGGACAGTCGAGGTGATCAGAGCTAGACAGGCCGAGTAGAAGGTGAAAGGGTAGAAGCTGTAGGAAGAAATGAAAAGGTGCAAGATGAGGACGAGGGTGAAGCTGAGGTTGAGGATGAGGTTGAAGAGAGAGCAGAGCGAAGATGATGAAAGTAGTGAAATGACGATGCGGATGGGAGGGGCTTGGGTTGTGGTTGTGGCCCTATTACGGCAGCGCGTGACCTCGTACTAATAAGGATGGCCTACCTCGATCTTCTAATACCGTCAAGTAACCTACCCTGTGCTGGTAGCGTGCCTGGGCCTGGCGTGTGTGGAGCTTAATAGCTGGGTGAATACTGCTATGCTGATGCACCGAATTGAAGGGACCAAGTCAGTCAATAAGACAAACAGCACAAGCTCGGTGGGCCGCGGACTGGTGCAGTGAATGAAGGTCTGAATGGTGGTAGACTGGCGGTCATAGTCTAGTTACTTGGGAGTTACCTACCTTGCGCGCAAGTGTTCGCAGGGCCACCAATGCCACGTTTTCACGGAAGGGGAGCAGCCAGATTGGTATTATCGCTTTTACTGGGAAGGAAGGTCAAAACACGACCAAGTAACAAAGCGGATGGGCTCATCATGGCTGTCGGGTACGTTTGCACGACCATCTGCTGGTCTCCGCCGTATCCACCTTCGGATCCCATCCTCAGCCATCGAGTCTTGCTCTCTCGTCCTCATCAACAGACTACAGGACGCTTAATCCACAAAGCACAAATCGCTAGCGAGCCCAGTTGCGGCCAATTGCTCGACTCTAACAGTGCCCACCTACGAGGCTACGCCTATTTTCTCCATACGCCTCCTCAGCGTTTCCGCATGAACCTTGGGCTGTCCTTGAGTTCACGCCCCCTTATTGGCTCCAACGGCAGGCACATGAACGACAGAGAAGAGGCACATTTCGTTCTACAGGCAGGCCGCTGTGTTGCTGTCTCTCCAGCGTCCGAAGCACACATCAGTAATATGTCACCACCACAGCACAGGATTAACGGTGCGAAGTAGCATCATCTTATAGGCTTCACAGATCTTGTCGACGTTGTTAAGCCGTTGCCTGCTTGGGGCCTGTTGGGCAAGAACGATCTCACCCGCCTCTGTGCTGGTATGGACTGCTGAGCGATCCATTGATAGAGTGGCTGGCTTCGATAAGTTTGCGTTATGCTGCGCAGTGTAAGAGACGACGACTGCCCAAGGGGCACGACCGCGATTATCAATTGGCCTGGCAGCTCTGTGCAAAGCTCGCCTAAATAACGATTCTTTCCTATTGTGTGTCGATCACGTCCCCTGGACCCTGGCGCGGCAAAATCGATGGTGGTGGCCTTTGTCAAAAGAGTAATTGACGCAAGTCTCAGACACGGCATAATTATTTACTTTGATATCATGCACGCAATCAATTGAGACTCTTGGGAGAGAGTGTGTAGGTCCTGTGTATGCGTCCCAATTGAAGCGGAGCTGCAGAACTAGCACAACATGTGGGCAAGGTGGAGCCACACAGGTGTCTCACGAGACGCGAAGATTCGCATTATTGAAGAGGTCAGCTGGCTGCATGCGCCAAGATGTGTTTGTGCCGGGGAGCCAACCATCAGCATTCTTCACACAGCCAGCCTTTTTGAGCGGCTAGTCCTTTGTGGCCTTTGTCGTCTCCCTGCTCCAGACCCACCATCATCGTGGCTTCATTACTGGCTTCAACGGGAGCGACCTCGCCCCAGGCCAGCCACCAGGCCACTTCTCACGGGCTATGCATTTACCCTTCTCAAGGACGGGCGGGGCGGGTGTGGACGTGGACATGTTCATGTTGCAGCAGAGCCTCATCCACCACACCGACACGATGGCTCCTAATCACGAGCCTTTCGTTTCAGCTTCGCCTGCATCTATTCTTGGGCCCAGGAAACCACAAATGTGACCACTTCGGCGGCCGAGCCTGCCCGTGCGGTCCATCAAGATTCCACTCTGATACCTCTCAGGTCGTCCCGAGGAGAACGTACGACCTGATCCGGGATTACGTCGACATGCAGGCCTGGACTGCGCTTGCTCCCTAGCGCTCCATCCGCTTGGTGTCTGGGATTCGCTGCGCTGGGCATGATATGTATGTGATGCATTGTCATCTTCTTCTCAATTGGCAGCTTGCAAAGACCTCAAATATTTTGAGACCAGTATGAGACTTCCCAGTAAACCTTTACCAGAATTACTCATCGATGGTGTCCGGGGCGAGATGCTTAAAATGGTCTTCGAAACGTGTGGCAAGTCATGATTCTCGATCTAGATATACAATTCAAGAGCCAGCCCCGCGATGACGCAAGTCAACAGCCCCTCACACCCGGGACCCTTCACCTCTTGTGTCCCTTATGCGAAACATCGTCGCACCTAGTCCTCGCACATCCGATTTTCTTTCTCTAGACCGTGCTAATACATGATCTAGAAATTCTCATCCTGCATCTCGACTGAACCTGTGCTCCACCATCTATTGTAATATTGGGACAGCATTTACCGCCGTCAAGAGCTAAAAGAGTAGGTAGGTCCTGAAATGATTGGAGGATCGTGACCTACCACCTTAAGCTGGGCACGTTATGAGCCGAAACTTGACAGGCGAAACGTAATATCAGCTGGAGCAAGATTACTGACAACCATTATAAGTATACTGATTATATAGCTCTTGTAAATCGAATAGAACAGCGAGATATATATATATATATAATAGGAAGGACTACTAATAAATATTAATACAAGAAATCACTAGCATGATTGTATAGAAAGTGTTGTTAGGCCATGACTTGATGTTAATGAATAATCCAGTCACGATAAGTAATTCTGTCACTAAGTGAGGGGAAAAGACGAAGGTCAAAAGTAATGCCAAAATGTGTCCCATGCCAGAGTCGAACTGGCGACCTTCGGATAACCACACCCTGAGGGTGGATCATACAGTCTAATATGAGACCGACGTCATAACCAACTAGACCAATGAGACATGACAAATGTTGATCTTAAAAAATGTATATTCGACTTTCATCAAGCACAAGAAAGCTGCCTCATATTTAGGGCACGACGCACCCCTCGCCCAGACTTAGCGCCCCTTGACAAGCACGGGGTTTTACCTCACCTAGAAAAGGCCTTGCTCTCCAACTTCATTGCAGCGCTACTTTGACATGGAATCATTCATCGAAAATTCAGCATGATGTCAAATGCACTCACGGAGGAGAAGGAGCTTATCCACGATTCCGACCCGATTTCGGAAGGCCTTGTACCAGATGTAGAAAACCAGCAACTCGCCTCACGGTCGACCGCGTACCTAGACGGCCTACGAGGCATCGCCGCCTTAATAGTCGTCCTCCAGCATTACACTCCGTACTTCTATGGAGAAAGCGACAATCTAAATCATGGATTCGGAGAGAACGGGAATTACTACCTCGGCAGCTTTCCGATCTTCCGTTTAATTTACACAGGGGGTCATACTGCCGTCCCAGTCTTCTTCGTCCTCTCGGGATATGTGCTGAGTCGTTCACCACTACGCGCAATACGCGACCACGGAAAATGTGACTCTCAGTTGATATCGTCAGTCCTAAAAAGACCAATCCGGCTATACCTACCGCCAATGATGTCGACTCTCTTATATGCTATTCTGATGCATGTGCCCTTTGGCACGCTACGCTATGTCACTTGGCCTGAGCCAAAACAGTCACTGGCACTTGAGTTGGTAGCCTGGCTATCAGAGTTCACCTGGTTCTTCAACCCATTCCGTCTGATGAATGGACGGTGGTGCTACTATGGAGTTGTGATGTGGACAATGCCAGTCGAGCTCAGAGGGTCGATGCTAATATACGCTCTTGCCTTTGTGACAAGCCGCATGAAATTCATATCCCCGAAAAGACTTTCGTATGGATTCATGGTCGCGACTGTTCTGGTTTTCGTCGTTGGGCATTGGGCGATGGCAATGTTCTTCGCGGGCATGACTATGTCCATTATCGACGTCTACGAGCTCAGCTATCCTTTTTTACATCAGAGCAAGGTCACTCCAGATGTCATATACAATGCTCTCCTCTTCCTTGGCCTATGGCTCGCTGGCCAACCAGGCTTTATGGGAGGCCCTCAATGGGCACTGGACACGCCAGGCTGGCATACTGTGACGATGCTCACACCAGCGAACTACATGGCTGTGGAATACATACGCTTCTGGACATCAATGGGAGCCATCATGATTGTCTGTTCGTGCAGACGTATATCCTGGATTCAGAGGTTCTTCGTCACTCGTCCGTTACGCTATCTTGGACAGGTGTCGTTCTCATTGTATCTCACACACGCACTCGTCTACTTCACGCTCAGTGAGACAATTCACCGGATGTTTGGACAAATTGATGCTCGACCTGATGAACATCCAACCTGGTGGGACAATCGGTTGTGGATACCGGACATCGGCCCGATCGGGCTAAGTTCCCGATTCCTGGTATGTGCATTCGTATCTTTGTCTATATGCATGAGCGTCGCACATATGGGGACAATCTATTTCGATCAGACGAGCGTCAGAGCAGGGAAGTGGTTTGCGAAGAAGCTTGGATATTAAAATTTAGGAGTAATGTATCTTGCATCGTATGAACACACACACTTATGAGAACTAGCCACTCAAAAACAAGATATCTGGTATTTAGAGATGTATCCTACAGTCATTCGCCAGAATCGCACAGTATATGCATAAGCATGCTCTGTTACACGACGAAACGGGGTGATCCGAAGAAGGCTGGACTCCATGCGTGACGGCATAAAATGTTCTTCACACATTGGATTCGATGAGGCCATATTAACCGATACCCAAACAAGGTCCCATGAGCAATATTAACTTGTGACCCAAAAGCTATTCTGTGGTTATCATGTATCCGTTCGTGGCTGAGAAGCTCCTACTCTAGCCGAGAGATCATTCGGGAGCAGGATAGGTGTCGCAAGGAGTGGCTACTCATTGCCACGGACCATAAATTATAGCATACATATACACTCATATAATCATATAATTATTGTTCAAGCAGGGACAGCTCGCTGACTTACGTACAGCCGTCAGGGGAAGAGATCGACATGGCACCTTCCTAATGTATGCAAAAGGCGTCTTCGAAAGTGCACGCTAAACCAGAATCAGTGCACAGAGCCCCGCGAGCCTACTTGTGGCTGTCATCTGGGCCGCGGCCTCCACAGCATGAACAGCGACAATCTCTTGACTTTCGTTGATTGTCAACGACGCATCTTCTGCATGTTTTCCATTATTTGCTGATCTATATCAGCCTCCGCCTGCTCCGTCATCTCGTAATTACATATTCATATGCTATACTCGCTCGATACCACACTGGTCTGAGGCGAGGCACCCAGCTTAGCCACGGCAGCTGAAGATTCGCCTGGTTCTTTTCCACTATCATCACTTCTTCATCATGGGACTCACATTACCATCCTCCCGAGAGCTAGAGAAACTCTCAGAACTGAGGGATGAAGCAGAACTCGACGTTGAAGCCTTGCATAGGCCTGACAGTGCTGTCTCGGAGCCACGACGTCGGTCATCATCCGTGAAGAAGACGTGCACAACGTTGTTAGGAAGACTGATAGGCTATCCATCTTCAGATTCAATACGGCTACGCTCGACTTCATGGTTAGATGGTGTTCGCGGAGTTGCTGCTCTTGGGGTGTTCATCTTCCACTCCATGGGATGCTGGATACGACTCGTCCCTGCCTGGCATGCTGACCCTTCCGTTACCAATCTCCTCGGCTTTCCTTTCGTCAGGACTATCTTCGTCTCTGGGGGTCCTGCAGTTTCACTCTTCTTCGTGGTTTCCGGCTATGTTCTGACGCACAAAAGTCTTCTATGGCTACGTGCAGGAGCAGCCCCTCGGGTCTATCCAGCAGTGGCGTCTTCGATGTTCCGACGCGGGTTTAGATTGTATGGCCCCGTCATACTGCTGACTTTCTTCGAGATGCTGGGAACGCGTGTTGGATTTGCGCCGCCTCTTAACTTCAGCTTCAAGCCTGAACCTACGTTCTGGGGACAAGTCAAAGACTGGTTGCTCGACCTCGATCACCTCATGAACCCGGTCCACAATTTTTATCGCTCGATGCATGGGTTTGTGACGCATCCCAGGTATGAGGCTGTCATATGGACCATACCTCTTGAATTTTACGGCTCTTTCCTATGCTACATCTGGTTGCTGTCTTTCATACACGTACCAAGTCATATCACTCGCATGATCTTCACCGCGTTTCTAGTTGTCATTTGCATGTGCTCCGGAGCCTGGCATTACTTCTGCTTCGCCTCAGGAATGCTCCTTGCCGATATCAACCTCGCTCAAGAGAAGAACTTCGACGCATTGGCAGTCCGAAAGACCATCACAAACAAAGCTAGAGCCTTATGGGTTACAATCTTCTTGTTATCCTTTTATATTGGAGGCTTTCCAACCCTCGACAAGGAAGCATATCCATGGGTTGATACAAGACCAATGGTGGGATTCGAATTCATGCGACGACACACTCCCACTGGCCTGTACATGGAAGATCACGCGCGTTTCTGGTGGTCCCTATCTGGCGTCGGTATTCTAGGATCAATATCTCAACTGCCTCGACTCAAAGCTGTATTCGAAACACGACTGTGTCAATATCTTGGCAAAGTGTCATTCTCTCTCTATCTCATACATGAGGCTGTCATTTATCTCTTCGCTCTCCGGTTTCAGGCATTCCTGTTCCAGCTCTTTGGACTGGACCCACCAAGCCTGGCACCACACGAAGAATCTCTTGGTTATTGGCTTCTTTGCGCGTTTGTCTGGTACCCTGTCCTCCTACTACCCGTCTTCTTTGCTGCTGCACAGGTCGAAAGACTGATCGATGCACCAAGTGTACGTTTTGCAAGATGGATTGAGAAGAAGTGTCTTTCTTGCATTCGCTGAAGTCACGTCATACCATACGATAGAGAATATACAAAGTTTCCGGCTGCTACTACCCTTGACACATCAGACTTCAAAATCATGCCCTAAGGATTACACTATAGTGTAGAGAGTAAACAACAGGGCCATTGTGAGAACTGGACCATGGGTTAACATCGATAAGCGTTTGGTTTATGTCGTGGTGCATCAGTAGATCGTCCAAGTCTGCTATCGACGCACGGGCAACAACAGCGAGCTCACCCAATCTAGAGTTGAGCGCACCCAATGTACAATCTTTATAAATTCCTTGATGAGACCATGTAGTCATTGGGCCATTATCAAGACTGAGCTGCACGCTTCTATCCACAATCCAGTGTCCCCGGGCACCCGCCCTCAGATGCAAATCACCGCACTTGCTACCTTGATCCAAGAACTTTCGGCACTCTCAAAGCTCGAGAGAGGCAACCAGGAATGAAAAGATGTGTGGGTGATTTATATCACAGTCGATCAGCGGAGATGCATCCCGATAGTATAGACCTAGGTTGATGAACTGCCCCTGCTGTTGTCTGTCTGGCACCCTGAGACGATCTGATAGAATATGTATCCAGTCAAAGCACTCCAAACCGATGCTTGGCTCGTCCAAACCATCATGCCATTCATCTTGACGCTGGAAGTCCAAGAATCGATATTTCGACACAACATCTGAACTGAGGTGTGATCTAAAGGCCAAGGGAATCAATCAATGCGGTTCATTTAGACTGCTACACCTATATCTTTCACAGCCAACAGAACGCACGACACCGAGTCTGGTGAGGAGCCTTAGGTTTATTGGTGACATCTCACGAAACTACGCTTCTATCATTGACCGTCTCCTTATGTTTAATATACACCTTGACCAGCTAGAATAGCGCATAACTCATGTGGGATACCCAAATGTAACTCTGAATCGATTTATGCGCGATACCAAACACGAAATCGCGTAAGAACACTCGATTTGACATAAGAAATTGCTGTTACTATTTGGCTTTTTGCGTGAACTCATGATACTCGAACAGATATAGGGACTCAAATGGGAGAATGTTCTGGAGGAGAGAGAGCGAGCGCTGGTGGTTCTGCAGCGTTGAAATCGGGTATTTCAGGGCTCCAGCTGTGGGCTCTAGGGGGTCTTAGGGCGTTCGTAGAGTTTCATGAGCCCAAAGTAAAATTGCATTTCTGATTTCCGGTGATTCCGGGTATGTGGTGTTGGAGTCTATGTCTTATTGAATGCAGAAATTTATGAGCAAAGTAATCTTTGTCTTGTATGCCCTCTACGGTGACCCGAGGTAGGTAAAAGGAACCGGGAAGTTTTCTCCGAGGAAAACCGATGTGTCTTCGAACATATTACGTACATTAATCCGAAAGCGCGCAAGTCTGTTACAAACCAGTCCATAAGACCAGACTACGAGGGCCGTCGTGACCGTATTGATCCGCTTCTTTCTTTGCAAGTCGCGGCTACTTGCAGCAATCATGCTGTCCTTCCGTTCGTCCTTGATGTCATCCGAGACAATGTCATTGCTTGATATCGCTGCTCCACCTCCGTATGAAGGCGGTAATCTAAATCCTGATATCTACCGCCATGAAATACTCGACTATACGTAACCTGAGTTTCGATGTTGACGACTACGTCAATCCGTATCTGCCCCGATCACAAGTGTACCGTCTACCGCGATGCATAGCCTGGTTTCTCGGCTACAGGAAAACCCCACGAAAAGATGTCGGAAACGTGCTCATTTGGTGGTGGTCATTCTTTGGAGCATTCTGTGGTATTGCTGCTGTGTGCGCTATTTTCAAATACAGCGGAGCGCTCAAGCATGCCAATCCACCTATCATCATCGCAAGTTTCGTAAGTATATGGGATGCAATCTTATAACTGAAGCTGATGAATATAGGGCGCATCTGCTGTCCTCGAATATGGCGTCATCGGGTCACCCCTCGGTCAACCTCGAAACTGCATACTCGGCCACTTTCTGTCAGCCCTGAGCGGCATTTGTATCACCAAGCTCTTCAAGTACTCGGACAACTTTGAGGAAATTAAGTGGCTCGCTGGCGCTGTTGCCGTAGGCCTGGCCTCTAGCGTTATGACGTTTACCAACACTGCTCATCCACCTGGCGGAGCGACAGCGCTTCTGGCTGCGATTGATCCGGATGTCGAGGCAATGGGGTGGACCCTCCTTCCATATGTTTTGATCGGGACTTCTGTCATGCTTGGGATTGCTCTCCTTGTTAATAATATCCAGCGAACGTTTCCGGTCTTTTGGTGGACACCGCGAGATGTCGGTGGGAGGCTGTGGAATCAAGAGCAGTCGCACCAGCCTGACCTGGAAGCATTAGAGGAGCAGAAGATCACTCATGCTACTGATCATGGTATTCTTGTCGATGTGAAAGTGTCTGAGACAGGCTTGAGTGGTCAGCATTATATCGGAAACAGTCCACCAGTACTACTACCGCCTGTTATCGCTCGTTCGAGTCTTTCAATGCGGTCTACCTCGCTCGACACGACCCTCGATCGTCAAATTACAAGTCAAGATTCGATCAGTGCGAATTCTGAAAATACTATGGTACATGATGGCGCGCGATGATCCCGAACTGTTATGGGAACAACACGCTTAGCAAGGATGGGTTCTTTGACGAATTGATAGCAAACGTGCAGTTGCCCTGGCTACGCGATGGGTTGGTGCTCGTGCATTTTCTATTCACGATTGCACATCAGTTCGTTCTGGTCAACGAATTGTGTTAGCTGGGTTAGGAAGACCATGGTTCGTATGAACCGCCATGAAAATTATGTCACCGCTTGCGGCAATGCGGCCAACCGTCCTTTTGGCCAGCGTAAGCAAAGAGAAATGGTTCAAACCAGTCGAAAGAGAATGAACATGACATTGTGATACTGCGATGTCTTGGTAGATTAATCTACACCTGAACATCTTCCTGTCAGTTCTTGGGTTGGATCAACGAGCTTCTGACTACGTAATGGCGGGGTGGAAATTAGCGGGATGTAGGCTAAACCCTATCTAGCGGCGCCCGCCACCAGGCTGCTCTGTGGGAATTCTAATTTTCAATCTCGGGCTGCTCACCAACTAACGCTGAATCTCATCCTCTTACTTCCTCACTTCTTGTTCCCTCAAACCGCGTGAAGTAATAGGCAAGCATACGCCTTTGATACTTCACGAGTCCTCCCTCTTTGCTTCATAAGGCATCGCATACCTAGATAGTTGCCAACTGACACTGTCCCGCCTATCGATTAGCGCCCTAGGCCCCACCTCGATATAGAGCCTGAAAGAAAATCAGCCCGACTTTTACAGTCTACACATTCTGCATACAGACACATAAGGAAGAGAAACATGGTATCTGCTTCTAAAGCCGCCCGCGAGGCTAAACGTCTCGCTGCCGGCAAGGAGCCCAAGAAGACCGCCGCCTCCAAGGTCTCTTCCAAGGCTGGTTCCAAGAATGCCTCCAAGGCTTCGTCTGTCAACGGCGAGGAGGAGGATGAGATCGCCAAGCTCACTTCGCAAATCGATGAGCACGGTATCTCTGACCGTGTCACGACTGGTGTGCTTTCGTCGCTCGCGGCCAGTCGCGACGTCAAAATCACATCCGCCAGTCTTGTGTTCCACGGAAAAAATCTACTCACAGACTGCACCTTAGAGGTCACTTTCGGTCGAAGATACGGACTCCTCGGTGAGAATGGCTGCGGCAAGTCTACTCTCCTGAAAGCCATCGACAAGCGTGAATATCCATTTCCGGAGCATGTTGATATCTACCTCCTTAATGAGGGTGCCCCACCATCAGAATTGGGTGCTTTGGAGTGGGTTGTCAAGGAGGCTGAGAACGAGTTGGCGAGGATGGAGAAGCAAGCCGAGACCATCTTAGAAAACGATGGGCCTGAGAGCCCTGTTCTTATGGATCTTTATGAGGTAAGACACAACACTACTATTTCAATGGCTATACCGACTGACTGAATGATAGCGCATGGAATCTATGGACCCATCTACCTTCCACACTCGTGCTTCCCTCATCTTGACTGGTCTCGGATTCAACAAGAAGACGATTTTGAAGAAGACGAAAGATATGTCTGGTGGCTGGAGAATGCGTGTTGCTCTTGGCAAAGCCCTTTTCGTTCGCCCCTCTCTCCTCCTACTCGACGACCCTACCGCCCATTTGGACCTGGAAGCCTGTGTGTGGTTGGAAGAATATCTGAAGAAATGGGACCGTACCCTCATCCTCGTCTCTCACAGTATGGACTTCCTGAACGGAGTATGCACCAACATGATCGACATGAGAATGAAGAAACTCACGTACTACGGTGGTAATTACGACTCGTACATCAAGACCAGGTCCGAACAGGAGACAAACCAGACCAAGGCCTATGAAAAGCAACAAGAAGAAATCAAGCACATCAAGAAGTTCATTGCATCCGCTGGAACATACGCCAATTTGGTCAAGCAGGCCAAATCTCGGCAAAAGATTCTCGATAAAATGGAGGCAGATGGCTTCATCGAGGAGGTCGTTCAGGACCGTGTCTTCTCTTTCCGTTTCGCCGATGTTGAGAAGCTACCACCTCCTGTACTCTCCTTGGACGACGTGACATTCGCGTACTCGGGCAAGAAAGAAGACAACCTCTACGAAAATCTTGATTTTGGTGTCGACATGGACTCGCGTACTTGTCTTGTTGGACCCAATGGTGTTGGTAAATCCACCCTTCTTCGTATCTTTACTGGAGCTCTTTCGCCATCTGGAGGAAGTGTCTCACGCCACTCGCACCTGAAGCTTGGTCTCTACAGTCAGCATTCAGCAGAGCAACTCGATCTTACCAAGTCTGCTCTCGACTTTGTCCGCGACAAGTACCCCGCCGTTAGCCAAGACTACCAATACTGGAGACAGCAACTTGGCAAATACGGTCTTAGTGGTGAGTCTCAGACTGCTCTAATGGGCACTTTGTCAGAGGGACAGAAGAGTAGAATCGTGTTCGCTCTTTTGGCTATCGAATCGCCAAACATGCTTCTACTTGACGAGCCTACCAATGGTCTTGATATTCCTACTATTGACAGTTTGGCTGACGCCATTAACGCTTTCAACGGTGGTGTCGTTGTTGTCTCCCACGACTTCAGGTAAGCTTTTAACCCTGCGTGTCCCTGTGCATTTGAGTACTCACAAAGTGCAGGTTACTCGACAAAATTGCGAAAGACATCATGGTTTGCGAGCACAAGACAGTACGCCGATGGGATGGCACCATCACCGAGTACAAGAACCACCTCCGCAAAAAGATGACATCGACTGGCTCCGTCTAGGCATTATTCACAGCAGATGACTGAAAAGTGGAGGAAGACGCCAGACAAGCGATGAGGACCAATGCGTCCCAATCGCGAGGCAGGAGGGTGCCCATGCAGCTGGAATCTGCCCTATCATGGAACATGTACGGCTGGATAGAGGTGTTCTATACTGGGTTTGTTTTTTACATGAGGATGTTCAGATTACGATCTGTTCGCGTGTCCCAATCGAAGATTAGACTATCGCTATGACGTACATAGAAAACATGTTTCAACATATGAGTTCTGATATATAGCAACATTGATAAATGATGTTCTGAAGTTGATACCAGGTTTGCTAATTATTGTTGAGAACTCTGGGATAGAGCCTCGTCCACCCGAAACAGTCCGCTTTGTTTAGGCCGCTCTTGGTCTGACCCTACAAGGGTGACAAATTGTAATATTGTCTCGAGGGTATCAGATCCAGCAGGTCGTTCTATGCGGACATGCGAAGTCAAAGCCACTGGCAAGTAATATGTTGCGTTAACGTCTGAGAAGGCTTCCGACCAGACATCGGAATTCTCTTCCTTCTTAGAATCAACACCAAATGTAAGCGTTTCAGGGTCGTTATATGCAAATCCGAACCATACCATGTCCGTGTCCTTCCGATAGATCCTAGTAAGTCCTGCAAAGCTGGCCAACGCTAACGTCACCATCCATGTCGGAGCGACCCGCAGCATCTACATAATATTACGTCAATTGACTTGCCACCCGCTGCTATCCAAGTGTAACTAACATAAGGCCTTGACCTATCTTTTCGACCTGTTATTGACCACTTATTCTTTCACGACCAAATATCCAACCAATACTCGAGCACAATGACCGAGAAACTCCCAACCCAGATGCGAGCGTGGCAATACGTTCCCTCGCAAAATGCCCTCCCCAAATCCCTAATCCTCAACACCACGGCGCCCCTACCTCCATCCTCAGGCCTCCTTGTTCGCGTCACATCCATGTCCACCAATCCAGTCGACTACAAAATCGCCGAAGCAGGTGCACCTTTCAAATATATGCTCTCGACCCCGACTACCCCCGGCCAAGACTTTTCCGGCACCGTCGTGTCGGTACCCTCCTCCTCCTCGTCGTTGTCCATCAAGCCCGGAGATTCCATCTTCGGGCTCGCAGGCCCGCTCGCGAAACACGGCGCGCTTGGCGAGTTCGTGGCGCCGAAACTCGACGCTGTGGCCCTGATCCCCGAGGGTGTCAGTCATGATGACGCGGCTGCGCTGCCGACGGCGGGCGTCTCAGCGCTGCAGAGTATCGTGCCGTATGTCAAGCCTCAAAGCGGGGCGCGGGTGTTGTTGAACGGGGGTAGTGGGGCGGTGGGCACGTATGGGATCCAGATTGCGAAGCTGCTGGGCGCGCACGTCACGGTGACGTGTAGTAGTGCGAACATTTCGCTGTGCAAGGAGCTCGGCGCGGACGAGGTCGTGGATTATAAGGCGGGCGATGTAATTGCGAGTCTGGGTGATAAAGGACCGATGTTTGATTTAGTGGTTGACAATGTGGGATCACCGGCGGAGCTGTATCCCGCGAGCAATGCGTTTTTGAAGCCGCAGGGCACGTTTGTCAAGGTTGCGGGTATGCCTAGTCTTGGTGATTTGGGTGCGACCTTGAGTGCGAAGTTAAGACCGGCGATGTTGGGCGGGGGTAAGGCGAAGCATGTGTTTATGATGATGGCTAGCAAGGAGGGTGATTTGAAGCAATTGGCCTCGTGGTTGAAAGAGGGCAAGATCAAGACTGTGATTGATTCGACGTATGAGTTCGAAGAGGCGCCAAATGCATATGAGAAGCAGAAGACTGGGAGGGCAAGGGGTAACATAATTGTCCATGTCTCGAAAGCTTGAGTAGTAGGACGGATAGAGTCTTTGAACAGACCCATCCTATTTTTGACATTTTCTATGCTCGCTAATGGTTCTATAGTAAGAGATATGCAGTTCATGATGTTCATCAATGTTTCTACTCCCTCATTAACGCTGCAATCAGGTATGCTGTATTCAAGGAATCCATGTATCAACCTACTTCAAAGTCCAAGGTCATAGAGGAAACAGCCCGTTGTTCTGAAGTTGTAAACAAACGCAGCTCTTCCTTCTGCGGGATGTCCTTCGTCCTTCCATCTTTTTGCATAGCGTGTAAGCATGTTATGGACATCCTGTAGATATTCCCTCTCTGCTAAAGGCACACTTTGAATCACTCGTCGCCAGCCGTCTGGGTCACTCATTCTTGTCTCTCGAATCGCCTCCATGGTTTGATCCTTTGTCTCGATTGCTGCGATTGGTGCAGTCAGGAAACCATTCAACAGCTCGCGACTACGGGACTGAGCTGCTTCAATGACAGGCAACCGGTTCATCTTCTTTGATCGATGTTGTGCTACTAGAACTTCGACATTGGACCTGGATGCGGACACAGAAGACATGGTCGGAATCGAGTGAGAGTCCGAAGAATTATGTGTTCGGAGAAAGCGAGAGCTTGGTCGCGTGGATGATATTGCGACACCGTCACGATGATCACGATCGCGTAATTCAGCCCGTAGATAAGAAAAAAGTTCACTGGAGCGGATATCAGTATCCTCTTTCTTGATCATAGACTTGACTTTCAGGTCAGGTTTGCCAAGGGCTGCTGCGTCGTGTTTAATGATGACAATCCAACTATGCTTGTCTTCTTTGTACAGTGAGAGCAATTGTTCCGGAGATCTCGAGTCTACTGCAAGCTCTGCGCTTAGGTCGTTGGCCCATATATCTGCCACCATCCTCACGCCAATAGAACGCAGTGTTCCTGAATCGAAGCTGGCAACTAGGACATCACAACGTCTCGCTGCCCACTGTCCTGTCATTGAATCGGTATCGGTTGCTCTCTTCGCTAAGAACGGAGACTTTGGTACCTGCTTATAGTACCGTGACATTGAACTCACGAGTCGCTCCCACCCAATGTTCATGCCAACTGCGTGGCATCCAGTAAATTGACCTTGCACCTTGGGGCGATGTTCTTCAATGAGCTTGTCATAGCGCCCTCCAGCTGCAAGTACGGCTCGACGCTTTGTGTCATACAAGCACTGGAATAAGATCCCGCCAGAGTAGAACCTTTCGTTAAAGTTGCTGAGTGGGCAGATGTAAACCCTGCGGTGTACATTGAAGAGTTTGAGGTATCCTATTACAGCACTCATGTGAGCAAAGACACCTTGACTTCTGTCAATCAAGTCAGTCCCTTCGAAGGTAATACGGAGCTTCGACATGGCCTTCTCTGGAGTGTCTCTCCAATCAAATTTCGCCAGGTCATCGAGTGACATCCCACTGATGCCAATCGTTGGTGAGCGTAGCTCATTGCGTATTTTTTGCCATGTCCACTGATCAATGTTGAGCTTACTCAGCACCTCTTTGACCGCATGTCGTTGAGAACTGCTGATCCGACAAAAGTCCAGGATGAGGTCTAGGAGAATCGAGTGGTTCAGGTGAAAGCACATTTGAGCAGATGAGACGGATGGGAACTCATCGATGACCTCGTCCATGACCTTGATCACCTCGGCTTCTTTCAGTGCCAAATCCAAGGTACCGTATGACACTATATCGAAATCAGCCTCTCCCGTGCTTTTGGGAGCCCCGCCAGTATGTGTATCGCGGTACACACTACCAAAAGCAAACGTCCGATCTGCAGGTGGGGCCTGCCTCGCGATACTGCGAGCATATGGGAGAATCAGGTCGTACGGTAGCTGTACAAGCGTGCCAGATGAGTCGAGGAGTTGCGCTACATTGCTGTTGGCGTAATGAAGCGATCGAGGTATCACTTGCTGTCGTGGCGTTTCTACGGCACCATGTCGACGGAAGACCGCCGTCAGGTGCTCTTTGACGGTGTTCTGTAGAAGCACATCTCCTAGCTTGAGATTATGCATGCCACTAGCCATGCCGATATCCCAGGCTTGATCCTTGACTTGGGTATCAGGATTCTTGCTAAACAAAGCAGACATCATCCTTTGGTAATAGGGCGATGATGGGTCCGAAATTCCTTTCAATGCCTCTCTGATTGTTTCATCCTCAATTTGCAAGGGTAGTTTGCCGCTATGGAGCAGCTCCAAGCTGGTTGGCCGCTCGCTCGGTTTGTGTCTAATGAGCGACATGATGATACTACCTTGTAGGGACCTTTCAGATGACTCAAAATCTGGTGGTAAGGCATGCTCCTTTTCTCGTAATGCACGAATAACTTGATCTCTCTCCATCGCAGTCTTTAGCGGATGACACATCTCAAAGAAAATGATTCCCAGAGAATACATGTCGACTTTATCATTATAATTACCCCCTCCAACTCCGGACTTGAGCTCGGGCGCAACGTATAAGGTGGTTCCAATACTTCGTGTCATATCACCATCAACGTTGGGCGTGAGATATGATTTATCAGCTACATGATACTGACCACTAGTTGCGAGACCAAAGTCGCCAATTCTTGGAGTGTTGGCGACGTCGATAAAGACGTTGTCCGGCTTGAGATCGCGATGAATAATGCCATGTCCATGAATGTGAACCAGGCCTTCCAGTACTTGACGAAAAAGCTTCCAGCTCTCATCCGTATCGTCGTATAAGCCTCTTCGGATCAAGTCTCGCAAGGTATGTCTCTCACAGTACTCCATCTGAATGTAAAGCGTTGTCTTGACAGTACGTGCATTGCGATTACTAGATATCGTTCTTCTGAGTTTGAGCGGACTTGGGCTTTTCTTTCCATCCAAGCCTAGCTCATCTTGACCTTGTGAGCTAAGAAAAACTGCAGGGTCGAATACAGGGGGATTTACCTAGGTCGTCGTCTGTGTCCGAACCAAACACTACGCCGTCATCATCCTCTTCATCATCGCCATCATCGGAATCTTCGCCAAATTCAATCCTAGGGAATCCACTAGAGCTGATGAAATCTAGACCACCCGTGCTGGTTGCGTAGTCAAGACCAGGTTTTGTACGAAGGGGTGCCGAAGAACTTTCATCCGGAAGGGTGCTCGAATCCTCTTCTGTCTCTGATACTCCCGAGACATCATCTTCTGGCCAAGCGGTATAGTATCGAACCACATAAGGGTGATTTAGCCGGGACAGAAGCATCACTTCAGAAAGAACTTCAGTCAAAGCTGATGCAGAGTTCTGTTTGATTTTCTTGATTGCGTATATGCGGCCATCGAGCTTGTTACGAGCTTTAACAACCTCACCATAGCCACCTTTACCTAGTCGTCCGGACTCTACCCACTCACTCGCGAACCTGGAGAACGGTCCTGCAACACCTGCTGACGACTCCCGTCGCAATCTCCGCTCAGGCAAGTTGATTGATGACGATGACATCCTTGAGTGCAACGTAGGTGCGGTAGCTGACAACACCGGTACATCATTACGGAGAAATTCACAGGGAATCAGGTCGAATGCCGCTGGACGCTTCTTCGGGTCCGGCTTGAAGAGTTTGCGTAGCATTTCTTCAAGAGCATCAGAAAGATCCATCTGCTCGAGAACAGCGCTTGGAGAGTCGTACTTTTCCAAAACAGATAACCCGAACAACATCTGCAAAAACACTACGCCAACTTCCCATATGTCAGTCTTGCGAGTGCGTTTTGTGCTTGCTTCATTGTTCAATTCCGGTGGCACCCAATAGGCTGACATGGCTGATGCAAATTTCGCTGAAGAGCGAGATATGTTCCTCAATTCGTAGAGATATTCTTGATAACCTCCATCAGAAAGTTTCACAGTTGGCGGCCCACCATGCGGAGGTACAAACAGAAGCACATTGCCTGCGTGAATCCTCCTATGGACAATACCATTACGATGAAAAAACTCGAGCGCCTCCAGGAGCTCGATTGTCCACGACCTTACCTTTTCTACTGGGAACGACTCCACAAACTCAAGCATCTCGCTAAGAGAGCCTTTGTTAGCGAATTCTGTCAGCATCGTGATCTGCCAGCTATTGTCGTGGCCTAATGGCAGACCTGGTAGCTTCTCTATCTTAAAGTCAATAAGAGCAACGATATTCGGTTGGCGGATTCTCTTAAGTTCCTCTAGCTCGTCCTCGAACTCTCGCATCGCCTTTTTTAAGCGGGATTCCTTGGATGTTGGACTAAGTATAATAGCTTGCTTGATAATAAGGGTCGGCGATATGCTCGAAGCTACGGCGGGCTGTGCAGTGAGAACCTCAGTCAGGGGTCCTTTGCGGAGTGGAGCGAGAGACGAGACAGCACCGAAGATCAAGGTGGACCCTTGGTCCTGAATCTCAATGACGCGATCAAAAGTGAGCTGGCCAGAATTTGACGACTTTATGAGCTCAGGAGATAGCAAAGGCTGTGTGAGTTTGCTTTTGCGTTTCGCCTCCTTTCGCTGCTTAGCTAGCTCCTCTTCGACCATTTGCGCCAGAACTCGTTGCTCCTCTGCCTTATCCTCTTCCTCCTTACGCATCAGAGATCTCTGTTCTTCAATTGCTCGCTGCTCAGCCTGAGCCTCCTGAGCAGCATGCTCTTCAATTAAGCTGGCTCCGGCCTCATCCCGGTCTCGAGCGACTACCTCGTCCTCCAGGATATCCTGGATTGAAAGAGCAATGTCATGGATCATTACCTCACCGAGGAGTTCCTTTGGTTTTGATCTGAGAAGGATATCCAGGTCTTGTTGCGTTTTGCGGCGAAGACTTACAGAGTTGTCGATGGACAACAGCGGTATGGTTTTTGGGTAGGTTGCTGTAAGCTTAACAGAAAGAGTCAGCGATACGCTGGGATTCTCCGGGGCTTTCAATCTCAGACGAAAGGCCCGATCTGAAGTTCTGCTCCATGCACCTCTTGTTTCTACGTCTTCATAGTCTTCCATATAGATTGCCTGGAGAACCTGGATTTCATCCTCCTGGGCTTGGGCATAAGGACCAGCGGGAGCATTGTTAGTTGAGCCATGGCCCTCGACAGTGAGTCCTGGAGGACTTAATACTGGAGGAAATACACCCTTGGGCGGGACCGCAGGAGAGACAACATGGTTCCAGGAGGCATTCTTCGGAGGGGCCATAGTGGGGCAGTATTCGAAGACCTAGACTCAGATGTCGACCAAAGGAGGCATGGGTCGATTGAGAGACGTGCAGCCGGAGCTGCAACCCTTCACACGGCGTGAGACAACATTGTATAAATCAAGATATCTCTGGAATATAGTAAGTGTGTCTTTCGCTTCGCTGTAAGAACAGCGGCGGCGAGGGCGAAGTGGCAGTCAGACCTGGAGCAGCAGATGGTCTAAACTCTTTCTGGAACAGCGTCCAGTGCTAGCGGCATCAGCGACAGCTTCTCGAAGTAAACACACAGATTCAATATAGCAATGCGACTTCCATCGTCCAATTAACTCGCAACATTCGACCTCACAACAGCTCTTTGCTTTTTAAGCCAATCTCGACTGCGACTCCTTGACCGCGATTACCCTCTTTCTCTCACTCGGACGCGTGGCCAAAGCATGCGCGCTAGCTGATACTCAAAACCGCCTGCTGCCACAATACACAAACAAACCACGACTCTGTTACTGTCCGTCACCTTGGTCTTAAGCGCGACGCGAACAGATACTACGGAGTATCGCTCTGCATTAGCATAGCATACTTTCTAAATCTTGTGGCGGCTTGATTGTCTTAACACTCTTTTATTCGAGTCTACGCGTCTCGCCCTTTGGAGATGTTTTCATGGATTAGTGGACCCCGAATCACCAATGTAGCAGAAGACCTACAAGGTATGTGATACCTGTCCGTACTGGATCACCAGCTGAACCTATTCCTACCTAGATACTACCTTCATTGAGCCACCGGAGACTCCTGCACACGTCTTCCCCGTCCGAGCTTTCAAACAGGCTCTCTTCGGCACACCTCATCCAGACCACGAGATCAAGTCCGTGCCCGGCAAAGAACAGAAGCTAGTTGAAAAGAAAGTACCTACGGAAAAGACAGCTCCATATATACAGATTGAAGGTGCTGCTATGGATGTAGACCAGAACATAGCCCAGCCTTCCGGGAAGCCTAGTGGCATTCTTATGACACCTGGCACCACCTCGAAAGGACGAAAGACTGTTTCATTTGGCACGCAAGTCGTGGACAATGAAGGAAAGGAGCCGGCCATTGGACGGAGTGGTCTTCCGGCAAATTTTCCCGGCAAGTTCCCAAGTCCGTGGACACCACGAATGGCCTCAGTTGGCGATACAAAATCCCGCAGCAGCAAGCTAGCAGAGGCTTTGTACGATGCTCGCGAAACCATCAAGCCAAAGGAGGAATCTCAACCTAAGACGAGTAGGAAGACCAGTTCTGCGAATGACGCGGTTACTAAATCCTGGGCAAGGGACGACTTGGATATCACATTGGATTTGTCAGAACCGAGATCAGAATCAGGGAAGTACTGGAAGCAACAGTATCTCACATACTCTGAGAACAGTACGCGCGAAATGAAGAGACTGGTCAATAAGGCGAAACTGGCAAAGAACTATGCGGCCAAGAAGGATCAGGAGGTGACAGAGCTTGGGGTGGCCATGGATCAAGAGCGCAAGAAACTTGCATCTCGTAACCACGCACTCGAGATGCAGAACAGGGACTATCACGATCAGATACGGCGCGTGACGCAGGAAAACCTACGAGTGAATCGAGAAGTGGTCGCTCTCAAACATCAGCTCCTAAGCTTGGGCGTGAAGCCTATCAAGAGCAAGGGCCGTAAACAAGACGAGTCTATAATCTCCGAAGACCAGGCAATGAAGATGCAGAATGGTATGCCTCGCATATCCGCCCAATCACCAGCCCGCGGACGACGCAGGAGCAAGTCTGCTAGACCTTTAAGTGGTAGTACTCGTAAAAACACGTCCTATGCACCAACAGAAACGTCCGTACTACCAGACCGCCCGCCTCTCCATGAGCTCCACTCGAACACTTTGACGAAAGAGAACAACCATCCACCAAGCAAAGATGATGTCAACACAAGCTCCACACCTGCACCACCCAAACCCCCAACGGAAGTGCGTTCCTCTCCTGACCCTTGGGTGCAAGATCTCTATATCTCACCAAGCAAACTTGACAAACTCACCCTTCCCCCGCCAGTACACAAGCCGTCTGAGCAAAGATCTGGCTCACAAGCAACCCTAGGAAACATAAATGGCAGCATTGGCGTAAGCATGGGGGCTAAAGCACGAGCCGCGCTCGCGTCCGCCTCACAGATGTCCCTAACTCCACCATGCGAGCACCAACCGAGCAACCGTCATGATCACCACCGGGAATATCGTCCGAGCCGTCGTGAATATCGCCGACCCGCTACAGCCCCGGTCGACGCGTCGGACTTGATCTCCGTCCCAAAGCGCCCCGGTTCGACTGGCCCGCCTGGAGCCGCGACAGGACCTGTTCCGATGCACTTACGCGGTCACTCTGCCCACCATCTTGCACACGTTCCAGCTCAACAGCATACGCGGAGACAATCAGCCGCAGAACCGCAGTCGCATCAGCATAGCCCCTTCAATGATGGTCGGCGCACCAATAGTCTGATGGACAAGGACCGAGCGGCGAAGGCCCGGGAGAGGGTTGCGGCAAGAAGGATGATGAGTGCCGGCGGTGGCGCATGATGGGACTGTCGTGTCTCGGTTCCTCAGTGGGTCTGGAAGTCTCAGATGATCCCAACAGCCAATTGGCTGGGGTTATATTCTTGGCTAGAGCCGCGTGCGTGTATCTTGATTATTTCTAGCGTGGCGTTTGACAGGTAGGTGTATGCCTGCGTCAGAGGTACTGAGGCTCTTGTGTTCGAGGAAAAAAGCATAGTGTCCTGATTTGGCTATGTCAGCATTGGAAAGGCGTTTTTTTTTCTTCTCCTCTTTTTGTTTCGGCGTATGTTGGGTGTTGGAGGATGGTTATCTGCTTGTATTTTTCATCTCTACGGGATATACCATTTCGGAAACAAGGCATGTTGATACTATTCTTGCCTAGTAGCATCCTGGACAAATCGGTCCTGCATACATACCTATCCTGTATATATATCTATGTGATGAGGACGCATGTGGCAGAACAGTTTATTGGCAGCATTAGGCAACCTGGTCGGTATTCCGTGATCGTGTTGATCAGATCAGATTACTGTTATTGGTTTTGGGTAGCTTGTTATACTAGAAGTTTTATTGCCAAGGATTTGCGGACTTCATGTTCAGCTTCATTTCATTAATTTGGTGGCGCCACTACTATAGAATGTTGATTTCTTCATTTCCTATATGAACGATTTCGGTTGGTCCGGAGCCAGCTCGCCAGAATAGATTAAAATAGTGTTCCTCTCTATCTACGTCACGTTTTCCTGTCGCTTGATGATAACAATAAGCTGTGCTTTGTGTGTACAGGAGCTATAGACATGACGTGTTTGCTCTTGTGATGACCTGAATAGATGTCTAATCCAACAAGCCACCACAATGCAGAATCTGTCAAAACCTGCTCATGTGAAACCCTGTATCTGTACAAGAATTGAACGCGAATGTACGGTGTCCTCGGTGATTACAATCGTTAATTTTGTTCATATGGAACTCCTTGGATGCTGGTAACCTTAGAAACGCCGGATAATGCACAATCATGATTTATTTTTGGGGGGTAGGGGTTTCGGACGTCGTCAAATCGTTATGACCTGTGAGGTGACTCACACCTCGTGGCGATCTGAGCGCTCGTAGTCACCTTTTTTCTCTAGTCGTGACCACGGAGCGACACGGTATCGCCAACCGCGAATGCGATATCGGGGTGTGGCCGAGAAGCGACCATAGGTCCAGTACATGCAACCGATGACGGAGAAACCCACAATGAAGCCAATTACAGTGAGCATGACCCAGTGACGAGCCATCCAGAAGATCAATTGGACGTCCTTGCCATGCCAACTGTTGCCAATGTGGTGCGTAAAGAAACTCCATGGGTGATTGTTGTATTCATCCGGGAAGAGTATGCGGACCCTGTCAACGCCAACTGGCCCTTCACGGTCATAGTGCCTCCAAATCAGAGATAGGAACAGAGGCCCAGTGGATGCCATGATACTGATGTACGGAAGGACCCAATTGCGATTGTATTCGGGCAGCGAATCAATGACTCGAAGAAAGAAAGGATGGCGTGGCACGGCACCCATTACATCGTTGGAAATACCCGTGGGAGCAGTGCGCCGTACCCATGCGGGATACGCGAGGAGAGGGTCAAGACGACGGTTGCAACCCTGTATTCTGTTAGCTCGGAGGATGCCGTGAATGTGATTGTGATTGTGTACTAACATCATCCAAGTCGATGTAGATGCCACCGAAGTGGGCTAGAACAAAGTATCGAATTGAGTCTGCTCGCATGATGGGATGTTCATAGCCGTCGTAAGTCTCGAGGAACCAAGGATACCTGAACAGTGTCAACAATTGTTCTCATTGTGAATTGAGATTGGCCGAACGTACTCTGCGGCAATGAACTCGCGAGCCTTCTTATCGGTCCAAAGCTGTGGTTTGGTTAGCTAAAATATTTCTGATGAAGGACATACGCAGGCGCACTCGATATTCATAGTCCTCGTGAAGATCCAAGCAACTTTGCTGAGCTTCCTTCCAGTTCTCAGGAATACTTGTGTTGACGTAGGTTTGGTGAATAATTTTTGGTATCAGCTGCGGTCGTTCTTGAATGGCGCCAGAGTTTGGAGCGGGTAGTTCAGCACGGGAGATTTGATCTCTCGAGCCATCGATAACAAGAAGCTCTAATAATGTCCATACGCTGCGGACCAGCATTCCTATGACGAGAACCTGGACCAGGAGGAAGATGAGTACGCCTTTCCGCATCTTGACTGTAGTACGAGGAGGACAAGGATGTTTTTGAGGTCGGGAGGATGAGTGTCGAGATGGAAGCGAGGAGAGAGAGAGGTCGCGACGGCGACTAGAAGAATAGAAGAGCAAGTATTAAGCCATATACGGGGATTATAAGACAATATATGGGGGGGTAACAGTATTGTGTAGACAAAGAGAGTGGAAATGAGGAAAGGTTTAAGAGTAAGGAGCGACGTTGTGGTGAAGAAGGCTTGCGAAGGAGCGTTTTGGTTAGCGGTTCCAGGGGAGATTAGGAGAAAGCGATTGGAAAGATGAATATGTGATGAGGCCAGGAGGGCTGTGCTTCGCGGCGGAGGAGATGGCGGGACGTTTAGCGTGCGTGGAAGGACAAGGACCCTGCACTGTTTTGCTGCTTGTTGCTGTTTGCTGGGCGCCCCACCCCACCACCTGCCACCTGCACCCCCCCAAAAAAGAACCTAGAAGCCATCCATTCCCTTTTGGCTGCGCTTCGACGACTTAACCCGACGGGCCAAGATACTGTACTGTAGCATGTATGGAGCCCCCCAGTAGCAGTATCAGCCCGCCAGTAGCAGCCCCACCTAGCACCTAGCACCTAGCATCTGCCATCTATTAAGCAGCCCCCCCAAGCCTCAGAGACGCGAAAATGGCTGCTTGGTCTCCCTAATTACTGTAGAACCTTGTGCTGAAACGAATGCCAAAACCCCCCCCTTTTTGCCCACCAGCCTACTGTAACCTTTACTTAGTATACAGCCACGCACTCCCAGTGCCAGATCGTCGCTTCTAGGTGGCGCCCAGATCCAGTCAGCTTCAAGCACTGCGCCGCGTGTTGGTGTGTTGGTGTGTTGGCGCAACAGTCAACTTTGCAACAGTGGATTTAGCTACTATTTCGGTCCCTTCATTCCTCTTACACACGCACTGTACACAGCCGTTTTGTTACGGCTTCATGATATGGCTAAGAGGCTATGGCTACTTATCGTGTTGTTATCTTTGGGCGCTGTGGTCATCGGACGAGAGGACCCGCTCTGTTGAACGGACAAACACCTAATACATCTTCATGTGCCGTCGTCACCCACCGCCGCCCGCTCCGTTCCCAAGGTTCCTATCCCTCTACCTGCCAAGCCTGTCACCTGTATCTCCAGGGCTGTTTGTCTTCCACATGCCGTCGTCGTAGTATTACTTAGGACCGTCTGCAGGTCTGCCTTGCTTCATAACCTTTAATGGATGGCCTGCGAGCATTTTCGTGCAGCGCCAAGCTCGCCTGCATTTTACCAGATCTGGTGTAGCCTGCATGGACTGCTCACGAAAGCCCGGCCCGGAAATTGCTATAGATCGATATTGGATTTGTCCATGTTGAAGATCCCCGCAATACACGCGATACGCCAGACGTGACGACACACAAACTCCATCATGACATCCAGTCTGGTGTAAATGCTGCAAATCCTGCCGTACCTTTGATGCCCAAGCCGCCTCATTACACTCATGCTGCAGCATCATCAACGTGCACAATGACGACCGCGCATACTCTTCACATCTTCATTCTCTTTGGTCCTCTGTCGGCTGAGGCTTCTTCCCGCTTGCGCTTCGCTTCGAGTTCCTCCCGCATTATGCGCTCTGCTTCGCTCATCTTCTTCGGTTGTTCCTTCACCGTTACTTTCTTCCCAGCAAATACACTCTTTTTGTGCGCAAATACATTCTTAGGTTTTGTGCTACTCGCACTCAGTGTTATCTTGATAGGCGCATCGGGAACTGAGTTATCTTCTGCTGGTGGCGTAAGGACCTGTGGAACACCATCCTTTATGTTTTCAACTGCTGCCAAACTTATTTCTGATAATGTGTCTGCTGTGGACGGAGGTGTTGGTGGTTTCGATGCCACAGCCGACTTCAAATCGAAATTGAGTGAAATCTTCTCCCCGTCGACGCGTTGCAATGCTCTGGCCTCCTCCTCTGGAGGTGCTTTTGCCTTGGCTTCAGCGTCTTTCTGCGCTTTCTTCACCTGATCCTCAATCATTCTTTGCTCTCGCTCTTCGTCTCCGCGATCTTGTCGCTCTTTCTTCCTCAGAGCTGCTTGTCGGCGCATAGCTTCCGGGCTTGAGTCTATCCATGCAATGTATAAGCCCTTCTCATCCTCGGTGACCCTGCATATTGCTTCGCGGCCTAAGTACTTCGCAAATTCTGTTAGGGACGGCCATTTCGTTGAGTTCATATGTACGTGTTCTTTGTTCGAGATGTAGGTCTGGTAGAAATGGTTGATGTGGACTGCCTTTTCGCCATGTGATGTGCGGAGCAGTTGTAGAAAGTCACTCTTGAACTGGTTCGAGAAGTCGTTGATGAACTTGTGCGCGTTTTCCCCGACAAGCTGCATGTTGCGCACATGCGACTCGCTCTGGGTGTGACATTTGAAGCCGTTCTCATCTCGGCATTGCTTTTCGCAAACCTGGCAATACCATCGCAATCTCTGGAGGCCTTTGGACTTTAGCTTGTTGTTCAAGTGTTTCAAACTGCCAACCTCTGCGCGCGGCATTGTTCAGGTATTTCGTAAGGAGGTAGTCGCAGGAAGAGAGGTTTGACGTAGGTATACGCAAGGTATGGTCGGTTTCGGAGCCGTCGTGGAATGATAATGAGTGGTATGCTTCTCGGCTGGACTTTGCCACCCGGAGCCGGTGTTGCCAACCTTATCCGGTCACAGTGTTGCCAAGCCGTTTGTGCCTTTAGTCATCCATCTCGCCTGTCACCGTCGGTGACGTTCCAATGGATGGCGGGAACGAGGCAATCATCCTCCAACACACGGTCCTGTATGGATTTTCACTTCCATACTCCACTCTAATATCTTCATCTGCACCGCTCGTGTTCTATACCCTAACTTTGGTCTCCCGGTCATCCCTTGCTTGAGTAGTCCTTTCCATTGAGGACGGCCTGACTTTGGTACACAGACGCAGCACCAAAGCAGTGAGCCTCCAATCTTAACTCCCTCTCAATACAGCTGCAGCCCTCGCCGCTTGATATCTGCCATTCGGTTCAGAGTCAGTATTGGAGAGCCTCGCACTGATGTGAAATTAATCGCGGTCTGGTCTGTAAGAGCAGTCACGAGGATTCCCGCCTTGGTGTCACGTCGACACCGCTTTCCTGTTTTCGTTGAAGCTTTTGTCAGATTATTCGTCTTGCATATCGTCAAAATCCACAAACCGCTCCCTCTTAGAGACAGAATCAGCGTCAAAGGCCACTCATCAAATGAACCTGGCAGAAATGGTTTCCCTTGCATGTGGGGACTTGATGTCTCTACATCGACGGAACGGTATATACCATCCGCAAGACGCGTTGATTTGAACCGGTATATGTTACACGCACGTGGTAGCGTTGCGCCAAGCCCTAGTCCGTGAAAAGTCTTTGAACAGCATGGGAACGGCGGTCTCTCCTAAGATGAGTGCGGTGGCCGTCGATTGCCATCCTTTCTCCTTTCGAAGGATTGGATCGTGAGGTTCATACTGGGATCATTTCGTCGGTGTGGTCGTGCAAAACATGTCCACAATATTTCACGAACCAGTCATCACCTATCGCATGCTCAAGGTATACCCATCTGGGGAGTACACACTTTTCCAGACCTGGAAACGCGTGCAGATTTTGGCGTTTTTCTTTCAATCTCTTCCACATCTACGCCTCAACTACCTGAAAGCAGTGCCATGACTACACTCACTGGGCCACAGTAACCTTCCTAGCAAATACATGCCCGCATTAGATTACAATAGCCTGGAAATCACGAGAATCGATGTAGTAATGGCTTCCGGACCAAAGCTTACCCTCTCCCTGTTCACCACGAGAGGCGAAACAGTTCAGCTCGACCAAACAAGGACTTCAAGAACAGTTTCCAGCCCCAAGGACATCTAACTTAACTTCACTGACTTAGGATAAACATCCGACCCCCTTGATTCACTTACCTGATTATCGCTCATAAACCACGTGCCCATACGACAACGGTTCTTGCATCTTTGTTTTCGAGCTTAATATGATCATATCTCTGTCAAGCTGACACCAGTCCTCGCTATTGTACCTATTGTACCTGTGATTCCCCAGCTGGACCACAACATGAGCCCAATCAACTCGCTCTCTGCTATTGTACTCGATAATCTCGCGAGCAGTCCCTATCCGAGAGAGACTGCGACTCTGAACTACGCCAATGGCACGGGCACTCGCGAGAGCCACGGATATCCAAGTTTCCGACAGTCAGATGTCACTTATGGAGAATCCACAGAAGCTCGCACTATATATACGGTCGTTTCTATGTGTTGTCTCATGGGGCTTGCTACTATGCTAGGTATGTTTGGAAATTGCATTTTTTCGAACTTGGAACTAATCGCGACAAGGATGTCGCGCGCGCCAGCTCAAGCTCAACAACATACTCATGATCAACGTCGTGCGGGCTTCAGTCGTGTTGATGTATGTCATGGGGATCTTTTTCGTGTTCGCCGCCGCGGTCGTCGAGATTGGGTTAGGCCTATCAACACCGGCAGTGTGTCAAGCTGCGATCTTCGTCTGTTTGGTGTTCTACATGGCTAGCAAACTATTTATGTGAGTGCGCGATGGTCGCGGTGTCCCAATACGAACGACGAACAGACCAACTGATACTAGTCAGGTATATCTTTCTAATCGAGCGTATCCATATCTTGCGAAGCCCCTACAGCAATCGCACTCGTGACTGGGTTTGGGTTGGCGGCATGGTGTCACTTGCAGTAGGATTTGGTGGCATCGCCATCATCGGGTTCATTTGGCCCATGGCCGACCTCTCAGTCGAGGATGGAAAATGTCGTATTGGGTTGCCTCTCAAAGTCAGCGTCCCCTTGCTCACGTTCGACGTGGCAGTCAATGTCGCCCTGACTGCAGTTTTCATTTACCTTCTACGCCCCCTACTGACACTGGGCTCAAATTCGGTAACGTCTTCGTCGGCCGTGGCGAAAGCCGTTTCTATTGCGTCATGGGCCTTGGGCATTGGCAAACGCCATAGCGATCAAGAACACCCCAGCAATGCAGCGCTACTCAAGCGAGTCAAGAAACTGCTGTGGAAATCCCTCCTTGGCATGTTGCTGGTGCTGCTTCCTACCATGGCCAACTTGACGGTTCTGTACACGTTTCAAGGACGTGAACTAGGATGGGTATGCTTTACAATATGCACGCTCGACAGTAAGTAGCGGCTTCTCCGTTCGTATCGCTAATTATTGGCATCTGCATCCTTTTGCATTTTGGACTGTCAGACCCACAGTACTGGTGCACAGACGGGCAACATGGGGCCGGCAGTTTAGAGTTTTGACAGGCAGAATCCTTGCTTGGAATATTGACTAACGCGAAGCAGTAACATGGGGTGTATCGATTGTGCACTGGCTCACTATGGATCCCATGGAGATGGATGGCCGCAACCCATCGTTAGAACTTGCAGACTCCTCTAGCATCACGACCAGCGTGGGATCGCCAGGGGTGCGATGCTAAAGACGACTACCTGTGCTTTATTGAAACGCAACAAGATGCACAATATTTGTGAAAAAGGAGTTCTGGATCTATGAAGGGCGATGTTGGATGCAACAACAGGCAAGGCACACAACGGCGTTCGATAGGAAGGACGAATACCCCGGTCTCTCAGGCACTGGAGTAGATGGATCAGAGTACAGACGTTTCAAACGAACAGAACAGAAAGAAGGAAGAAAGATTCAAAGGCAAGATGGAGCTGTGGATCGAATTGAATTGGAATGTTAGGCTTTGTCGGTATGGACGAAAAAGTAGTATCATGAACTAGGTTGAGTTGAGTTCAAGAAGCTCGGAATCACTGTCACGCTTGATACAGGTATATAGACATACTCTGGGTATAAGACATGAAGTAATGCACGAGGGCGGTTCTGCCTTTTCATACTTACAGTTCCTTGAACACCGGGGGCGAAAAGAAGGTTGTGCGTTTGGATTTGGGTGACGTATTCGTTCGCACAGCGTTGGCTGCATCAGAGCTATCCATGTCCTCGAGTGAGTCCTGATGCTTTCTTCTCCGTGAGGCTCTATGCGACGCAGCAGATCTTAGCGCAGGTTTCTGGTTGGTGTCGTAAGATGGTGGTGACGAGGGTGTGTCCCAGCCGAGTACGGACGAGAGCATGGCAACAATGGCGTGCAGTGAGATGGCAGCAATGAGACCAAGTAGCACGGCCAGACCGACATATGTGTATATGGTCTGCAGAGATGGTGAGCACACGACCATAATCACGTGTCCGTGGTTAAACTAATGGTAGGCAGGCACCTGGGCATACCTCGATCTTTGTCCTAACCTCCAAGCGAAACGGAAAGCCAAGAATGTTCAGTACAAAGCCCAGTAAGTATGTCACCGGCAGCAAGAGGAACTGGACGGCATAGAAGAGGGGCGATAGCAGATAGACAAGCAGCTGGAGGAGCTTGTAGATGGGTAGGATGAGAGTGTAGTAGAAGAGGCTACCGATGAGGGCGAAGTATTGGTGTAAAGAAGAGGCATTGGGCAGGCTGGCGGCACCAGTATCTTCTTCGATGTCAGCCATGTCGATTGATGGGTTGTAATTATGGAATGAAATGAATGATCAATTGGTGGGTCGGTCGAGGTGTTTTGATGGGTTGGCGAGTTGAAGTGGGGATGATGATGGGCGGCCCCTGTCTCGTACATAGGACAGACCGCAAGCAGCAGACAGAGCCTAAAGGCACGACTCCGGCGGACCTGGAGATGATGACAATGACGACGACGATGATGATGTTGATGTTGAATTCGCGCAGGACAATGTTTGGGCTTTCAATTGACGGATTCTTGCTAGTGGCTCAGGCAGTGATAGATATGGGGACTGGGCAGAACTAATCAAGGAATGTGGAGTGTGAGTGATAATAAGTAAGATCTGCGGTTCCCATCTGTCAACAGGAGAAAAAAGAATGATATGCAGCTGCAGGACCTCGTTCTCACTCATACACTCATTCACTCGCTCACCCACTCATATACACACTCTCTCTCCCACTCTCGTCAATCTCCAGGCTCTCTGCTCCATTCTCACCCTCTTCTGTTCATTTCTCTTCCAGGTTCTTCCTTCTTGTGTAGTTACTGTTCTGTTCGTCTCGCGGATCAACCTGACCGTTGACGATTCAGCTGTACTCGATCGGTCCAGCTAATGGGAGGAGGCCCTGTCGTTGGGCTGTCGTGTGCCCGACATTCAGTCCACTGGAGCAACAGAAGAATTGATTCTCACTTGCAGGCCCGGGTAATAACAACAACAACAACAACAACCACAACCTAAAACCGCAGACTCCCGCCCGCCACGAAGGCTAGACGAGGCCCCAGCGCCAGTCTACTCACCCCCAACTTTCGGCGTCACCAGCCAGCGACCCCGCCAAAAAGAAGCTCTGTTGGCCCCAAAAACAGCTCTGGGAGCTTCCCCGATACCCGGGACGCCTTTTCGCCCTTACCTCACCACCTCGCACCAGCTGTTACGGTTACGTGTACGTAGGTTTTACGTACTTTTACGGTTACGGTAACGGTACACCGCGGGCATCACGCGTTCAACCTTAATAATACCCTTATTATACTGTACCTGTACCTGAAGCCGTTAATTACACTTTGCAACCTCAGGCTTTCATTCGTCCTCTCGTCTTGTTCGTTCTCCAGTTCGCGCGCCGCCATCATGGGCAACAACACCTCGCGCAACTCGCACAACCCTCCTCCACCTCCGCCTCTCCCTCCTCCGAACAACATCATTCCTCCACAGTCCGGTCTGACTTCACAGCCGCTGTTCCCTCATCCTCCGCGCAGAGAGCCGCAGCGTCGTGGCAGCGTTCAAGCTCTGTCCACGTCAAACTCAAACTCAAAGGCTCCAAATAACGTCAAGTCTTCGGCCGCCCCGCCGTCCGCCTCGCTCGAGGTCACCGCCGCAACCTTTGCTCGCACGAGTGTGACTCCAAAAACACATGTCCATGCTCGTTCTAGATCCCACACCACCGGAAACATCCAAATTCCTCAAGCTGTTCGCTCGCATCTCCCAAATCCCGATTCCTCACCAATTCCCATCGCAATGGGCAACGAAACCAGCAGAGAAAAGACCCCAAGAGAGAAGACCAGAAGGGATACAACCGTCCAGGCTGCCTCGCCCGCCCGCAGACCTTCGCCGCTTCCTGCTGTCAGCTCGCAGCCTCTGAATGTCCCTCAGTCAAACGCCTCGAAACTTTCGCAACCTCAGAATGACCCTCACGCGACCGCCCCCGACAAGTATCTTCCGCCTTCAACCTTCCATCAGCCTCCGCGCGTACCTCTCCCCATCGCCGAGGAGCTTCACACTCCAGGCTCGCCCATCATCACACCTGCCGACCTCTCCGCAGGCGCTCCTATCGCCCAGATCGACGACGTGCCACTTTTGCGCAATACTTCCGACCTGAGCAGGCCAGACGAGGACGACGAGAGTGTGGCAGACGACTTCTTACCTACCGAACAAGAGGGTCGCCATGTGGTCAACACGCTTCTGGAGTGGAATGGCGAGGGTGAAAAGGTCTACGTGACCGGTACCTTTGCAGATTGGGACAGGAAGTTCAAGCTTCATCCAAAGTGAGTGTTTCCTCTACTCGTGTTCTTGCTACGTTACACAGTCGCTAGCTGCAATGTAACTACCCCTCTCTCGTGCAGTCAGCCCTCCCTCCTATACGGGCGAGGAGCCACTTGTGCGAGCTTGGTGGTGTTGCGACAGACTGTCTTAGCTGTGGGTGGCGTCTCGCGCGACTGTCGTTCCTTGGTAAATTTACTGACATAGCTTTGCTACAGCGGCCCAAGTCCGAATAGCAATGTCCTTTCGACTACCATTCCTCTTCTTCCCGGAACTCATCACTTGAAGTTCATCGTCGATGGGGACATGCAGATCAGCAATCAGCTCCCCGCCACCGTCGACTTCACCAACAGTCTCGTCAACTATATTGAAGTCTCTCCCGATGACCCAGGCGCAGACCACACCGCAGCCTCCGAGCTCTCCAAAGCCGAAGGCAAGCAGCCCGTCTCCGACGCCCACGATCAAGCCGTTTCTCCTACCAGCCGCGCTGCCTATCATTCCACCTCTGTCCCTAAAAACTCTCCAGTCGCCCCCGCCGGCCTCAAGGTCCCCGAGGCCCCAGCCCACAGCACGAAGCCTGCACCCGTCGTTCCTGCTGCGCCAAAGAAATACCACTCTACAATTCCACGCTTTTTGCTCGACCTCGATGCACCCGAAGACTCGTCTCGCTTTGCCCGCGCCACTGAAGCCATGGGATCTCTTCCTGCCCCACCCACGCTCCCGCAGTTCCTTAACAAGAGTATCCTCAACGGCCAGACCCCAATGAAAGACGATAACTCTGTCCTCACATACCCAAATCACACTGTCCTCAATCATCTCGCCACCAGCAGCATCCGCTCCAACGTTCTCGCAACTTCTGCGACGATTCGTTACAAAAGGAAGGTAAGGCCGTATCGTACAGTATGTACCCTTTGCGTATCCAGGCTAACAGACCATAGTTTCTCACTACCATCATGTACAAGCCTACCAGCGATGACGGCGACTAGGCGCTCGTCGGCAGCCTCCGAGCAACGAATCTCCTGTGTCCAGCGCAGCATTGGGTGGTTTTCTAGGCGATGGAGACGAGACATGTGGCGTATAGGGGGGTCATGTGTAATTTTAGCTCAATCATCAGGTAGCCCAACGGCACCTCCCGCGCGTAGTCGGATACTCTACGCTTTGGTATATGCACTCAACGTGGACCTGGTGAGAGACGTGACTATTTTGGGGGATCGACATCGGACCTCGCTCCCGAAGCTAGGGGTGATTAATGAACTTCCCCGCTAATTAATTAGGCGCCCGAGCTGTTCCCTCGTTTTGGAGCTGTGATTGTCTGGACAGCAGCAACAACAACAACAATAACAGCTTTGTCTATATTACCAGCACCTGTCACATTCTGTTACAGGTGACCGTAAAAGCATGAGTATTGATGGCTCATGACCATTTCGTCAGAGTTAGAGCTTGCGTCACGGAGTAGGTTCCATGAGCGATATCTGATATCCTCTCTATATATGCTAGGTTATTTTATTGACGCTTGACTACCTACCCCTCCAAACAACAAGGTTCATCTCCCACTCCCTCACCCTTGTCCCAATTTTCTTGCTCAATGACGTGGTCGCAACCCCCGGCCGATTTTCATTAAACGAATGCTTGTTTGGTGTCCTGCTCAACATCAGTCCTATGATTTTCCGCCTCGCGAACTACACCAGATTCTATGCTTGCGATAGCCATGACCAGTTGGATGATGTTTGCGTTGTGTTGTGGAGCGCCAGCAAACGCATCCTTGCACCCTGGACTCTCTTGCACGTGAACGCCTGCCTCTTCGGTATATGCGCGATGGCTCTCCGACACTGGGGAGGTTTTTCTTTTTGGCAGAGTTGTAGAAAGTGTTGTGCAGTCTGGCTGCTCAACAGTCCCAACCTTGAATGCAAGGCAGAGAGTATCAAGTGTTGTTTTATGGTCTGCGAGGTTAAACCTAGTCAGAATCAGTCAAACATACGTGTACTAAGTGTTGTTTTGAAGCTTGCGAGGTCAAAAACAGTCAAAATCGGCCAAATCACGTGTACTCAGTGGTGCCTGTGTGAATTACGGCTACAGAGACTTTTGATTTCTAACTTCTGACTACTGAAATCTCTGGCTCTGTGACACGTCGTGGTAAGGTTCTTGGGAAGCTTAGGGGTCCACGGTCTGCACGGGTGCATGTCAGATACTGGTACCTCCCGGCGTATTTGATAGCTAGACTTATTAACCTATCCTCAGATCGGTAATAGAAGGTAAAGTAAATCCGCAATCACCGTACATAGACTACTTTATAGGGCGTATATGTATAAGTCTTGTAGCGGGGTGCTTTATATCGCTCTTATTAGAGATTAGGAGTAGTATATTAATATTAATACTCTATAGTTAGAATAGAGGACATGTCATTCCTATATCTAGAGATGACATATTATGACTATGTATAGAGATGAAACGCCAATACTACTAGGAGGGGTTGGACACGGACTGTGTCAGCCCCTGTTGCAGCATGGATCTGCGGCTGGCCACAACAGGGAATTTTCAGGAAGAGAATCCTCTTGCAGAAAAATCACTCATCATTCTACTATTTTGAGTAACAAGGAGCAGCATGTTTCGTTACAATGCTTATATTAATTATGGTTCTCAGGTGTATTCTAGCTAAAGGATCATAGCATAACGGCATGGCCTATGCACTTCCACACGATCAAAAGCATCGACAGAAGATGATTCAATGAGATAACGCGATATATAGTATAACACTTCCCTATTACTCTCTCCATTAATTTCTTAGGATGTCGCATCGTCTCTCCTACGCTCAACATGATTTCTCTAAAATTCACCTTTTTGGCTTGTCTGCTAATTACACGGTCTCTCGCTCGATACCCCCTACCTGGTCCTACGTTTGTGGAACACCCAACACCGACACCAGTCATTCAGTGGTCCACCGATAGAAATTGTGACCAGTTGCCAGCCATAATCGATGCTATTCAAGAGGCGATTCTCATGGCAAAACGAGCCTCGTTCCGTCTGAAGAGTTGGGTTGACGATCCAAAATCCGACGACGAGGACATCGCACGCGCTTTCAAACTTATCTTTCAGACCGACCCTACCGACCCTAGGGGTAAGGTAAATTTGAAGAGATACGATCGCGTCTTTTCGGTTTTGAACGCTATCGGTACTGCAGCCGCGAATATACACGCCGAATCTAATACACATTTCTACTGCGACAACGATGATCGCTGGGAAAAGTCTCCCGATAGAAGGTTCCTAGATAATGCCCCGCCGAGACATTACATTCCGAATTCGTACATATCGGCGGAGAGCAAAGAATGGCGTGATAAATTGCCCGAGAATAAGATCAAAATCAAGGGTGATGTGGTGCATAAGTTTATTACAATTGGTAGGCCTGCCTGTAGGAAAGATGAGGATCGGGGTTATGCAGTGAACGAAGACCCATATACCTGGGCAAAGACCTACAATATTAACAATTATTTATTGGAACGGGGTCACCCTTGGGCTAGCACCATCACCCTCTGCACACCGGTGCCCAACGCTACAATTACGACGATAACCAAAGATCCAGAGCAGAACTGGGCAAAATACTCACTCTCGTATATGGCTTTTGAAGATGGACCCTGGTCAGATTCAGATTCAGATTCAGATTCAGAGTCAGGGTTCGATTTAGGGCCGGATTCAGATCCTGAGCCAAATGTTGAGCAGATATTCGGGAAGCAACAGCTAGCTACTTATCCTAGCATGATGGTGCTCACTCAGCTCACGCAAGTCCAATACTTCAAGACATATTATGAAAGTAAGTTGCACCAAGTTAGCGCTATGTAGAGCGGGCGCTTACCGATTTACATTAGTTGAACCATTGGACCCTACGTCTAGTTGGCTAATTACCAGGAATGGACTCAGAACAAGTTTTTAAAAATTCAGCGAGCTATGGTACGTACTACGCGTGTGATTTGACTTTCACAGTGCGCTAATAAGAATGTATAGCATACTTTGGCGCACTCGCGCTTATGGGAGATTTAGGGTATAAGCTTGATGATAATGACAGGAAAGCATGGCTTGGTGAACTGGCTGAAACGGATTATAGACCTCCTAAACCTATCGAATTCAAAGTGCCCAGGTAGACACTGCTTCATTGTGTTCGATCAGGCAGGCACAGGAAAGCACATGGCGCATCAAGACATGGGGCGATCGGGACCGGGCAGCTCCCCGCAATAGACACTGTAATTCAAAAAGGTACGGGCGGTCCCGGTGCAGGAAGAGTGCATCGAGATTTGTGGTATCCAGATCGAAAGGTGCACTAAAGAGAGACTCAGCGGATATGGAACTTCAGTCGTAGTGTTGTGCTCAAGATCCCACAAGCCGCTGTCATTGACTGTGTGGCATATTTCGCCCGCAGGTTTGCAGGCAAGCGATCTTAACAGGGCCTTTTGACTTTTGCAATATTAATGAAGCTGATTCTTTTGATCTATTGTGTCTATACTTTAGTAGCACTTCCCAATTGTCGGGTGAGAGACAGACTGACTTCGTGATGGATGAAACGTCATAATTCTAAGTGTGCTTTGGGACTAGTCAATTGATACGTTCAACTTCATTTAAGGCTTGTCTCCCCGTTCAAACACACTAACATCCATTCTCCATCTCTCGTGGTACCAGCAGAAAGTCTGACCTAGTGTCTCTTGCTTTACCCTGCTAGGTGGTATCTCATGACATGGTCGAAGCCCCTGATCGATTCTTTATTAATGCTTTCTTAGTACCGTGTTCAATATCACTCCGACGCCCTTCAGCCTCTCGAATTGCATTAGATTCTATAGTAGCGATAGCCTGGACCAGTTGGATGACGTTTGCGTTGTGGAGCGCCAGTAACGCATCCTTGACCCAGACTCTGCACGTGAACGCCTCTCCTGTATTGCGTGATGGCTGTCCGACACTCGGGACGTTTCCTAAAGTCGTACGAAGCGTTGTCCACGTCTGGCTGCTCACAACTCCAACCTTGAATACAAGGCAAAGACTCTGCGAATACGGAACACCTGTCGTAGTCTTCTGCTCCAAACTCCATCCGCCGCTTCTATTAACGGCGTGCCATACTTCGCCCGCAGGTTTCTCCGTGGGTACGAAGATGCCCCAATGGAAACCATGCTCTGCGCCTCGAAGGCTGAGTATAATATAGATGGAGTAGTTCTCCAGTTCTGCAATGACGGTCGACATGTTATGATGAATAGATCAGATGAGCTGAGGAGAACATTTTCCGCGAGGAATAGATGATTGGAGATTTTCAGGTTGGAAGGAGATGAGATACGAGTTCGAGAATGGTTAAGGTGAGCCTTCTTATACCTTCGAGGCAAGTCTTGCTACGCCCTAATAAGCGCTGTCTGCCTGCTTGGCCCGCGTAGCGGGATGCATCATCACTGGCATTTTCCAATCAAATGGTTCAGCTGGACTGGGTGTGTTGTATGTTTCTAGGCAGCCTCGTCCCTAAGGCGCGTCTTTGAGCAAACTTGGACGGATCACGGGCCAAAATCTCTTTGTAACGCGTTTTACAGCATTAGGCGTGTAAAAACCTCCAGGCTCTGCGATGAACATCGCTCAGTAGGCTCCGCAGTAGTCGTCGGGAATGGGCTTGCCACTGGACGTGCAATGTCAATGGCCATATCCACAATCAAGGACATCGATAGGGGTGAGGGAACTCGTGTCGAAGGTTGCTATTAGACATTACTGGGCAACGTCTGCGTGCGCTGACATAAGATTTGGTCGCCCACTAGTGGCTTTATATACCCGCTTTCCGCCCACTCCTCGTTCATCTCCTGTATTTCTGTAGGTTACGAAAATAAACATGGGTTCACCCTTGCATATCTCTGGTAGTGCCTCTACACGCTATTACCCAAATGCATCATCTACCGAGCTCAAGGCGCTTTGTTCAATCGCCGAATCGTTCCCGCACCCCCAGCGAGCAATCATGAGTAGCTTTATTCAACGCGCTACCGATCAAGACATCGCATCACAATACTTTCTCGCGCAAGTCTCTGCGCAGGACCCCGTTACTGTCTTCAATCGCTGGATCAGTATTCTCAGAGAAAGTTCGTTGTGATAATAGAAAAAGAATCCCTCTTCTGACCTGTGTTAGCACGCCCAATTCTATGCTCAGATTCGGATTTACCATTTCTTCGACACGTTCAGCTGAGAGACGCGGCTCGTTGTTGTATTTCGAATGCTCAGGACGAAGAGGGACACGACAGCAAGCTTCTACTGGTCTACATCCTCTCCCCGCAATTTTTATTGAACATCGACGTTGTCGAAAATGTAAGTCTTCCTGATCACCTATGTCGCACCATTCTCATGTCGTGACAGCGACCTCTCCGCGAAATGCTCATAGCCTTTATTGGGGAGGCCAACGTACAGAAACTGTGCACGCTCGTCGGTCAGACAAATATTAACTCCAAATCCAGCCAAGTGCTACTACTGTCGCCACAAATGTTTGACCATTTCAGACATGGCAGGGTTTCTCTACAAAGCGGATTATTATCAGACTTGGAGGGCCAGGTAATTGTTACATCTTGTTTTATAAAGGTATCCTAATGCAAACAGGTTCGATACTTAATATCATGCAACATTCGCATTCCTGGGCTTCCAGTTGATACGGAGTCGTCCGCGGACTTCATGAATCATAATCCCAACGTTACTTCTCTTCCAGATCCAGATCTTCTTGAGACTCATCATCGGTTTGCGGATGCTCTAGCATGGTTGGACGCATCTGAATATATGGCAGAGAAAATCCATCTACCAAAGGCATCAGAATCACAAACGGCAAGGTCGTCTAAGCAGCTTTTCCCAATCTCTACGTGGCTCTGTTCGTCTATGAATCGATTATTCCACCGATTGTGGGTCTCCCTTCCCGGTGTCGTTCGCGCATTTACCTACAAATGTCTCGCATCAATCGGATCTATGCTCTACGGTCACACTGGGTCTGATCGCACGTATCGACTTCCCTTCAACCTCTACCTGCGAGTAGGACAAATGAACTGGGCTTCGAAGCATCAGGCAGAAATGCGATCACTTCAGCTTGTTGAAAAGTATACTGAGATCCCTGCACCAAGGGGAATTGACGTTGTTCACTATGGCGCGTCATCATTTCTGCTTATGTCTCGGTGCCCTGGACAGAGAATCGGTCTAATGTTCTCTACAATGACGGATGAGAATGTACACTCCGTTGAGGAAGAACTGCGACGATACATAAGCCAGCTACGACGTATCCCAAACCAAACAAGGTCAAAATATCAGATATGCAATGCACTTGGGGGCGGAATCCAAGACTGGCGGATTGGTGACTCTCAGCGGGAAGAGCTAAAGTTTCTGGATGAACCCGAATTCAACAGATACTTAACCCATGATCTACCGCCACTTACTGAGAATGACCTATCTACGATTTCCAAAGCACATAACAAAAGTCATAGTATTTTTTTTACCCACGCGGATCTCAACCTTCTGAATGTTCTTGTCGACGACAATGGGAGAATCTCAGGCATAGTTGACTGGGAGTGTGCCGGCTGGTATCCGGAATATTGGGAATACACAAAGGCACATTTCACAGTGCGTTACACCATTCGGTGGATCGCTGATGTTATTGACCGATTATTCCCCAACTATCAAGACGAGCTTCAAGCGGAGAATCTGTTGACAAGCTTGACACCCCCATGGTAGCCTCTGCTAGTGACTATCTGACCTCTACATCTTGAATGATGTCGAGCCATCTCAAGTTATATATATATTTGAATGGCGAGAGCATTGCAGAATTCTAGCGTTGCGATTCACTGTGGGTATTTCGTAATACTGTTATAATGGGAGCGTCCTCTTGACGTACGACTCGATACCAAAAAAATATGCATAGGGAAGCTGGCAGAAGGCGAGGAAACGGATTGGAAACTTGTGAAGAATAGGACAAAATGTAATTTATTGGGTATTGCTGACGCAGCATTCGAATAGTGGCATAAGCGATGCTCTGTTTTGCAACACATTGTTTCCAAGCATTTGTCACTTGCTAGGTTTATTATGACTCACATAGAATGCCCCTGAGAAATGTAGAGAGATAAGGAAAGTTTTGTACTGATGTACAAAGTGTGGTACACGAATCTTGATATGATTCGTCCAAGAGGTCACAGCCTCCCTGACAGAGAGCTTGCAATCTTTGTGAGTGCTAGGAGAGAATCTTGTGGCCAGCATGATCAAGACTGGAATGCCACAGTATCGCTTTATATCTAGAGCATCCATTGTGAAATGATCATGGCGAGATGGTACCATAATTGCTGCCCGAGCCGAGGGCATTGCTAGCCCCGACATTTGCATTGATCGAAGATATATAGCTAACACACCGCTAGAGCCCTCATGCAAACTGTATGCGGTTCTGTATAGTTATCACGACTGCTAATCTGTAGGTTGCGCGAGAACGAAGTGAAAGCTGGAGCTTTGAATGAATTCTGCTATCAGTCAGCCAGCTGGTAATTTACCCAGGCGTGTGTGCAGGAACATTGGTTTTTGGGGGGTTCGATATCGTACTGAGTTTGATGCTCGGATGATCTATTCGCAGAATGAGATATCCGGAGTGTATTTGTTGGTCCCGGGGTGATATATCTTCGATCTCGCTTGGGCTGGTCCAGTAACACCAAGAAAGTGGTTTCTCTAATCATTCGGGAGAGTGTTGGGATACAACTATGGATGCACACCAGGAGATGTCGTGAGATGTACTGTTCAGACTCATCTCTCATTTTATTTTCGCCTGGCTGGACAAGGAGTTATTCGTCGATCAGTTGAGTGGAGATTCCTAAACATGATGTGTAGATAACGCATCAGGGGTCAACATCGCGATTAAAAGACAAGCTTGCTACGGGCTGAAATACAACGTATCTCATCCACGTTTTATTGGTATCGTCATATCTAGTTAGCCAGCGCCAATCAGTCAATTGAGGTCTGTTCTCATATGATTGTTCCCAATGTTTAGTCAATAATCGATCCCAGAGTGCGAAACAATATCAACTGTTCGAACGCACGCGGCCAGCTGTAATAGGCCCGCGTCACGACCTCGCATGATCGCTCAAAAGACATTTATATGTGCGCGTGTGTGGCTTCATATTTCTTCGCTCTGCATATGCAAGCTATATTTATGACAATCTCAAACTTGTCTATCCATAGCTGTTAGATAACCGACTCATTAGCGGCGAGTTTGCAGGTCTATTCTTACCATTCTGTGAGCAGACTTTCTGTAGGATCTGATGGGTGTGGGAATCTAGTTCTATGAATCATGTTCATCGGATTGACTGCATTCTGGTAGCTCTGTCGAGGGCGAAAGTTTCTCTCCACTATTTGATGCCTCCAAACGGATGATTGTATTTGAGGAGAGCGTTCAACCCACCGACCCAATGATCATCGCTATCTCTTTCCATTCCCACTGCCCCTCTGACGATACATGGCACGCCACCACGCCATTCTCTCTTCTCCCAACCACCTTCAATAAGGATACCTTCTCCAATGACTTTAATCTCAGATCCGATTTCGATACCATGTTGCATCCGAACACCATCCACGCTTACTTCGAGCTCGCGTCCTCGATTCTTCTCGCCGAATCGGAGGCTAATAGGAGTGTTAGCAGGAAGAACCAGCGGACGAAACGACAGAGACCGGGGGCAGATAGGCGTCAACAGGATCGATGGGACGAGCGGATGTACGATAGCACCGCCACTCGAAAGAGAGTATGCAGTGGATCCGGTAGGCGTAGAGACTATCAGACCGTCGGCGACAGCCTCGGTAAGTAAGCGGCCTCCAACATAGATGGAAATAATCGCTAGATGCGGGGAAATGCCACGATGTAGTGCCACCTCGTTCATGGCGTATATGTCCGTATCAGCGGATGCATGGAGCGCAGCTGATGTTGGCTCCGTGGCTATACGGCCACCCGAGGCGTCAAAGACGCCAACTTTCAACCTGTTGCGTAGTAGGACCCGCGATCCTCGATGACTGCCCATGCTTTTGCCTCTCACAGATGACCAGCCAGTCCCAGTCACAGGCGCTTCGTGCTCAGCGGCTTCTCCATTACGAGTTCCGTACGCATCAATAGCGCCTGACATGAAAACTTCTCGGAACGCACGCTTGTACTCGCCGAACTTCCACTCGCCAAGGAATCCTAACGTGCCCATACCGAAAGAGAGGACAGGTGGAACACTTTGCGATGAGGCGAACAGAGACGCTGCACGAAGAATGGTGCCATCACCCCCAAGCGTAGACACAAAGTCGATCTTGTCCTGATATCGTGCTGTGGCGGAATTGCCATTTGGTGTCTCCGTGTAGACCGGAAATGGGAATTCCTCGTGATACTTCGCAGCTGTCGACGCCTCTAACACTATTTCTGTATCCGGATAGGATCCTTTGATGTGTTTTGCGAACTCAATGAGCGATTCGTCAACAGCTATGTCGCCTCTTTTCTTGATCAGTAGTACGTTCCTTGGTGGTGACGGCCATTGCAAACAAAGTAAATCATTGTTGCGAGTTTCTGACTGTTTTAGTATTTTACCACGTGGAATTAAGACTGCGTGCTCGCACCACTTTGTTGCAGCGGCGCTAGAGTTTGATGTCTATCTTACCTTGAAACGATGGATGTATGCGATCTTGAAGACCACTGATGTCGCGCACTTCTTGCCGAATAAAACTTTGAGAGAAATATCGCCTCTGGCTGATTCTCAATAGCCTTCGTGCCGCCAACATTGTCACTTCGCAAGTACCAAATAAGCATACGGGGCGTTCCACTCTGAGTGATGGTGTTGGTTTTACATATGTCAAGAAATCAGAGTTGGCTCCTGATGATTGACTTCGCAAAAACAATCAAATGATCCAGAAACCAATGCTTCGCCCAGACGCCAGAAATGCTATATAGATGCAGCTCGAGGGATGGCACCCTGATCGTGCTCCTACAGACGTGGTGTCGTGGTGTGATCGTCCAGACGTCGACTAGTACGCTAACCTAAAGAAGTCTAGCAGATATTCTATAGGGCTGTCGGGACTTGCGACCCGCAAAAAACTCCACGGAACAATTTGCCAGAACAGTTCCTGGTCGACAGATAACATAGGCTGACACCTTCTACACCATCAGATCATAAGTATTAAGCCACTAGTATGCCTTCAGCTGCTACTGATCCCCGTGAGGGAGACGCCGATGTCACAATGGCAGATGCCTTGCCCGGGGAGCCACCAGCGACAGAGATGGACGAAGAGGAAGAGGAAGCCGCACCTATGCGTCTCAGAGTGGTACGTGCCTATTTTGCACAAAGGACGCAATCCCCAGTAGCCCGCGCATACGCTGATGGAGAGAATTGCAGCTTCCCGGCTCCACGGAAACTGCGGCGTCATTCGAGTTTGCGAAAGAAGATCACACATTGGGGAATGCACTGAGGTGGATAATTATGAAGAAGTATGCCCGCACTCTGATGCTTCACTGGCTAAATTGAGCGGAAGTCACTATGAAGAGATCATGCGCTAATGCGATTGGGACAGTCCTGTTGTCGAGTTCTGTGGCTACACGATTCCGCACCCGTCAGAGGCGCGAATGAACCTCAGAATACAAACATACGGTATATTGATCCCTTGCTGGGACAAACGGGAATAAGTACTGACTTTTGGTATAGACAACGCAAGTGTATACGACGTGCTAGACAAAGGTCTGGTAGACCTGATGGATCTGTGTGACGTAGTCCAAGAGAAGTTTGAGATAGTCAGGGATGACTTCAAGAAGAAGTAAACAGATTGATTGCGAACATGTAATTTTGCATTGTAGCCGGCGTTCGGACCGGACATGTCATGAGCATTTACACGGAGTTTATAGCCAAGGAAAAGCAGTACGCTGGCATTTGAATATGTACAGACACTTCGAAGTATCTCCTCACTTTAATTTCGTCCCTGTGATTGACTTGTTAGCAAGAGTAGACGACAGGAACACAGCCCACGCATGTGTTGTCCTTCTGGTCACAAATAAAGGCAGTCGTACCTCCAAGAACCTGCCCATGAAGTCATGTGGTTGCTTCTTGTTGTCCTCCTCCACCTGAAAATATTTCATGACATTGGTTTTTTGTTTCCAGAAGTTCAGCGTTTCCTGTAAGTACCTTGTCAGGACCCGCTTGTATTTCACCGTTCGCTAGGAGACCGACCTGGAATTCTGCATGTGCCTGGAAGATAAGCACATCGACTGTTTTCAGCTGGTTTACGTAGCGGTGTCTTTCAAACTCCTGACGAAGCTTTGTGCGGAGGGCCGCGATCGGCAAATTAAGCTTGTACATGCTTTGGATCTCGGGACACTGAGCTTATCAGCACATGGTCTCATTCTTCCAGGCGACCCAACATATAATCAAGCTCCAGGGACATCGTAAACGAAGAATGTCGGAGTACACCTACAGCTCGTAGCCATTGTCGGTATGAGTGGATAACTCGATTCCTTGCGTCGGCCCAATCAGCAGCTATAACCTCATTAGTGCTTTAGAGAAGCCCAACGTGAAATCTGTGATGGTATATGAGCTTACACGTCCGTGTAGTCCGCGCAAGGTATGTAGCGTTGATTGTCATGGTCGATTAAGGCGCTTGTCTGCAGTACAATCATATCGCCAGACTAACATAAGGTTGAAGTCGGCGGCACATCTTCGGCTCTCGCTACCCGCCAATGACGCCTGGTCTAATATCATGGCCCTGTTGGCCGCCTTCAACTGGAATAATTCTCAAGCCAAGCATGTAGCGAAGACACAAGACCTGGATATCTTGGAGCTTCACCAGTCCAACGACCAGAAGCTTATCTAAACATTGCGCATACTTGTCTCTCCCAGATAGATTCAAGAACGCGCAAACTTCGGTGTAGTCTTCATTACGAGCCGCTACCAGAGACACATTTGTTTCGAGCCCCAAGAGAAGCAAGTCAAGCTGTTGTATCCACTCTCCGAACCTGTCTTTCAACTGTTTCAGAAGTCTCTCCTCGCCATGCCACCTATTAGGTCTCACGGGCGCAACAAGAAGCCTCCCCCCGATGGTTTCGATGACATCGAAGACACTCTTCTAGAGTTCTCGAACAAGATGAAGGATGCAGAGAACGCGTCCCACGAGGGCAAGAAAAGGCACGAGATGATCTGGCCCATTTTCCAAATCACACATCAACGCAGCCGGTACATCTACGACTTGTACTACGAGAAGGAGGCGATCAGCAAGCAGCTTTACGATTGGCTTTTGAAGCAAGGGTATGCAGATGCGAATTTGATCGCGAAATGGAAGAAGCAAGGTTATGAAAAGGTATGTGCATGCCGAGACTATTTACTTCTTATCCGCATGAGCTAACGCTACGAAGCTTTGCTGTTTACGGTGCATTCAAACAAAGGAGACAAACTTCTCTGCTACCTGTATCTGTCGGGTGCCAAAGGACCAGCTTCAAGAGAACCAAACCATCGAATGCGTCAGCTGTGGCTGTAGGGGTTGTGCGTCAAGCGACTGATAAAACATGGAGGAACAAGAGCGATCGAAGAATTTGACGCTGTGCCAACATCTGACCAGAAAGAGTGCCGCTATATATCCATGTGGTAGCCTAAGGGCTCACTTCCAGAATCAGGGACGGTCACTGAGCGTTCTGCAAAGATCTCTGCAAATGTGTACCCACATCTGGGTCAGATGTAGTCGCCACCATGTGCCGGAGCACGATGGACACGGATGTTAGGGGCTAAGGGGGCGTCTGGAAGGTGCGGCAAGACCTGACTGATCAGTTCAGCTTGATGTGATCAATACCATATGAATTCTTAGCAGCAACGCTAAATTCAGTAGAGAGTCTTCCTCGAACAGTGGTGGAGCGGGCCATATTTTCAAGGACGAGAGGAAGTAAATCCTACATTTATGTTCTCTGAAGACTTCGATCGTGGAGACTTTGATTATGCTTGCTGTGCGCGGCAGCAGATCGGAAAGTGCTGTACTACAATTTTCTCGAAGATATGAAAAGCTTTCTCTGGACTTGCCACATGATATCTGTGACTATGGGAAGCAAAGCATTGTAGTACTTGGTCCTGTTCTTGCAGTTTTCCTAGAATCTGATGGTACTACCCTGGGTGCAAGTATACTCCGAAATCTGACTAGTATCTTTCTCCGCTATTCTCCTAATCTCCTAATCTCCTATGAGAGCAGTCCACCTGCAGACACATTGGAGTCTACCGCGCTGTCTCACTATGAAGAATATGACGAGCCTGAGCAGTGTACAGTCTCATGTAATGATGCAGAGCTATATTCAGAACGAGTAGATGATTTGTGATGTCGTACCGAAGACCCCATCGTACCCGATTATCAGAACCCTCTTCTTGAAACCTCAGGACGTTCTTCATCGCGATAATAGCTCCGTTTGAGATACCTACCATGAACTCTACCAATTGATCCGTTTAATGATTATCTTTCTGGTATCGCTCGACAGGTGCAGCGTGTATATCTCTATAACGATGTTTAGCTGCTCGTACCCACTATCAGTGTTTATTCTCTGCCCGAACTTGGTCACATCATCGAATTGGTATTCTGAAACCATACAGACTACTATGAAACGAGTGACACAGTGACTACTGGAGATTAGGTCGTTGATCAGTTTGCCATCGTGATGATAGCTGGTGGGTCGAAGCGACGGTCTGAATGAATGTAACTAAAGCTGTGATGGCTAGGGCTTGAGTGACCATTTTGTGATAGTATGTACACTATTTTTTGTTATTGAGATTAGCAAATGAAAGGTTATGCCGGCCCCTGTTGCTATATGAGACATTGACGTCATAAACAGACTGGATCTGAATGGTGACAGTTGACTATGAATTTTGACATGTTGAAAGCATACCAACCATACAAGAGCGCCACAAGGAAATACTAGATAGAACCAGTATGCTCCCAAAAGAAGTTGCATTGTGATGGTATCCGTGACATGCGATATTGTAGATGTAAAATAAAATATGCGACATGACTCGCGCAAAGATGCCAACGCCTGCAGGTATCCATGGATGATCCGTCCATTGGATGCCAAGGACTTACTGCTCGGCGCACTAAACGAGTCTTCTTTCAACGACATCTCATCTCATACCACCCAACACTAATAACTTGTCATTGTTTGCTCCTTTATACACATCCACCTAATACCATGATCCTAGCACCACTGTTGCAGCCTGCATATCTGCTCGCATCCTTATTGTTCTCCAAGGTCCCACTCGCGATCGTTCGATTTACCTCTGTGCAGATCGATGCTCGGTGCTGAACGGTGCTTCTCTCTGAAGGATATACAGACACGAAGTGATGAGAATTACTCCAGAGTCTGGAAGTCATGATCTAGGCTCGTTTCTGGGTGTACCCAGATCTTCTTCTTTGCCTGATGTCTGTTATGTCCGGTCATATGGCCTGATCCGACTATTCCTCCGCACATGTCTGTATTTTATAGACCACGTATTCGACTCTGAGACCCGGCTTCTCTGGATAGGATGACTTCTTGGACTTGGGTACATGCTCCTAATGATATTCGCTCGAAATCGTTTCATAGGTTCTATCATCCAACAGTGCTAGAATCCGAATTAGGATATGCATCCTAGTAGCAGTATGCTTCCATCCGGATGAAACGCATTGAGTTCCGCTATCTGTATCTTATGCGCCATGCTGAACATGCTCAAATCGCCTGCTCTAAATCTCGTGTATCTAAGGATTACTTTTACGACGGCCCATGCCCAGGATATGTTATCAGGGGATTTCATTTGTAGAGGTAAGTCACAGAGGAGGACTGAAAATTCGCATAAATCGTCCCATATTATCGTATGCTTCGTCCATTAAAGATAATATTCACCAGAAGGTCTTCTTCAATCCGAACGATGCCTATCGGACCACAATCGCAACTGAAGACTTTCCTATTATTACTCAACGTCGTCCAATCAGCCTATAACCGCGTTATATTGTCTTATCAGCTTCATTTATCACTTATAGCAAGAGCACACCACACCACTGCCCCAGTAATACATACGCAGCAACACGGCCTTATCGTAACTCCTCATCATATTGTCCCTCTCTATCTACGCTTTTCCCCTTTTCACGAGCAAGAAAAACACTGGCCCTTTTATCCTCCTCCTGACGCGTGTCTCTATTCTTAGTGTCTACTTTTATAGAGCTTAGCAGGCGCTCGACCAGCGGTCTAAACACTTACCACGTGCCCTCCTCCACCCCAGGGCGCATGAAATCGTCCAGGGGCACACCTGCCTCGAGCTGCGTTGCCATGTCCTCCAGCACAATGAAGCCACCCCACGGCACGTCTGAATTATATGGCGTGTCGAGCTGGTTCCGGGCCTCGTGCTCTGTGGTTTCTGTGGTGCTGGTGTTGGAGAGAACGGGCACGGTGGGTGAGGAGATAGAGTAGTGGTCGGGGGGTATGCCAGAGGACATGTTAGGATTCCATGTGTCAGTGGTTGGATGCAGAGTAGGGGCGATGCCTGCTGGGAGCTCGTCCGGATGGGTGGCTGCTCGATTGGCTCTTGCTTAGGCAAGGTCAAAAGTTGCGTGTTCTGACGGGACTGTGCCTGTGGTACATGTGAATAAGTCTGAGACATCTCCTCCTTTTCTTCTCTTCCTGGTACTGTGGAGCTCGTATCATTCATCGTCTTTCTCTTTATGTGAGTGTCCCATAAAAAGGCGTGGAAAAATTCGTTGACAAGCCTTCTTTGATAAGGATATCTGCGTTGAAAAAATGTGTCAGTACGATGGTGACGGCCACGGTAAGTGGTTATAGCGGATGTCAAAAGATCGTCACAATGGTGCGGTCATCAGCATAGCCGCTAGAACCACTGCAACCGCCCGCAAGATTCATACAGCACAACACTCCTTCCAACCAAATCTTCAACCAGTCATGTTTTACAAAAGGACCCCCCACCACATTCATTTGGTCGAGAGACCCTCCTAGTCCTTCATCTTTTTCCCCTTTGACAGTGATGAGTGCAAAGAGAAAGCTTTGTGCAGGCTCGTTACTCGCACACTCCCTTTCAGCAAGAAAGCCAATACTTGCATTTCACTATTCGAATAACAGCTCTGGGCTTCAATGGAAGAGCGGAATAGGAAGATAACGAGCTATAGAAAGCTATCTCGACTATTTTGCTTCATCAAAGAAACCGTGGCGTCGCGAGCTTTGGTAGGTGGAATTCCTCTAACGACGCGAATGGCATCCTTGCCTTTTTGGACACCAACAAAGAAATAAGACCGCGATGATGTGACAAAAGTAAGCTTCTCATCATCGAGGTCGATGAGCTTCCTTGTATCTGACTTGGAAGCCGTGGGGTGACAGCTTACGGCTGGCACTACACTCGGTCAATGTGTTTACGACCCTTGAAGACCCGAACACCAGATGAGGGAGTCGATATCGATGAAAGGTACCAGAAGAAACCTCTCTAGTAAGTAAGATACCCCATACTGCTCTGCATCATAGCCTGATGTCACCGCGCTGCAGGATCTACTATCTGCGGATTTTCTCCGACGCGCTTAGCACACTTGCCAATCAAAACACCAGGACAAATCATAGAACCTCGGGAAGATATCCAAACCGACCAGTCCGGGAGGGAAATCCCCAGCTATGTTTTTCATCCGACGACTAATCTCTGGTACTGCAGAATCTGCCTTACGCAGATCACTCCTCGCGTTTGACGCATTGCATAACTGATACATCATACCATTAGCCAGCACTCGAATTCCTTCAAGAAGCATGGTAAAGCGAGAATGAGGACGACATAATCGTTGAGCTTGTTTAACTTTGATTACCACAGCCATGATCGGTCTGACATACAGAGTAGTGTGTAGCGAGCTGTTAACACTTTTCGACTTCTTCATCATTGATCAAAATTGTCTTGGGGACTTCGGAGGACGTCTCAACGAGACCGAGTGCCTGATATATCTCTTTCCAGCTCCGTCGCCGAGATCCACGTCTACCTTCGTGGTATACTATCCAGGGAAGTGTTACAACACCATAACACTTTAGATATAGATGGTAATCGCGATCATAGTGCAATTTTTACGGTCGAGCACCGAAGGTAAGTTACGCCCGCCTTATAAAATGAGTCGCCAGACATCGACTGACATGCATTGACATGCTTGCCTTTCATAGATGAAACTGTTTACCATTTTGATCGACCCATCAGATGATAATCCAGCGATTGACCCAGTCCCTGAATCTCGACGCAGAACGCCATATTCTGAGAGACATGATCGACGAATAGCCGCAAATAATCTTCCATTCTTAGCTCCCTTCTCGTGTCTACTCCCATAACGAAAGCTTGAATCTCTTAAGGGCCGCCATAATCTGAATGACGAGCAGTTTAAGACATCATCATCTCAAGAGACTCCCCGCAATTCTCTGGACTCTATCGATGACAAGAGAACCGCATCCCTTGAAGACATAAGTATCCGGAAGACACATTATAAACACACCGGAACAACGAAATATTTCCAGTCCTCTATTTGAGCGTTTACCAACGACAACAAACGGGACTAACATTCCTTAAAATCGCAAAGGTTTGCTTCCCTCGAAGTCACGACAGTCCAGGGTATATGGAAGCGGCAATCCGAAATACCAACCGGCTCCTAGCTCTGTCTATGCCTTTCGTCACAAATTATCCACCCAACCAACTGGCTATTGTATATCTCAGGTTGTCAGCACATAAATACTTCTCCCCAAACCAAGACCAATTGAAGAAAGACAACTCAACAAGGAGAAGAACTATGTGTCGCAAGTCACAAAGCAGCAGGATCACACTCTGTCACCGGACCAGAACTGCCTCAACCGTGTGCTCTCCAGAATCTGCGGCGCAATAGTGGTGTCACAACACCCCGGGACTATGAGACGAACATCAACGTCAACGGGGACAATGAGGGTGCAGTACCTGCTGTGACAGTGTCCTAATGTTCAAAATTGCGGATAAGGTTGCCGTAGTACGTGTTTCCAGAGCAGTCCCAGACTGTGAGGGTGATCAGCATACAGTGACCTGGGTACTGCAAAACGTGGAGGCAATAAAGAGCTTGGACCCCTGAGGTGAGCACACATCCTCTGTCGTCGAGCAATACAACGCTTCTACAGCTAGCTCAGCGTGTCTGTGAGCTACAAAATCTCGGCGTGTAGCAATTTAATTGCCTCCCGACTCAACAGAATCTATGTGTCAAGTACAGGCTTGGAGCACACTCGAGTCTAATAGAACTGTTACACAATTGGACGGGGAAGGTCGCCAAGCCAAGAGGATACACCACACGGTCTTTACCATACCGCGTTTCTCGATCCTGGCCTCTGAAAGGAGGAGCTACATTGTGGTGTCAATGTCTGACATGTGAGCCACTCTGAGCAGGCTCTTGACCCTCCTTTTTGTCGATTGCCCATAGCCAAGAACATACTGGCATATCGGACTCTGATATGGCATTAACCGCGGGTCACTGGAAATATCTGACGGTCTCTTTCATGCGACTTGCAACCTGGTCAAATATCACAGTACTCGTCTGTAATCTCGCGTGTCTACTTTTTGACACCCAAATTTAGGATCCGAGTCTTCGTGGACTGTGCAGAACTCGGGTGAATCCTCACCTACTATATCAAGAGTCACTTGGACGCGACTCCCGGGTCGAACGCCCTCGTTCTCCTCTGGACAGATACGGGATGGTCTTTCTCTTCAGCAGCTTTCCTAGCGTCCGTTATCCTCACTTGCTCACAGTTCATCTGTGTATGCATATCATTTCGAGCTCTTGATCCTCCCCTTGATTATTGCCCTGTTGACGCTCCTTCTTATCCAACTCCTGGATATAGACGTCTCTCAGTTCGCTACAAACGCAATCAGGTAAGCTATCATCCCGAGCAAACATGCCTCTCTTGATAGAGTCGCTGCTGTCACCGCATACTGCTCCTCATTGGAAGCCACAAGCTACCCGCATCTCACCTTCCAGTCGTCTTCGTACTGCAACACATATACTAGCTTTGGAGACTTGCCATATCTGATCAGTAGCTACGCAATAGAAAGGACCGACTTCCTGTTTGCTGTTGACCCGTCTGCTATTATTACCACATTGTGGACTACGACACTCATCTCACGCTGGATCTAAGTCGCCTTGGACGTCATCATCCTCTTCGAATACTTAGCGCACAGTATGCTCAACATCTTCTCCAACCTTATCGCCTCAGGAGAGGGCGTGTATTGTACACGACAGCGTGGCTACACCACGAGCACTCGTCTCTTTCCTCTCACCAGCGCGGGTACTGTCAGGCAACTTTCTATTGCCAGAGCTGCAAGCGACCTCAGGAAACCGGACCAGAACTTCATCAGCTTTCGACTACACATACTGCTGCACGCTTAGCCCAGGGAATCCGTGATGTTGTGGTAGGCAATATCGTTCGGATGTACCTGCGAATCTAGATCTGCATCGTCGTAGCAATTGTGGCTCGATCCAGTTTTCCTCGGCTTACGTGAACGTCTGAAACACCGGACGGCCGTAAAGATTCCCTTATCCTTGACTGCGTTACCTCAGTCGTGGCGCACCTTGCGGCGTGGTGGTGCACGAGGCGTGCGTCAATTGCGTGCTTTCTGCGCGCTGATGTGATAATGCGGGATGGTATAGCTAAGGGACGCGAAAAGAGATGCGGATGTGCATTTTAGAAACGCTGCTGGTGTTTGTGACAAGGTTATGGCTGTTGCGCTGATATATCGTCGTGGTTGCAGTCGACGGGGAAGGGGGATGTTAGGAGTGCCCGCAAATGCTGAGTACGTGAACAATTCCCTATGGAGAGACTCTTTTGGATCCGGTAGGAAAATTCCTCGCCTTTATTCGCTTGTCTAAGTCTATTATTATTGCGGTAAGGTCAAGTCACTATGAGAGACGAGAAAGAGCGAGGATGATTGACAAGCCATGATGTCAATTGGTATCTAACTATTGTATTGCTCCATAAGAGGAGGTGGTTGAGATACAAGATCTCGCTACAGTATCGCCATTTCGCCGACAAGATAAACAGAGACAGTGAAGGTATTAAAAGGCGTCAAGACCACTAGGCCGACGATACAAGAAGAGAAGATTCAAATCCAGAACGCAAACAAGATGTAACCGACATCCATCCAGACCACATTGGCCAATCACCATCAGATCCAGACACAAAAGCCGAACCAAAGAAGAGGGATGGGGAAAGAGCACATCACTTGTTGTAGACAGCGCTGAACTGATGAGCGAAAGAAAAGATAGAGTCGAACTCTGGGGGATTGTGTGGGTTTCCGTTGTCAAACAAGCCCTGCATGAGGTTTGCCTGTCCGGTGCGGCGAGCGCGACTGTAAAGACCTGAAGTGACAATGTCAGATGAGAGAGGCAAAGATGAGTTGGGTGAAGGGATTTACCGTTGTTGCGACCATTCATAACAGAACGATTGAGCTTGGTATGGTTATCGACGTGGGGAAGTGGAATCTCCTCACCCAAGGCGCGTCCAGACATAGATTCTTCGGCGAAGTCGAAGAGCGAGACGAAAAGCTGAGAAATGATTAGCTTGGAAGACTGTAGTCAAGGTGTGTTTGTACCTTGGGACGATTTGGTGCAGGCTGGAGGCGAAGACCAGAGTTGCGAAAGCGAGCGATTTGGTTCTCCTTACCCTGAGTAGTGGCGTAAGAAACAGCCGCGACCTTGGTGGTATGGTTGATGATCCAAGTCAAGCCTTGCCACTTACCGGCAAACTGGACCGCAGCATCGGGATCATCAAAGTTGACAAATCCATAGCCGACGTTGTTGCCGGTCTGGAAGTCCATGCGGAGATACAAGAAGTTGTACATGTTGCGCGCCATACCGTCGATGAGATACTTCAACTCGAACTATGTCTGTGTCAGTAAAGCTTGAAAAAAGAGTGGCAGAACTTACAGAGGTCATTCCATTGGGCAAGTTGCGAAGCATGAGAGTGGTGCGAACATCGTCGACGCGAACGAAGTGGGGAGGAGCGATGATCATTGAGGCAGTGCGATGAGGATAACGTGGGCAGCGCGGGATCTGAATGTCTCCACGGAAGCCATTGTGGACAAGTTCTGTAAGACAGAGGAGCTCGGATGGCGCCATGATTTCAACTCTCACGATGCCGCCGATGGAGGGAGTCTGGCTGAAGTCAGATGTGAAGCCGGAAATGATGAGAAATGGAGCGAAACTTACTTGAATCCAAGAGCGAACACGTCCTTGCATCTCGACCATGCGCATAGCATGCTCGACACTGTAGAATTCAATCGTGTAAGTGGCCCACGCGATGTTACCACCACGTACCTCACAGGTGATGGTGCGAACTGGAGAACCGTAGTCGGCAATGATGCCTTGGGCCCAAGCATGCATTGTCATGAACGACTGACGATCGGTGACGGGCAAAGGAGAGACAATATGCATACGAACCATTGTCTCATAGCCGTTATGAGGATAGAGCACGGGAGAGCGAGCGAGGTTATTGTAAACCCGAGCGCTTACCCAGGCAACAGAGCAGAGATTCGGGAACAGGTTCTCAGCAAAGTTGTCGACTAGGATCTTAGCCAGGTGGGACTGGCGGATGTCCTGGTAGAAGAACAGAAACTGGCTGTCAACAGTGCGTCTGAGCTCAGTGCATTCGTTGATCAGCGGAACTTCCTGAATGTGGTGTTAGCGAGCGGTCTCAGATCGGATCAAGATGGCTTACTGTCTTCAAGAGATCAAAAAACTCTGCGAGGTTGTTGACACCGGCCAGGATTGCCTCAGAAGACCCAGTATTGCAAGCGACATGGAGGTAGCGTGTCATGTACTCGCGGTGTTCAGCGGGATTGAGACGGACAAAGGGAACAAGATCATTCATGCGCCAGGTGTCGATAACACCTTCGAACTCGGAGGGGTGAATCAGCTCGAAGAGATACTTTTCCATCATACCACCACGGAGGACATCGCTTGGCGTAGAGACAATCGCCTTCAGAAGGGAACGATAGGCGTCTTTGACCGTGAGCTTCTCCTCATCCTGGATAAGCGTCAAGATTTGGTCACGGACTTCTTGGTCATGAAGACCGGTGAAGATGTTGGACCATTCGATGATCTTGGCGCGAACATGAGGGGGATACTGGTGGTGCTGAGGAATGATCACAGCTTGATGCTGATGATCATAAGTGGAACCAGGCGAGGGGATGGTGTCAGCAGTATTGACAGAATTTGGCGAGGCGGGCTCGGAGTAGTCAAAGAAAGTCTCGCGAACTGGCGAACTACCGGCGGAAGAACCAGATGAAGACATGATGATGAATGAGTGACTGGTAACAGAGGAGATATGGTCAAGGAAAGGTGAAGAGAGTGGAGGAAGGTAAAGGAATGGTTGCCAACAAGAAGCAATGAAGAGAGAAGAGAATGAAGGTAGAGAGCAGTGAGAAAGATGAGTTGTTGGGTGAAGAAGAGAAGGAAAATCGGCGAGGAGAGACGAGTTTTTAAGGCGGACGTGGGGGCTCGAGAGCTGGTGAGAATCGAAACTATCCCGCGACCCCTTTAGGCCTGGATCAAAACAAAAGCAGGGCAGGAACGACCATTGCTGTCAAAGCTGTCATAATCGAACCACACAGAAGCACATGATGTAACTTCTTCGTCCGGATAGGGAATGGTCATGTTCCCGATGCTAAGCTCGGGAGATTGCTTTGATCGATGAATCTGCCACTCTGCTTTTGCGCCAGGCCGATATCTTGACTGCCCGAGAAGCTGTGGAGTTGAGCTTAACGGGAGGCTGTAGCCCGGACTCAGGGGATGCAGCCCATCTATTCTGGAGTCCATACATGGATGGTTGGGCGAAGTGTGAAGGCTTACGCAAGCCAAACGTGAAGCCCGCACAGGCCTTCTAAACGTCTATCGCGACTTCTTGCCGCTAGCAAGACCCACATGTTCGGTGAGGGGGAGGGGGAGGGGGAGGCCACAAGCTTCCCGCAGCGCTAAGGAGGTCGCAAGTGTTTGCCATACCTATGCTGCCGGTGGCTGGGCGACGAGGCGACCTGGGCCTGTGGCTGTGGCTGTGCTTGCACTCATGGACTCACGAGACGCTGGCTGCATCGCCAGGGATGCTGGAGGAGTTGTGATAAATGATGGTGGTGGTAGTAATGCAACGGAAGGCCACAGAGAAAGCCTGTAAACCCATCATACGCGTTATCAGAGCTGCCTCACACGCCGCTCGGACAGTGGACACTCTGCACAGCACGTCCGCAGTTCGTGACCATTGAGTGATGTATGCTCTCGGGACACTGTATACTGGGTACATGAATGAGTGAGACTCTATACCTACCCCTGAGAAGCTGATATTCGGAGCTCTGGAGGCATCTCATCCTCCATGTGTGCTCGTAGGAAGCCGATAAGTGCACCTTGACAGCCTAGTACTGGCAATATGTGCCTCACAGAGATCGGTTTTGGTGCCATCGAAACGGGAAGAGGCTCCGCGTGCGATTCTAGAATGCTGAGATCTATGTTGTTCGAATGAAAAGAACTTCAGTGAGTGTTTTCAGAAGGCTGAAGCTCACGTCTGCGGCATCATATTCTAGCCGCATCAAAGTATGCTCTTGGTTTGCTGATTCTTGACCTTACGAGAACGTAAACATCTCGACATGTGTGACTACAACGCCGATATTCGCGCTTAAGTCACAACAAGAATCAAGATAAGTGATACTTGAACTGCCTACATTCGCCTGTCCGGACGACCAGAACTGCTTGACTTAAACCTACGTGGGACCCAAATGCGGGTCCAATCTGGCACTATAATGACATTACAGCAATTATAATCCGGCATGGTCGAGGTATGAGGAGACAGTACTCCAGAAGCCATTTTTATCAAGCTGTCCTGGCCTCTGGCACTTGTGAAATGGAAGACATGGCCCTGCGCGTTACAACAGCACCGAAGATGTTTCTCTAGGAACACCACGTCCCCCTACATAGGACCACAAAGTCAGGACTACCAGAAATGAGCTACTGGGCCTTGCTACAAGTCAACATCAATATATGAGGTTGCTAATCAGCAGATGGCAACTTACTGCACAATCGCGGTGACCAACTTGGAATGACCTCACTCACCGTGAAAGGTCGCGGTAGGCCTGCCCAGACTTCCCCGGCCCACTGCTGAGACGCCGGAGTTATGGCCGGCCCGCAGTTGGAGGCAGGTGACCACTGTCTGTTGCTGTTGCTGTTGCTGCAACTGCTGTAGGGGCAGTGGCCGTCTCTCCTTGGAGTATCAACACTCCATCTGAGATGGACTGTATCGATTTGGGTCAGCCATTGATCCAGAACTTGCTATAGCCGCGAGAGAAGGAGAAATATTGGGGCTTTCGACGTACAAACAGTCGGAATGTGGCGAGAGTGAGACCTATTGGATGTCACGTTAGCCTTGTCAGATTACGAGAAAGTCGTGTTGGATGCAATGGCAGTGAACCTTTAAAACGCTGGTGGAGATTAGAGCGACACGGAGTAAAACTATAATGACGCCTTGGAGGCGTGGCGCGTGGTGTTGGGCAGCTGCAGAAAGAGACGTCAGTTGAGCCAGATCTGAGAGAACCCATAACGGACGTCGAACTTGATTTCATAGCTCAATAGGAACCGGCATACCACAATGAAAAATCACTGGAGGTAATATTGGAAGAGCTTGGGTCATTCATACATACTACAGCGTTGGGACCGCTAGCAGTTGATCCGCGTTGACGAAGAGCAAGAAGTGTTGACGAACCTTACGAAGGGAGACATACTTCAAAGGACCGGTGGTACACCGGCACGAGTTGCCAAAAACAAACTCAGTACATCAAAAGGCGCAGTATGAGTCTTTGCGCACACTCAAACCATACACACTGCCTGCGCAGCCGTTTACCAGTTCAAGGGGAACGGCAGTGTTGAAGAAGACACAAACATGCCGTAACAGTTATATTGGTATTGGCCAGAGACGACATCTGCGAAGCTCGATCGTATAACCATTTTGCGTGCACCTAGCCCTATAAAGACCATACCCCAATGATGGGAGCCATGACTGGCTACTCAGGGGCAATATTTACCAGATACAACACCATATAGCATTCGTCAGATTATACAAGCATGGGGATTGGTTAGTGCTTGTGCTATGGTCTATGAGATCATGGAACAAGCTAAGAGAGTGGTTCCCAAGACCTTGGCGGTATATGACAAGTGGAAGCTACGGCGTAGAACGTTGTTTACACAGTCCTGAGCCGACGTACGGCCGGCTACTGTTGTGATAGATGTCTCTTGTCGAGACCACCCTCTACGATCGTAGTAACTAGCTACAAAGCCAAAGCAATATTAACCTTACTACAACGCGTAGCTTTTGAGCGCAAAGCTCAACATCTGAAAACCCTACGTAAGTTAAAGACCCAGTCCCCCTACGGAAAGTACTCAATTGCGCTTTTCCGCCGATTTTGAAGACATTAGATCCTTCCTCTAAACTCATAATCCCACAACTTAGACGGCGTAGCGTACCTCAAATCCAAAACTTTACCTCAACATTACAACATCCTGCCAGCCCTGGATACCTATACCTACGCAGCTATATCCATCGCAGCTATTCACAGGACAACTGACCTTCAAACTCACAGAATCACCACTCCTCCGCTGTCACAATGGCCTCTTTTACCTCCTCTACTATCGCTATGCGCTCACCTGGTCGCCCGTCCCTCTGGTCGCGGACCAAGAACACCGCAAACAGGGTCATGTGGGCCATAAAAAGCCCTTTTCGCCCCACCCTCGTGGAGGTGTGGAAAGGCCGCCGTTGCTAGACTCTAGGTGCTCTAACAACCGCTCTACACGCTCGCCATTTACTGATTCGGAGACTATAATACTTGAGGTACTCCGAGTCCGTAAGGATGTGGAGCATGAGGACGAGCACTGGGAGTGGAGCGGTTAGTGAGCTTCTGAACGCGTTCGAAACGCTGAGGTATGGCGGTCCTGCGCGGGTGGATATGTGAGATATACTAATGTTGTTGCATAAGGACGAAGAGTTTGAGCTGCTGGTGGTGCCCAATGATGCAAAGGGTGTCTCCTCTCGCCGGAGCTGCATTAATCAACTACCGGTGAGTCCTAGTAGCGCTGTAGCCAACAGGGACCGGGTCCTGTTGAAAGGGCAGTCTCTGGAAAGGCAAGTACCGCGGAGGGCCATTTAGGCAGAGAATTTGGGTTGACGTTGAAGAACGAAAGAGAGAGCGAGTTGGTTTGTACACTAACTCCCGGAATGTAATTTGAAGAAAGTCCCAGCTTGGGCAATTCCGCGCTGGATATACTGCCATTGGTGCAATCGATCGACGGTTTCTTGGACGATGGGTCGCCTTGCCCCTAACAACACTTTCACCTACTATGTGTGCTTCGAAGGAAACACTGCGTGGAAGTGATAAGTCTAGACATAGCCAGTAGAGGAAGTAGCGCTTTCGAGGTGGTTCTGTACTCGGCGATTCTATAGCATCATTGTCCCACTACTAATTACCTATGTTAGATCTTCCTACCACGATATGAACTTTGCTGAGGTACACTAAGTCTGATTATAGCTCTTTACAACAGCTGCGTGCGCTCTGAGAACCACTTCTTGATGTTTCCGCGCACGAGATGCATCCAAATTTCACGAAGGAAGCGAGTCAGCAGTAGCAGTATGCACTTCAACGCATGCATTCCAAGGAGAGGAGATTTATCACTTTCGTACATATAGCACGGGGGACTGAATCCAATGCCAGGCATCATAAGATGTAAGTTGGAATTGGATCGTACAAAAACACTATCATAACACAGGTACCGTTGCTAATGTTGACTGCGGTCTACTATGCGTTCGCAACTAGGAGCAAAAGACACCACTCAATGACAGTATTTTGACTGCGCAAGTGTCTCCATGACTATGCAAAAAATCAACCATACGCCGTAAATGCAACTTCTCCTCTCTCTGCTACATTAGATCTGGCAGCATGATCATCGTCTGCTGAACTTGCTTCACCAAATCCAGGAACGCATACTTTTCCACCTCGCTCGAGAACTCAATCCTCGCGCCCGTCACAAATCGCTTGTGCTCACTGCCTCTCCTCCCACCATTCGCTGTCTGATTTGGTTCAGGCAGCGTATCTGATGCCTTTCCTTTTCCTTTAACATCTATGCCGTGCGGTATCCGCAAGCCCTTGACTTTCACCTGACAGCCGCCATCGTCTTTCACACGGATCGAATTCTGTGAACTGTTGAGCCAGAATGCGAAATAACCAGGCCTGAACTGTGCCGAGAAGTGTATCATAGCGAAGATGCCTTTTGTCACTTCGTCTTCCCATACCCGCAGGTTTTCCATGCCGCACATTTGCTCTTGGTAGGTGAGGACGCTGGTGATACCTTCGTGAAGGCGAAGAGTCTTCTCAGTTTTGAATTGCGCAATGAGCGTGCTTGACATGAGCTCGTTTTGGAAGGATGCGGCAGCTGTATGACAGATCAGCTGTCTGTGAGCAGACGAGGAGATGTGGCATATACCTTGTGCGTCTTCAATTACGTAGTTGATCCAATTCGTGCTTGAGACTTGGAGCGGCCGTGAGCCGTAGACGACGTCGTGGAACTTGAGCTCGCTAGGTACCGACAGTGAGATCTTCTCCGAGGAAAAATATGAGGAGTATGGTATGTATTGTGTATGGTCTTGGACTGTACGCAAGGTCAGGTCAATACACAAGTAAGTTTGCTTTCGTGGACTTTACTACTTACGCTTTTGCTGCATCCGCATGGCTCCATCGTCACTGAAAGCCCATATGCTCGTTGCAATATGGGTCTCTCCTTGGGGTAAGACTTCGCGCTTTTTGACAATACACAAGCGGCATGACTCCATGGCCTGTACTAACTCGACTCCGTATGGATTAGATGGATTGTATTCTTCCGGATCGATAGGCACTGAACGAGTCCATTCGACCGCAGTACCTCGTCTGTTACTGTCAGCATCCTCAGTCATGAGCTCGGAGAGTGATTTGCTTACACGTCACAGAGTATTGCAGAGTTTTTGAAGGCATCAGCCTGGAAGTTGTCCATCTGTCTTTCCGTCGCGACAGCATTCGCGAGTCGGATAGATTTGGTAGAAATTCGAGGCTGACTTACGGGGAGTGTATCCATTCTTCTATTCAGAGACGAGTGCGAATCAATCTCCATAACCATTGAAGGAGGCAGAGGTTCTATTGACACTATACTGCTGTGTCGATCGGTTGCCATGAGATGGGGTGGCGTGGGTTCTACAGGACTCATACTACCCATTGCGCAAGGAAAGTCGCCTGATTGATATGACATTTGGCTTCTTATGGACGTTTCCCGACCCATACTGGCACGACTCAGCGACAGAGGACGTGAGTTCATCCCGCTTAGAGCGCTCCATCTCGGATCAAACTTGCCCGAGCTGGAGCCACTCGTGTGACTCGAAGGTCGTGAGGGTGCGCTTAGATCTCCCACTGACGAAGCTTGTAGTTCTGATTGACCCGCTGTCGGGGCGGACAGTCCACGTCTGGAGCTTTTGAGAGGCGGCGGGGGTGGCAAAAGGTCTTCCAGCTCTGCCGGAAAACATGGCGACGCGGAGTCTATCTCTGAGTTGTCCATCGATGTATTCGGAAGACCATTAACTGCTGCATGTATGGAGCGGCTAACCTCATGTATTCTCTCATCGAAATCTGTAGCTGATTCGCGGTGCCTTCGGCGAACCTTCTCAGATATACTACGTACTGCTTCTTCTAGATTCGAGAGAGAATTACTGCCTACGTGAGCCACACAACGATATAATATACGACCAGGGCCACATACCTCTGTACAGCATGTGTGGTCAGCTTGAGAGTGTTCGTATGCATTTGTAGAAGGTCCCTCAACGATTCGAGAGAGCCACCTTCAGATGTCCACATCATATACTTGTAGTTTGCTAGGACCATAGGACTCCATGTTCGCACTACTGTCCAACCCCCCTCAGTACTTTTCTTGACGGTACTTTGATGTTCAAAGATGAGACTGTCGAGATCTTGGAGTGTCTGCTGTATGGATGAGAGAAGCTTCCTAACACCATCCTTAGTGTCCGCCGAGGCGTAGTTGAGTATATTGTTGTCCGGATTGGAAAAGAGAGCCTCAGCAAAGAATTTCAATGATTTTGACAGATGAGAGACCTGTTTTTCAATTTCGATGAATCCTTGCGGTGCTGCCTCGCTTCCAGCCACAAATGCCCTCCCTATACGCCAAGCAAGTTGCGATAACATAAGGATGTCTCCAACACTAGGGAGACTCGACATAATCGATATGTAATGACCGGTCCCTGCACTCGGCGGGGACTATAACTATTTTTAGGGCATAAAGAGAAAACGCAAAGGGTGATCAAGGGTATACAGGAGTACATATGCAATGCGCTTTGAGGAATAGGTACCTGTCCGGCTCCACATGTATGGCGGGGCACATGCGGATAGAGGCACGGAGCGGGAGGGCATGGTGTCCGATCTAGGTACTGAGAGATGGTCTCGAATAGATTTCTCGGCGTTCTCATGCTGCCGGCCCACCACAGTGGATGGTGATGCCGCAGCTGGTGAGATGGTGGTGTTAGTAAGAGGTCCCACGTGGGGGAATCCATTGGTTACGGACCCTGGACAGCTCCCGTTCGCACTTCGGTATGGCACAGCACCCATGGCTTCTTATTCTTTGGCGAAGCCCCACAGCTTGCCTTCTGCTCTTCATTTCGCTCCCAATGTTGAACTCAGGAGCACGTTTTAGGCGTCTCGCTTATGGTTTAGATGCACGAGAGGACTTGGCGAGGCTCTGTGCTTTGAGGCTTGTCGTGCTAAAGCTCTTGCACCAGACAATGTCTGCATCCTGTCTCGCACAATTGCTCATAGGAAGACGTGGTAATTCCAGCGCGATATATCGAAGCATTCTGCTTGAATTCATATCATACTAGGATGACTAAGTTTCATGTCAGGGCAATCAGGCATCAGGTCCAGCAAGTGTTCTGTGGAGAATAATTCCAAGTAGACCCAATGTTGTACAACCATTTCGTTATGCTTTTGAAACCACCAATTCCGTCCTAACAAATACATTGCTTCCAACTCCTTCATCTCGCGCTGATACATTAGGCTCATGGCCTGAGTTGAATATGATACAGATAGAAAGAATTGCTACGAGGGGAGAAAGGTATGCGCATAGTAGTCGTCTAACCCAAGGGGGAGAAGAGCCTGTTTTCAAATGAGTCCATGCTAGCAGTCGTGTTGCGGTTTGGAGCATACCGGAGGAACGATGGCCGGGGTTCGCTGCGAGTATAACCTGATGGGAATTGGATTAGGGTTGGCACAAGACCATGGGTCGTCGAGACATACCAAGGTAGAGAATTAATGGGAGGTAGCCACTGTAAGATGTTAGCTCAATCGTAATACCATAGTGCTGAAGAAGTTTTACTAATGAATTGCGATGCGTGAAACATCGATGACCTTCGCGATGCGCTCCTAGCGGAAGTTAGTTGCATGTCGTCCTTGCGGATAATGGGTGCGAACCTTGGACTCTTCCGATAGTGTAAGTTTCATGATGGCGGTGATACGAGGTTTGGGATGATGCACACAGCGTTCTTTTGGGGTTGTGATTGCAAGTCAGTGCAGACCAGTATTATATCTCTAAGCTAGCATGCCGGCAGAATTTCGGCAACCGAGCCGCAGCATCTGTGACTCTAACCTCTTTTGCTTACTTGCGCTAGCTGTTTTGACATCCTTTCGAAAGCGCATATCCTGGAAACTTGATGCTAAATCTCGTCATAGGCACAGTATAACTATGTTTCTAAGCTACGTCGGGTCGTCGGTCATACTTATAAACACCGTTCTGCACTCGACTCTTCGAACTTAGCACTACTTGCGTGACGCTCCCAACTTAAACCACCCATAATTACCATTCTGCTCACAGCGATCGACCTACTCGGAATCTTCCACCACTTAGATTTTCCCACCTTCTCGGGATTCTCAATCTGCTATCGACCTCGACGACAAGATCAATATTGCAAAGCTATCTCAACTCCAAGCAGTTTTTCTCACGTAGGAATGGCTGCCACTACAAGACACTGGTCTGTGTAGACTAGACTTCGTTAGAGGATGACGTACTGATCAGCTGTAGGGAACAAGATAAAGAGGCGACAGTCTATGTAGGAAACCTCGACGAACGCGTCACCGATCCCCTTGTGTGGGAATTGATGCTTCAGGTCGGCCGCATAGTAAACGTTCACCTGCCTAAGGATCGCGTAACACAGACCCATCAAGGCTACGGCTTTGTAGAATTTATATCGGAAGAGGATGCAGATTACTCCGCAAAGATCATGAACGGAGTTCGTCTGTATGGCAAGCCTATCAGGGTAAACAAGGCTTCTGCTGACAAGCAGAAGACTGTGGAAGTGGGCGCAGAGCTGTTCATCGGAAATCTCGACCCTATGGTAGACGAGAAGACACTATACGATACCTTCAGCCGCTTCGGAAGCCTTATCGCGCCTCCCAAAATAGCTCGGGACGATGCTAATCTCAGCAAAGGATATGGGTTTGTGTCGTTTTCCAACTTCGAGTCCTCAGATGAGGCAATCGCGAACATGAATGGCCAATTTCTTATGAATAAAGAAATCTCTGTTCAATACGCGTACAAGAAAGATGGAAAAGGCGAACGTCATGGTGATGACTCAGAGCGTATGCTTGCTGCACAAGCAAGAAAGCATGGTGTAGAAGTACCACAGACAGCGATGCCTCCGCAGATGTTTGAGACGCCAGCACCCCAGCCGATACCGAATACCCCTACACAACCAATTCCCACTGGATTTGCGCCACCCCCGATGTTACGACCCGGCGCTCCGCAGTCAATACCCGCTGGATTTGCACCACCATCTAACTACCCAAATAGAGATTTCCAGTCGATACCCTCTGGGTTTGCGCCGCCCAATCTATCACAACATGGAGCTCCGTCTCAATTACCACCCCCTCCATCTGGACTGCCCTCCAGACCTCCCCCTTCCAAGGCTGGATATGGTGGACCCCCCGGCTTCATGCCTCCAGGATTCCAGCAGCAAGGACAGCCACCGAGAACCTAGTGCGTTTGAGATGGCTATGAACTTGCCAATGTATCAACAGAGCTTGTAATTATATATTCAATAGTAATCGTAGCCTGATCAGGACAACATAGACCCGTGATTGATATGCTCGATAGTTCCATTCTTCACGAAGCTTCCAATATCTGTCCAGGCACCACATACGTCTAAACACGTCGAGATGAGTACTTGTGAGTACCCTATGGTGGTGAAGAACACAACTACTTCATGATTCCATCTTGGCGTCGCGCTTAATTTATACATACCAGGACTTTAGACTAATCTACATATCACAAAGGCTAGTCTCAGGCAAGTCATCACGCGAATACTTGTCAGAGCTTGTGGCTGGTTCGCAATACTCAAGACTATAGTCCGACCTGATAGAATGAACAGAGACAAAAACGTGCTGCAATGCAGAAGCCAAGACTTGAAAAGGTCAGACCAGTTTAAGTTCGGGTCTTTTCCTGCATATTAAGATCCCCTAACATGCATCGCGTGTTGTTATATGCACACTTCCAGGACGCCGACTCGCTAAAGGTACAGTCAAAAATCGCAACGCATACAAAAGAAACCAGCCAATCGAAAGGCACATCGGCTGGCTAATTTAATGACCGTATCAGGTCTCCATTTCGCAACCAACACTTAAGAAAAACTGACGAATTTGGGATCTCTGGGCCGTCCGTCCGCGCCAATGCCTTCCCTCTTAAACCTTTCCTGCATCCATATCCGCCTTGCTTCGTCAAAACCTACTCTCTTGTTCTTCATTATCCTCTGAACCTCCTTCTTCCCTCGGTCATCAAGTCCTTGGCGTGAATCACCAGCTTCGATGTTAATCGTCAGATCAAAATTAGATGAAGTCAGGCCACTCTCAAGGTCGTCGCTGAAAGTAGATAGGCGGGTGTAGCGGTAGAAAGGATTGTTAGGGAGATTTAAGTCAGGCATATAAGGAAGCCAGAATGCGCGTGTGAAGTAGAGGGCTAAGTTAGAGTCAGCGGGAGGCTTTGCGGAATTGATTACAAAAACCGACCTGTGCCGATAACGACAACAGCGAAGGATAGGGTGTAGAGAAGGTAGCCCATGTTAGCAAGTGTGTTACACAAGTTTGGAGAGGTTCTGTGTGAGGGGATGTGTTCCTAACGGTTGCTGTCGCGGAGGGAAAAGTTAACGATGCCGTGGCCGACCGAATCGGCCGCTTTGTGTGTCCAAGACTTATAGGGTAGGTGGATTGGTACGGGCTTATGAGATTTTGGAGAAAAGAAAAAGGACAAAGAAGATGCACTATCAAACGTCTAGTGGGATGAAGAATAGCACGGGAAGTCAGAACTGAGGTTGGTTCTAACACACTACTCCGTAGCCGCCGCGATTCGTCATCAGGTTTTCCGCTCACACACGGACCACGTCCGCTCGCCAGAGGATGTTCGGCGCGGAAAAACTCTCGGCGTGCACACTTCAATATCGACCAAAATCCACAATCGACAAAGCCGCACAGCAGACAGATCTTGAGCAATAGAATTGCTCGCTCATATCCTCGCAATGGCCTCCAATCTCTCAGAAGATATTCTCTGGTTCATCAGCCGTACGTTTGATTCGCGCGCTCAGTCAAATGCGTATAATGAATTCTCGAGAAAGAGTCGTTTGCTAATCCCTCGGTGTGTGTATAGGTGGTAACCATGCTACCCTCGTAAAGCGCAAAACTGCTGGTGGCATCCAGTTTTCACGCGACCCCCTGAATCTGACCAACCTGCATGCAAAGAAGGTATACATACACTTCTGAGTTTCGTCCCAAATGAAACCAAGCATAATATACTCATACATAACACAGTACGAAGGCTACGCCAATGACCGCGCCATCGGCATCCAGCCCAACCCGGATGGTGGCCTGACACTTCTTACCAAGAAGCCCAACAAGGCTAACAAGCCCGGTCTCGAGATTAACGCCGCCTCGTATGGGGCTGGCAAGTCCTCGCGCCGTACCTACAAGTCCATCGTTAACAGCACTGCCAAGAAGGGGTACCGCGCCGATTTGAGGACAGAGGCCGTTGCTCGCGCCAGTGCCATTCGCCAGCTGCAGAGGAAGAAGAAGGATGCTAAGCCCGCGAAGCTGCGGGGTGGGAAGGCGGCAAAGGCGGCGGCCTAGACGGTTGATTGTGAAGTTGAAGGATTGAAGGGAAACGGCATATACGGCGTTCTGTGATGCCAGTAGCTCATTACATGTATATTTGCGTCATGAGAGATTTCATGATGGCAGCATATTGAATGCAAAACATGAAAGAGGCCGACATAGCGCGTGCTACTCATTCTGGTATCATACTTGCTCAAACTGTCTACGGAATACATAGGGGCAGAGACTACTTCATTCCAAACCTTGAACTGATCGTAGCAAATTTCTCACTTGCCGTCGCTCTGGACGGACTCTGCGCCACACTTTGTCCCTGCATGACCTTTTCGATCAGGATCGCACCATTTTCCCTATCCACTCGGCCATACTTCTTATTTCGCTGCGCTACGTCGAAAAAGTCGTCGCTGTTATCTGTCATCATTAATGCGACGGTTTGTAGCAGTTCGTCTAAGTTCTCTTTCAATATTGGATTTCCAAGCCCATCCACAAACTCTGACAGAAATTGCACATCGAGCGACAGCGAGTGAACAGATGCCGGTGTGATACGCTTAACGGTAGGATCGAGTGGAAGGGACAGTATCATGGTCGCAGCGTGAGATAACGCATCGAAGTAGATGAGTTCTTTGATCTCGGTTGGCAGACCGAGGAGCACGGAATTCATAATATTGGAGAGGTAGCGAGTGAGTTCTTGCATATAGTTGCTTGGCTCGCGTTCGGGGCGCATCGCCATCCTGTGGTATGTCAGTCACATGGTTAAGTTTCTATACGGAGATATATGGGAGTGTACCAGTCGTATTCTGCTGTGTCAACCAGGTCGTCAATCTTAGAATTGACGAGCTCGAAGATGCGCTTTTCGGCTGTCTTCTTGCCAACGCTGAACTCCTCCGTGGCTCGTAGCTTAATAGGACCACTGGCTGCATTCGAAGAGCGAGCTTCGAATAAGAGTGTTTGTAGTTCCTTGCATGCTGTCTCAAAATGCTCGAGGTTTGTCAAGATTTGCACGATCTGTCCAGGGTATTGCGAACTTAGCTGGTCCATCAGGAGCTGACAGACCTTCTCGCAAAGCAGCTCGTCGAGAGAGTTCTGAAGGGTTTCATCAATGACGCTGGATCGCTGGAAGTGATCATCGGAGAAGAGGTAGATTTGGTTTAGGAAGTTGCGGATGTCGATGCAGCAGAGAGGATACATCTGCGAAAATGGAAGAACACACGGAAATGTGAGCTGTTCGCGAGTCTTGTCTGGGGTGTACCAGCTAACGTTGACGACTTTGTCGTACTCTTCCATGGAATTGATCGGCATTGGCATATAGTCGTCGCTAGAGACGATCTCCTGGAAGTCTTCGCTGAACCGGACTCTGAGAAGCTCAGAATACTTCTCGAAGAGAACTAGGATCAGACTGTTAAGTGTTGTTACAGAGTATCCCCAGCTCTCCATAGTCTGCATGAACAGTACGACGCGACCCTTGATCTTCAGAAGCAAATCGTCACTGTCGACGACTGGAAGAGCGTTGGTGATGAGAGTGATGGCGCTTTGACACATCGAATCCCATAACTCCTCAACATCAATGATAGCACGGAAATTAGTAGTCTTCTTCATGGTGGCTTTCTCCACAATGGCGAATCCGGCAATACTTTCGAGCAAACTGCTCAGATCAGCTTGGTCATCGTCAACTAGAGTAAGCGACCCAGGTATCAGGAGCTCTTTCTGCCGCCGCCGAGTTGCTGCATATTCACCCTTGAAATACTCTATGCGGCCAAGAGTGTCGTGGATATGCATACACTCGAACAATGGCTGGAAGTGAAATTGTGTGTCTGCTTCTTCGTTGTTCAAGACGTCGAATTCATCCGACTCATCTGCGATGAGCTCGACTGCCGAATTGAGTTTGAATTTCGTGAACGTTACATCCTTAGTCAGTCTCTCTTCATGTCGCTTGCGGCGCATATCTGTATGGTAAAAGGCGACCTCGCCCAGATACTGCGATGCATCCCGGATATAGTAGAGCCATGTATTCAAGTCTGTCATGACAGCGTCGGCAATCATCCGCTGTGTTGCTGGTACAGACTTCTCAATCATGTCTGCGATTTTGTATCTTCTGATCTCCCGGAGATGCACATTCCTAAGTTCGTCCAGGGCACGAAGAGCAGTATAGTGACTCTTCTTTTCTTTGAGATCGTGGACTTGGTTAGCCAGGCGTAGGACTTCTAGACATGCCTTGAGTGCCTCCGTGGCTTCGTCTATGTTCTGTCGAACGCTTCTTGAATCGACTAAGGCCTTTTTTTGAGCAGCAAGCTTCTCAGTACTGGCTTGAATCGATTGATTCAGTTGCAGAATCTCTGATGTCAAGCTGACTGTCCCTTCCCGTACTTCCAAGAGCTGGTTGACTGAGTTGACGAATTCCTGATGATTGGTGTTGCACATCCGTTCAATTTCGGCTTCTCGCTCGTTGGAACTTTGGTTCAACCCTTGAATTAGATGACCGGCCCGATCAGAATGATGGACATCTCGAAGCACCGGTATCAGTTGGTCGATGTAATCCGAGTCCGACGACGACAGAGTTATCTATATGATTACTCAGTTGGAAATATAGCCCCAGCAGTTGTATAGCTTAGACAACTCACCTGATGAACAGCTGCGGCGACCTCGTCGCCGTGGTCTATCATGCCTGGCATTTTGGGCCACGTTCGACAGACACGTACAGGACAGCTGTCACATTCGTCTCCACTCAACCATACTTCGGTTCAGCTCGCACGTTTATTTTGAGGATTGAGAAATTGCTAATGCGACTGCAGCTATTCGACCCGGCATGCTTTGCGGCTGCACTTGGAACGTGACCACGCATCGATGCAAACGTCTCCGTCTGCCCCCTGTTTAGAGCTTCTCCAGATGTGGCTAGATCCCGGCGCAGACTTTTACCGACGTAGGGCCGTTCCCGATGACGGAGGCGGGACCACGAAAATACGAAATCTTTGTTGATCCTCTTGTGTCTGTCAATTGACTCATTGCCATAATTGCGGAGCAGAGGTAGAGTTCAAATCATACCTCTACTGCATAGCTGATCGTTTAATCACAGACGGTCGCAATGTCCTCAAAGTAAGTGTTCAAACATCGTCCATCACGGTGTCATTGGGCGCAAGTGCATTGTTTGCATCTCAATATGTCAATGACTGACCTGATGTTAGCAATGTTCTCCTTCTCGGTGCCGGCTTTGTACGTGATCTCGATCTAACAAACATTTTACATTTCACACTGATGCACTCCGGCTCCATGACTTCATGTGTTAACCTTTGTGGTACAGGTCTGCCGGCCCACCGCCGAAATTCTCGCAAACTCTGGTGTTACTGTCACTGTCGCTTGCAGGACTTTGGAGCGATCCAAGAAACTTGCCGAAGGCCTAAAAAACACCCAGTGCGTCTCATTAGACCTCAACGATGAGAAGGCACTGGACGCTGAAGTAGCCAAGAACGACCTTGTCGTTTCTCTTGTCCCATACACATTTCACGCGGTATGTATTGCTGGACTCAATGCATAACCTGAGACTCATAGTGGTTAGCTTGTGATCAAGTCTGCTATCAAGAGCAAGAAGCATGTCGTCACCACGTCATACGTCTCGCCAGCGATGTTGGAGCTCGATGCCCAAGCTAAGGAGGCTGGTATCACTGTCATGAATGAAATTGGTCTAGACCCGTAAGCTCACTAAGCACTCTTCGCAGAGCCAAACCTAAAATGTTGCAGTGGTATTGATCATCTATGGGCCATTAAGACCATCTCCGAAGTCCACAAGGCGGGTGGAAAGATCACTAGTTTCCTCAGTTATTGTGGTGGTCTGCCAGCTCCAGAGTGTTCCGACAACCCTCTCGGCTATAAGTTCAGCTGGAGCTCGCGTGGCGTGCTTCTCGCTCTCCGCAACGCTGCTCGCTACTATGAAAATGGCCAGATCAAAGACGTCTCCGGTCCCGAGCTTATGGCCACAGCCAAGCCGTACTTCACCGGCTATAATGGTTATGCATTCGTCGCCTATCCCAACCGTGACTCCACCCCGTACAAGGAGCGTTACGACATTCCTGAAGCTGAGGAGATTGTTCGAGGTACTCTCCGATTCCAAGGCTTCCCTGAGTTCATCAAGGTCCTCGTAGACACTGGGTTCCTCAGCGACGAGCCAAGGGACTTCCTCAACGAAGCCATCCCATGGAAGGAGGCAACAGCTAAGGTCTTGGGATCTAGCTCGAGTTCAGAAGAAGATCTTCTGTGGGCAGTCAGCTCAAAGACGAAGTTTCCCAACACTGAAGAAAAGTACCGCATCATCTCCGGTATGCGCTGGGTCGGCATGTTCAGCGATACGCCAATTGAGCCCCGCGGCAACCCGCTCGATACGCTTTGCGCGCAGCTCGAGAAGAAGATGCAATACGAAGAAGGAGAGCGTGATCTTGTGTTCTTGCAGCACAAGTTCGGAATCGAGCACAAGGATGGCCGCAAAGAAACGCGCTTTTCCACGCTCATCGAGTATGGTGACCCCAAGGGCTACTCAGCGATGGCCAAGCTCGTCGGCGTCCCTTGTGCGGTCGCCATTCAGCAGGTTCTTAATGGCACCATCAGCCAGCGCGGTGTCCTGGCGCCAATGAGCGAAGACCTGGATGCCCCGTTGAGGAAGGAACTGCAGGAGAAGTATGGCATCTTCATGACAGAGAAGACCATAGAGTAAACCATGGGAAAAGAGGCAATGATGACACGGCAGCAAAATGCCAGTATTGGTTGCCACATAGGTTCTAATACATCTCGCATGCAATGAAGTGACTCCAAACCCTTTCTTGAACTTCACTGCTGGGCATGGCCTCTTGAGTGACCTCTTCCCTGGATCTTGCCAGCTGACTAGTGTGCAGAGGCGTCCTTGCCACGACGACAGAGTGAAGCGTTATTCACTTATGTGAAGGCAGTGGGATCAAACGAGTTCGGGCAAACCGCTCATGTCATCAGAAGGATGATCGCTACAGCGACGTTGCAAGTGTTGTTCTGAACCGTACATATCCGTACTCATCTACTACTATTCAACGTCTATTCCATCAAGTCACGCTGAATAAGCCTAACCACATCCTCACCATGGCACCCCAAGGAACTCCACCGACCGACCCACCAAAGGACGCATTTTGTTTCAATGCACGGGCAAGACCTTTCGTGCCGACTTCTGCTCGTCATTGCGTAGATTCGGAACATGGTATCATCCGGTCCAACCCTCCTAGCCAATACTCAATACGGTCGGCTTTAGCGCCTTCCGGTGCCTATGTACCTGCACTGCATCAACAGCAACAGGTGCAACCTCACATCAATACTACCAGGATCATAGAACCTCCAATAGGCGCGCCACGGGGTCCTCGATCTATGACTGTAGTGGCTCCGTCCAATTGACTTATTTCACCAATGAAACCTTTCAGGGGCACGTACTCGCCACCGAGACTGGAATTCATCTACCCCAAGTAGACAAATTTTTGACGAAAGCTGTCTGATCGAGCAGGAGCGCAAAGCAGAGGTCACTAAGGCTTGCTTGAATGAGCTCCGAATTGAGAATAATGTATCGCATCCAGGTGGTGGGGTCTCAGACGCACATTCAGAACCAAGAGAACCATGGAATCTCTATCTTAAAGCAAGAACTGGCCGAAGAAGGGATCTGCGAACTTGTGTAGTGTTGACGAGCTGTGGGTATAATAACTACTAGTTTGCTGCATGGATCGGATCTTAACCGCTGGTGATGAATGGGTCGATCGAGTCAATTAACTGACGACCACCTAGGGATAGATAGTATCAAGTGATGCTATTGTGCTGTTCAAGAGCTATTTAATGTGCGATCTTCTGATATCAATGATTGGACGCATATTACGATTGCCTTTGCACTGACTAACAGCACCCAATCAAATACCAAGTCTACAAGTAATCTCAAACCTCAACGCGATGTCATCGAATGGAGTACTAAAGAGATCAATACTGAGCGACACGCAGGCTAGCTCTGCCGAAGTCTCGCAACCATCAGGTGCGGAGCCTTCATCAGGAATGCGACGGATAAAGTAAAACTTATGATCAAGTAGAGTCCACAGGTGGAGCCGGGGCAAAAGATATCGACACAATATACTACCGTCCAATTTGCAGAATCTGATGTGAGATGTGCTAGTGCACTAGTAAATGGCTGCACAGTACCTATATCAGACCCGTAGGCTCAAGCCGGTAGCTACCTGCTACTGCTTAGTTTGCATAGTCTAGTCGGGAAAAAACTACCTAGGCATAGGGGCAAAGCAACGATCTATGTCGTTATGCAACTCTGCGGGAATAGGGACTGCAGGGTATGGAGAGGGCCGAGCACTGACTGGAGAAGACGAAACATGACATGTGCGATATTCGTCCGTATGGAGTTTAATCTAAGGTATACATGACCATTGATAGGACTTCTTAATCATGGAATGTGAGAGACATGAGATCCGGCATATAAACGGCCACGCAGTGCTTAGTTCGTTTCGAACATTCACTCATAGTCCTCCTTCGTGGAAATGCTTTGGCACCGTCACAGTAGTCTCAGTGAATCTACCTCCAGGTTGGTTCTAACATATAAGCGCACCACCATCACTACGCAAATGAAGACTGAATTTGCTGTCTATGAATGAAGTATCGGATTCGTTTGCTGCTGGAACAGTTATATATGAGTCCAGGCTGCCTCATATTCCATATGCAATAACCCACAGCACGCCAAACCACGACTTGCCATTCAATATGTCCTCCCAATCGTCACGAAGCGACTCTGGCACAGACGAGTCAGTGTCAAAACCCTTTATACCTTATCAACCACACCTCGCCGCTATAGCAAAAGTCCACCCATCCCCTGACCAACAAGCTTCTTCTCAGCACTTTCTCCGATCCACAGCTCCAAGCCCCCAATCCCCTGCAGAAAATTCGCCAAACATATCTCTCTCGGAGACCATGCACGAGTTCCGATTCAATCCGAGCGATACAAACACATGGTTCAAGTACCCACGAACACCGCCCCCTGTCCCACTCTCCCGTCCAGAGAACGTAATCCCATCGCACATCTTCGTAGACGGATACCTAATCCCCAATCCACTAGCCTCGCCAGAGATGTTCGTTAGTAGCTACCGGGAGAAAGTTCTACCGATGTCTGAAGCGCGTGGATCGCTACTAGAAAGACGAAAGCGGACATGTCGGAAGCGGCGATTGGAGAGGGACGAAATGATACAGGTGAGGGATAGGGAGGCCGTTGATGGGGTTTGTGGTATGGTTGCTGCAGGCCAGGAGATTCAATGGGAACCGGGCTTTGGAAATGGGAGTGGGCCATGCAGAGGATGAGAGGTCTGAAAGATATGCCAACTGAAGCTTTTCACGAAAGTAATCACGAGATCAATCACGTCGTGGGCCATCATTACCTACGTGGGTATTCTGACCTGTGACAGAACTCAGGTTGAATATAAATCAACCATTAGCCTCATGTGATACGTATCACTACTCACCACTACTTACCCTCCCTCTCTCCCCATATTCATATCCTCATTCCACGATTCGTTTCCCTTACAACCATTATACTGAAAGTGCAATACCGAATCACAACCGTGATCCCGAGCAATGCCTATCACTGCACCACACTTATCCTTCCCCACCTCCTCTCCATCCTTCCTCCGCAAGAAATGGGCCTCTCTCGCCTCCTCACGCCATGAGCAACCTGCTGAAAAAACACCCCCTCGCACCCGCTCTATTAGCAGCATGCAACGTGTCTTTGACTCGGGCATTCCAGTGCGTGAAAAGCCACCGCAATCACGGTTCTCTCCTACACAGCGTGCTGGAACAAAGACTACAGCGTCGATGGAGATGGAGAGCCAAAGTACGAATGCTACTCCTAGTGAAAGTCCAAGCATAAGTCCAAGCACAAGCACTCTACGCAACCAACAACAACACGCCACTCTCACACCGTCAGACACGTACGCCGACAGGCAACCAGACACAGACTGCCACCCAGACACAGACAGACCACCCTTTAGCAACGCTATATACAACCCCTCTCCTCTAATCTACCAAGCCCACCACCCCTCAAAAGAGTGCAGAGCATCCCTACCCTCTCCACCCTCTTCACCCTTCCCCAAACACGCCACCCCGACATCGAAAGGCCCTAGTGAGATCCGCGCAACGACAGTGGCGGATGGCATCTTGACGCGACCGTTTGGTCGTGCCTGGGGCCTTGTGCAGGGAAGGAGCGAACAGGGTACGGTGAGGCGGAAAGCAGTCGGTACAGCGCCGGCGAGATTATTTGCGACGAGGCGCAAGTCTGTTGTGAGGCGGTCGGTGGGTGTCGGTGTTGAGGTTGGACCGCACCATGTCGATGCTGGAGCCGCCGCCGACGACGACGACGACGACGGATATATAGTCGACAAGCGTGACGACGAGCCTGAGCGAGACCACAGCGGGAGAGAAGCCAGTCATACTGCCAAGCTCGACATGGACGAGCAGTCCTCCCTCGCGCATCTGCTCGCATGGCTTGACTTTCCACCGTCCACGCTCTCGTCCACTTCCCTGCTCCCCAAACCTCCTTCCTTTGCGACAGCCCTGTCATACTTCCCTTTCACTACTACAGCTACCACTGCCTCCTGCTTAACATCTCTCGACCAGAGATACCGCCTCGAGCGCTACACATATCTGCACATGCGGAAGAGTGAGCTGGAGGAGCTGATTGATAGGGCGCTTTCCGCACCAACTGGTGCAAACGATGATGTGGTGTTGGGCACGGAGAGGGAGCTAGAAGAGAGTGAGGAGCGGCGCTTAGAGGCGGAGAAAGGATGGGTCATGGTGATGCGAGAGATGCAGCGGATTGAAGCGATTGGTATTGTCTGATAAATCATAGGCTGGCTGGTGGAGTCCCTGTGGACGAGTGAGTGTATACTGCGGGGGACAGCTGTGGGTGAATGGAATTGGCATGCACAAAGTGATATCGAGGGTCGTCTACTAGCGATTGTTATGTTATGGTGTGCTCCAATAGGTTGTATTGTGCTGTGTTACGTTATGCTGTGCTAGATGTATGTGAAAAGTCCAACGAGACGTGAAGAAGTAAGTTACGCTAAAATCATCCTTACACTGGTAAGTGGATTTACTAGACCAAGGTTCTTAGCATAACGTTCAGTAGCTTAAAAGCCCGTAACTAGTCATCTACTGCTACTTGTATGCACTATTAGTTGCCCGAAGGAAAAGCTCGCTACGCATGTGTGATCTCTGCACGTACGAACTAGTTAAATCGGAGTATATCTTTCTAAACTGTGTCGGTGGGAAATGGAACAGGTTGATAGGTGTGAGCAGGTTAATGATGAAACAGTCAGGCAGGCAGGCAGGCAGGTAGATAGTCAACTGCTCAATCACAATATTGGAGCGTGGTGATTAGTATGCACATCTAAACCAACGTTGATGGGGTTAAACTGGATGTGTATATCAGTGCAATAATGTATACGCGTGTGCATGCGTATGTGTATGTGTATTTACTCGTGTGAAGTCACGAGCGAGCGCTTAAGCGCAGGGTATTCCTTTCCCTAAATGCTATGATGAGGTATGCTACAAAGTTTTATGCAAAGAAGACCAAGTCAGCATGCGTAAGTCGTCTCAAATTACAACTCAATCGCGTCATCCCAAGAACCACCCGCTGCGCTGTTGGCCAACTTTGGCGGTCCTGGTGGTGGTAGAGGTGGCGCCGTCATGTTCTTGCGGGTCGCCTTCCTCTTCTTGTTCTCCTCCTGCTTTGTCTTCTCGTCATGCTTCCTCTTCCCCTTTTGTGTGTGATTCTGCAGCTTGTCCTCTTCCATACTGCGCACCTCCTTCTGTGCCGCCTCAAGCTGCGGCTTCAGCGCATTCGTAAGACTGAACTTCGGTCTGTCCACATCCAGCACTGCCTTTCCATAGTCCTCGCGCTTCACGAATCGCGAAATACGATACCAATAAGCGGGCTTGTCGCGTGGCTCCTCCTTATGGAATCCCTCGACACGGCCGGGAAGGGTCCTTTGTAATGGCTTGAGGTCTGCTAGAGCCGGGCTCGAAGACACAGACGGCGATGTACCCATGAGCGAAGCGCGTGCGCGAGCAACACGGGCAAGAAGGGCTGCATCACGGGGATCGACGGCAGCGACATCAGGTGCTGGAGTGGATGCGTGCGACGTATGAGACGAAGATGGGCGTAGGTGTGCGTTCAGACCGGCGATTGGGCCGAAGGAGCGGCGTAAGTCCATACCACCGGAAAGCGAATTCATGCGTTTGCGGCTCTTCGACCAGTATGATGTGCTGGTGATGCCTGGCAGAGAGTTTCTATCAGGCGAAAGATCGTCGTCGGAGCCGTCATCTTGTACGTGGCGTGTACGCTTACGATTGAAGCTAGATCTGGCGGTGGAGTCGACATCGCTGCTAGCGATGGAATTGAAGTAGGCTGAATGTGTTTGGTTAAGGCGTTCATGGGATACAGGGCGAACAGACTGGGTATCCAGGGTATGCCGGCTGATGCTGTTGCGAGGTGTGACACCGAAAAGCTCTGCAGCATTAAAGGGGCGTGGAGAATGCCTTACAGGAGTATGTGTGACAGGGCTCTCGACAGGGCTTTTCACCGGCTGTTTAACAGCAAAGTCTTCTTGAGGCGTGTCTGGTTGCTCTACGGTACGAGAGACAGTTGGTGCGACTCCATTGCTTCGCAATTTTTCCTTGCCATTCCGTGACCGTGCCTGCAGAAGTGCTTCTGCCGAATTCTTGGGTATTTCGTTCTCTTTCGCCTTCATCAGCTCCAACTGTTGCCGGGCTCGTTCTTTCCTATCGTGTCGACGCTGCCGACTTTTCTTCCGCTTCACATTGCGATACCAAATGATACAGTATTTGATAGCCAACTTATTCTGTCGAAATGCATCTGCTTCCTTACGCAGCTTCTCTTCTTCGAACTCACCCAATGATTCGCGCACAGTCTGGAAAATGACGAAGTCCATCAATTGTTTCATGAATCCACGCTCAGGCTCTTCGATGAGCTGAACAGCAAGCGACTCGAATATTTCAGACCGCTTTTGGGTGCGGTTCTGTTGATCAGAGATAGTAGACTCTGGAAATTGTGATGACACAGTAGACTTCGAGAATGAAGACGAGATCTGCTGTTCCCCTGTAATGCTCGGATCGCCATCGTTCTGCGTCTGCGTAGGCTTTGCCAGTGGTGATGAGTTTAACGTCGATGCTGCTGGGCCTGTCACTTTGGTCACTGAAGATGGCGTGAAAGCAGTAGAAGCTGGTGCAGAGGTCGGTGCAAACGCAGACAATGTTGCGGTCGATGTTGAGCTTGAGGAGCTGACCTGCGGAGGTAAGGGTTGAGCTTGCGTGTTTTTGGTGAAGGATTGAAGGCTCGACGACGCTTGCGCGGGTATTTGTGAAGGTCGTGTAGTCGTGAATGAGGGAAATGTACCACCAAAACCGAAAGGGTTGGTTGCTGGAGCAGTAGCTGTAGATGAGGTGGAGGATTTGGCTGCAAGGTCATTACTGCGGCCTTCGCTCGCAGATGCTAGATTGTATGCTGATTCCGGATGGGTGACAGATTTCGCAGAAGTTGATAGTGGAGATGTCGTACCGCTAGGTGATGGATTCGGAGGTGCGAAAGGTGAAGCCACAGAGGACGGTTTCGAGTCATGTGACGAGGGAGGCTGCGAGAATGCCGACTGTGTTAGCAGACTTTGAGCAGCCAAAGTAGAGCTAGCCCCGTCTTCAGGTGTTGAAGTGGTAGCGGACAAAGATGTAGGTTTCTGTACCGCAATGGGCGGCTGGAAAGAGGGTTTGCCAAAGGTCGAGCTTGATGAGGGATTCGAGGCTGATGCGAAAGCAGAAAATGGGCTAGAAGTGGCGGTCTTAGCCGGGGGTTGTGTATACGAAACCGAAGGCTGTCCGAAAGTCCCACCGAAGGCTTTCGTGGTCGTACCGAGACTGTTTCGAGGTTGAAATGCGCTTGCGAAAGGGTTGAGCTTGGGTGAAGGATTGTCCTCAGGGCGACGGCCAGGATGAGCGACAGCAGCGGTGGCAGTAGCGACATCTTGGTTCCCTTCGTGCTCTTCCTCCTCTTCGTCCTTATCCCCATCCTCATCCTCATCCTCATATTCACTTTCATCTTCGTTCTCTTGGTCCCCGTCGTCGTCCTCGTCGTCCTCAGCCTCTTCATCTCCTTCCGCATCGACTTCACTGTTTTCGGGGCTCTCTGGGTTCTCTGGTACGAAGAGTGAAGACTCGTTACGAAACTTCTTCGACACCTTCATTGGAACGTCTTCAACGTGAACATTCTCTTCGATCTGTTCAACGAGCATGCCATGCTTCTCAGCTTCTTCAACAGACCAGCCGTTTATGATGGCTGCAAGATTGCGGCGCTTTCGCTTTGGCTCAATCCACTTTGCCATGTACTGAGGTTTGAGTCCATCCTTCGGCTTGCGTAGAGGATCTCTGGTGGTGCGCACCTCGCCAAGATCTAGGCACAAACGTCCCATAGCATCCACATATGCTGTGAAGCCGAAATACTCACAGTAAGTGAGCGTCTCTTCGGGAGTATCAAAAGCTAAAATGTCCTTCAGATCTTTTATTTCAAAGTCCGTTGGCTTTCCCTTTCCCCGGTTGTACCCATTCCAGATCGCGTTGAGAGCATTGTGTCTAACGATGTCGAAGACAGCCTCAGCAGCGCAAGCCATAAGGTACGACACCTGACTTGATCTCACAGTATTCCAGAAATGTTGCCAATTGGCCTGAACTACGGGAAATGTGGTTTCCGGCCTCAGCGGGCCATGGGTTTTCTTTATGTCGCCGGCAGCAGCGTATATTTTGAGAGCCACGTCAATAGCTGGATTTGTGATGAACTCCGGAGGCCACTTAGTTTCTATGTCGTGCTCTAAACTCTGCGTCGCTTTTCGTACAGCAAGGATGATCTGGTATGACTTCATTTCAACCTCATTTGGAGAGCGATAGTGATCTCTATGATCATCGTACATGTGGGTAAGCGTGGAGAAGGTGCTTTCGAGTTGCTCCAGGTCCTGTTGCCAACTGTAGTCTGGCTTTGTCTCCCGCGCGGTATCACCGTTGTGGTGCATCGATAGGATATGGTAACGGATGCACCGTTCGTATGTCTCCATAGCGATCCTGACATCCGCCATATTCGAGTAGTCCTTCTTGACTTCCGCGACTCTTTGGATGGTAAAGTCAGTCCGGATCATACGCGTCCGATCCCAAACAAATTTGGCCACGTCGCCAAGCCATTCTGCATTCGCAATCACATCGTTGACGAGGAAGTCCATTGTTTTCTGGAGCATTTCCGGAGGCCTGAGGTCTGAAGGGAGAGCTTCACCCTGCCCTGCTGCTGCTCGTCGAAACTTCTTGACCATTCTTGTTTCGTCTGGTTTGTTTTGGGCGTCTCGTTCTTGAGCCCAAACATCGTTGTTCGAAATTCTCTCGGCTCTTTCGTATTCCGGACACATGCTCGGACAAGTTCCTCTGGGAGCTCGGGCGTCGCCGAGACGCATACCCTTCTTGCTCTGATCCCATATCAGACCCTTGTCGATTGCATTCTTGGTTTCAATCTGTCTCCTCTGCTGAAGCAGCTTCCAACGGTCATGTGCAGCATCACCAGTTGGTTTGTATGTGACCGAAGTCTGGGATTCGCCTTCTTGTGAAATATGTGAGTCTTGTGACTTTCGCCGCTGCGATGGATATCCGCTAGGTTGCGCTCTGCCACCTCTTCCTCTTCCTCTTGTGGATGCCGTGCTGCGCGCGTTTCCGCGCGCACCGCCGCGAGAGACATTGTTCATCCCATGTCGACTCTTTAAGCGGGCCGTATCGTCTGTAGCTCCCTGAAATTTCGTATGTGGACCTTTGAGGAGCCCCGGACCGCCTTTTGTGATCGTCGATCCTCGGCCCGAGCGGCCTTCAAACATCGTGAAGATGTTGAAGATCCGACCACGACTTCATGAGATTTGTGAAGAGTGTTGTGTTGGCAGACAATGTATGAGCAGCGTTGTAGGATCAACTCGTGCAGCCTCGGAGCCGTGCAGGTATGCGGGAATGTGCGGTGGGATATTGGGACTTTATGTTGCTTTTGCGCAGATGATCAATGTTAGGCGGAGTAGATGTTTTGAGGTGCTGTGTTCAGTCAAATTGGCGATGGGTGTTGGTATGAAATAAAAGGTTAAACAACAAGGTTGGAAGGTTTAGCGTATAGAGAATAAGCAATTCCGGTTGCGTCAGGATGGGGAATCGTGAGCGCGGATTCAGTCGCGAGAGCTTGTTTGGCGCGCGCAGCGAGATGTAGAGCGTGAATGATCCGTGCGCATACTGCAACGTACCGTTCACTATCGGTAAAACTGCGGTATAGATCATGCATCTCAGCGTGGCGTGCCGGGAACTACAAGGCGCTCACTTGTAGCGCAGCGAACTTCCACGACCGACTCTATTTGAAATTACCATTTCTGTTAGCGGCTTGGACGTCCTATCCTGGCTATTGGACAGCAAGGTAATCAGCTTACTTCTACAGAGTGGGTCTTACTGCAAGAAACCATGTCATCAAAGCATTTCACTCCAATTGCTTTCGCTATTGTACTATGAAACCTGGGTGCCATTGACGCCACCTTTAGAGTAATATCAGACGGACTAGGTACTTTAACAGTCCCGCCCCACGCTCATCAACTCCAACGCCAAAGCCAATCACTTTCATCTCGATTCCATCAGTACACCGATACCACATCAAACTATACCAAAAACCACAAAGGCGACGCAAGAAATCATGAGATCTGAGACACAGGGAAGAAGAAACAGCAATTTTGATACGTGCGAAACTCAGTGGCGCTAATCCTCGATGTATGAACACGTAATCGAGGTCGCATCAAGCGCAACGGGGTATGAACAGCGATGAGTCGTGACAATGAATGACATATTGCGCCAGACTTCCGGAGATATGATGCCAGATGACAATACGTAATTGGAAACCATGGTGCGGAGACAGTATAGGGGAAAAGTCATGAAACTCATTGATAGTGATCATAGTTGACGTTAATATTGGCCGTGCCGGGGAAAGCATTGGTCGGATCGTCCTGCTTGACGTCGTGTCGAGATGGCACGGGTGCACACAGCATTGGATCGAGGTGGTCGTACTGATAGTTGTTGTAGTTCGTATGTTGAGTTCGATCATATGCCATGCTGTTGGGTACATACGACCCTGACATTTGCTCCATCTGTGTATGGAATTGCACGGTGGAGTTGGCGTCTGTGGAAGGTGAACTCGTAAAAGAGCTGAAGTCGGTTTGCGACATTGGTGACAGAGTCATTGGTGAAGCCCCATAGTGAGTTTGATAAGACACGCTGGCATTTGATGAAGGTCCTGAAGTCCGGCCATTTTGGTTTGGTGAAACCGGAGTCGCCCATGTCTGGTGCTGGTGCTGAGAAGTCGGAATCGATATTTGGTACGCATGCACTTCACCCGGACTTATTACGTCCTGGTATTGCATGCTTGAATCTCGTATCGAAGATTCAGGATCAAGCGTGAACTCTCGAGGGTGGCTCGTGGCGACACCGGCATTACTGATGATCTGCCGAGGCGCCACAACAGAAGAGTGATAAATTCCACCAGTTGCGCTGTTGGTACTGGACTGTCTTGAAAGAGCATATGTTGGTCGACTGTTCATCATGTCCCGCGTCGTCGCAGCGGGCCGGATGGCACGTTGCTGGACAGGTCGTCGTGAAGAATTCTCGATGGATGAGAATTGTGCAGTCGATGTAAGGGAGTTTGAGGTTGATGCAGTGCAGGCGTTGGTCGACCAGTCCACCACCATATCAGAGGCATCGTCGATCTTCATTGGGGTGGCACCCACTGGTCCACCAGCTGGCTGGACACTGGAGCGAATACCCTCGAATTTAATCCTCTTACTGCGAGGTTCGCGACCCTTTTTGCTAGGTGTCGGATCGGTATACGTCTTCGTAAAGTCTTCGTCTGCGAAGAGTTAGCAAGTGTTTGCGAACATCCTCTAGCGTCTAGCGACTGCGAGGTTACGTAGGATCATGGAACTGCTAAACTTAATCAGGTAATGCAGATCGACCCAAACCCGACCGTCAAGAAATAGTGAGTGGCTAGGACCGGGCCGCTATATGGCGGAGCCACGACTTTTTGGCGTAGTGTACATCGATGCACATTGCCACAGAGTGATGCAGTGTACGCGAAAAGCAATAGAAGCCTACCTCTTTCTTCATAATGGATCTCTTCCATAACAAACGCAGCGTCGTAAATGTCGCGCAAGATCTCTTTCCTGCGGGTTTTCCTTTCTTGAGATTCCCTCTCAGAATCGAATACCAAAGGCAAGTCTCTTGTGGAGTTTCTGAGCATGTCGACCCATCCGCTCCGGGCTGTGCCTCTTCTGGCATGCTCTTGGGCTGACCTGTCCAAATCTTCGACTAATCGGTCATTTTCATAGATGCCAAGAATGACAAGTGACAGTTCAACGCGGTCTCAAGAGGTGTTAGTACAGGTGTTGGATAGTGGAGACGGGCGTAAATACCATGGAGATGGAGATGGTCTGGCTCCTTGAATCTTATGTTGCTAGGCCACCACGGAGGGTACTTCCCAGCAACATAGGGATACTTGGACTGCTTTCTCGGTTCAACAGATTTGATCCATTGTTTCAGAACGGCCTTCAGGGCCAGTTGTTGGAGGTCATGAATTCTCTTGCGGAGAAATTTGTTGACAGCATCTCGGTCGGCAAAGGAGATGGATGAGATGGGTACGAGAGGGTCGGGGAGATTGTTGAGACAAGATGGCGGAGAAGAAGTGCTATCCTCGTCATCATCATTATCGGAGGCATCTTCGTCGACTTTGATGTATCCATCGTCTGTGTCGTCAACTATCCTTGCACGCTTTCGACTGGGCTGCACTATCACTACGTTTGCATCATCAAATTTAGGGGAGTCTGATTGGGCTGGTGAATTACGGCGGGGCAGAAGACCGCCTTCATGAACTAGAGTCTGGTCAGTCACAGCGCAGCAAAAAGATGGAGTGGCGAAGGCTGGTCTTGACCTACGATGCATTTCAAGAGCTGTGGAATGATTGAGAGCCCTGTCGAACTGGGCACTATGTGGCGGTGCAAGGCCGTTGGACATGAACCGTCGCCACTGCCCATTTTTCTGATAGATTGACAAAACATAGCCCGAATCCTGATCAGATCTGAAAGAGTAGGCGGCCGACTCTAATGAGAGACGGTCGGGGTCATGCTGTGAAGCGATGGGTTAGCAGTAGATTGGAGGGGTGCTCGCGAGCCAGTAGCGCAGCAGTTGACGATATGGTTGCATGGAGAGCTGGGATCCGGAATGGCGGGGCAGGCGGGGAACCCGACGTTGGAATGTCGTGAAGCTCGACAGCGATGGTTGAAAGTGGGTTCCTCGACTGCTCATGGAATAGGTAAAGGGAAAGGATTGGATCTCATACCTCGACTTTGACGGGTTTGTTGGACGCTTCACCATTGGTGCTAGCCTCTGCCAGTGGATTTTGAACCATGCTGGACACGTATGCGGAGAAATTACTGCGGTGGTGGTCTTGTATCCCACAAGCTCTTAACGTAATGGCAGTATCCTGAATTCATGTCAGCGAGGTTGATCTTCTCGAAGCCAAAATTCAATCAGCGCGGACAGAAGATAGACATATGTTCAAGGCTGATTGAGCGCGCGGTTTGGAGACATGAATATCAAGGGATATGCGACAGTAGACAGCCAAGATGGAAAGTGCATAGGGAGGATCGCAATAAGTGAGATGCTAAATATCAGACATGACAGCAGAGCGAGAAGAGGAGATGGGAGAAATAAAAGCAAACCCCACCTTTGCCAGTGTCGCACGGAAACAGAAACACAAGCAGTGGATTTGCCGAGAGCGAAGAGGGAGAGAGAGAGAGAGAGGGAGAAAGCGAGAGATGGCTGGCAGTGAGTCGTGAGAGGCAAGGTGAAGACGAGGCCTGTCAGCAGCCAACAGCGGTGGGATTATTCGTGAAGTCGTGGCCTGTGGCGCTGGAGCACGACAGTAGCTGACGACAGAGCTGCAGGAAGTAGGTAGGGTGAGGTTCCGGGATGCAGCCTTGTACGATCCAGGAACTAACAGTGCACTCTTCTAGTTGGTGTAGAGATGGAGAGCAGAGAGACAAGAAGGTTGGAGACGGTGTGAGTGTAGTAGGTAGGTGAGAGATGCAGATGGAGCGTCAGGAGTTTTATGAAGGGCGAATAGTCGAATATGCAAGGACGAAACCGGACGAGGGTGGTAGAAGGATCGGCGTACAGATGTATAGAACCCAGGACAGTAGAAGTGGATGGAAAGACGAACGATAGATCTAAGTGGAGGGTGAGGTATGGTCGTTGGGGTTGATCCAAGCGACGGTCACGGCAGAGGCGTTTGATATTTAACACCAGACGACGGGCTATCAGGATTCATCAGACAGGCGGACGGGTGAGAGAGATGGTGGAGCAGCAGGGCAGCAGAGCTAGCGGCAAAGACAGAGAGCGGGGATGGTAGATCAAGGAACAAGGCACAAGGATAAAGGGAAATGGGTGATGGATGGGAAACTGGGACAACGGATAGGATCGAGACGGGCAGCTTTAGAAGTAGAGTTGACAGGGGGGGAGAGGAGAACAGTTGGTAGCAGTAATTAGTAGTAGCTGGGACCTTGAGTAGAATAGCACCTAGCAGCATTAGCATTATTACATTTGATTAGCAGCAGCAGCAGCAGTTAGCAGTCAAGGTAGTGGCAGCAACAGGAATAGTAACGAGGGCCTAGAAGGATAACCTATGCAGCGAGGGGGTTTAAGGTTGAGGGAACAAACAAAAGCACCACCACCACCACCACCACCACCACCATAAACCCCCCCATGGCAAACGAGGATGGGAATGGGAGATGGAAGGATGCTGGGTTTGTGGGGAGAGACAGGGACGGGTTTAACGGGAAGGGCAAAGGCTCAGAACGCGAAACAGCGTGCACAGACGCTGGCTGCATGACTGGGACTGGGTCACTGGACAGGCATCAAAGGTTATAAAAACAATAGATAGGTTATAGAGAACAATGGGAATTTCGGACGAGAAAGAGGCCGACATAATTAGCAGGCATGGATGGATGGCCGTGCCGAGTTAGGTTGGAGGTTCAAGGTTGAATGATTGATGAAAGTTGAAAGTTGAAAGTTGATTGATGATGGTACAGCATGGATGGCGATGGTGATGATGGCCTTGTTGATGGTATTCCAGTGGCTTGTGGCGGGGCGAAGTTGTTGTTGCCCACTATCACCACCACTATTCAATCCTCAGTGGACCACCATCACCAGCAGGGCTATCCCACCAAGAGCACCACCATCCATACCTCTCAGCCCTAGAGGAGACTCGGCAAAGATGCGGTAGTGTGTTGCTTGCAGTTGACGGGCTGACAGCAAGGAATGCCATGGCTGCTACCACTAGCATTACTCCAGGATCGAGTGAGGTTGGACGATAGAAGGTCTTGATACCTCTTAGGTGACTGCAGGTTACTAGCCAAAAGAAGTAGAAGTACCTATCTCCTGTGTTACAAGATCGATGCCTCCCTTGAGGGTTATCTGACAAACATGGAAATGGTCGCTGTCAGGATGTCTTGGACCTACATTAGTTCTGGTCTAAGATATTATGGAGCTGTCAAGATCTGCTCCAACGGGATGTTTGGTTCTACTTTCCGGACATTTAGCTTCGTGTTTGACTTCCGTAGCCACCTACCTAGTAGCTGCTAATTACTGCCATGTACCGCTATTTGTTTGTAGACAGGGTTCCCGACAGCCCTACAATTGCCGGCATCCCTACGGTATACTTAGTCACGTACGGCGCAGTTTCAGTCACGAACTCACCAGAACCCATCCGTCGTTCATCGTTCATCGTTCATCGTTCCCGTCCCGTCTCGTCTGTATACTGTAGCTTCAAACGTCTGTACGAAATCCTCTAATACATTCTAGGACACTGCCGTTGGATACGAATAATGCATCTATCACTCCACCAGCATTTCGGTAGTAGTCAAGCTACGTCTGCGTCTGCAAACACATCCGCGCGTCTCCCACGTTGGCACTGGCTTAGCACTAGATTAATTTAACCATTATTCTAGTCAGATCGCATTGGTGAAGTTCAGCTGCGCCTTTCGGTCAGTCAGTCCATCCATCGTATCGTCGTTCAGATGGAAAACGAATGCTTGCTTAGGTAGAGGCATCTCAGTCGCTCGCACCCATCTTTTCGAGCAGCCCAATTTTCGCGCCAGTAAGATCATTTAATAAAATAACAGAAGCACGGCCAAAGTAACATTTTTGCGGCAGTCGAATTCCGTGCCGCCTCCAAGAGTCAAGAGTGCTGGCCTGGGGGGTCATCATTGTCGGAGTGAGTGTCTGAGATGCAGTGGTGTCTAGCAACATTGGGCTGTCCTAGACGGGTTAGTCTGTACACTAGCAAAGTGCCCGGGCGTGCCTACCTCGCTAGCTAAGCTATGATGCTATTATGATCTCAGCCCTGTTCAACTTGTCACGGGTAATTAATTACCTCTCATCAATTGAAGTTTACCTTTGTTGATTATGTAAGGCTACAACTGCGACTCCCTAGGTAAGTATAGTCTCCACGAAATGCGGGATCGCTCTAATCATCGCGCGTATACAGCATACTCAGCTGCGTATCTGTTAGTACCTCTACCTCCTTCAACTAATTGATAGTACGGCAGCTTGCCGCCCGGGACTAATCACGTAGCTCCGTGCTTATACTAACTCGGCATGCTTAACATCGCTTAATTATTTCTCTCGCTTCTGTGTCTTCTACTCACATCATCCCAATTTGATACTCCACCTTCTCCACCACCTCCACCACCTCCGCCACCTCCGCTCCTTTACCTCCTCCCCCACGTCAATACGATGATACTTCTAGAACAAAAAATCACCGAGATGCAATATCAGCCACTGCGCACTGAGCTTGCTTCCTGTGCTCTCTCTGTGCGCCTTGAAGCCTCGCCCAGCCGGCAGTCGATCATGGTCTACGGCACCGTAAAAGTCTACATCTCTGACATGAACGCTATGGTTTATTCCGGCCACTAAACTTTAGTGTGCCGCAGATCCAAATCTGGACGCCAGTATCCTTTCCAAATACTTGGCTCGTGGCTGTGTGTGCTGCTTCAGGCTTAGGGAGAGCTGACGAGAGAATGGGAGAGAGAAAGAAAGAACAGGGGGAGGGGGGGTCGCACACATGTGGAGATGCGACTGTTGAGGCACAGCAAGCAAGAAAGATCACCGCATGCCTCTTCCACCCTGATCCTGAACCTGATCTCCATTCTGATCCTGACCTGAACATGGACCGCTGCCTGATCGCCAGGCCGCTATCAACCTCTGGCGTGTCCACCGTCCACTATCCACTCGGGACATTCCCGTTGTCACTTCCTTGTCCATGCCCTTCACCTTCCCTCACTACCAAGAATGCTATGTTTCGTCTCCCTCGGCTCGCTTCTTATTCTACTGTACACCTGTGACACCGACGATACTGCGAACATAGCCTCCACCTGTCTCTTTGCCGTGGGAAGTGGGACCCCGATACAAGCCCCCTAGTATCGATCGCATTGCATCTACAACACATTAAACCACTACCCAGCGCTCAGATCAGGACTCTTAGGCGACGCCACACAGGCAATTATCGCCGCGCGGACAGAATTCCCCTGCCTCTGCGTCTCGGCTCATCATCTGTGCGGACCATATAACTCTGACTTTTCCGCGAGTCACTCTTCCAGGTATGTTTACCTCTATGTGTCCTGCGCGCCTTATTGGTCGCTTGCTCGAGCATGAGCTGCAGATATGCCGAAGCTCATTGGAGCATCAGGTGGAGGGGCAGCTGTTTATCCCATTTTGGGATCTGAACTACTCCAATACCTATCGAATCGACTGGTTTACTGTACATAAAAACCTCGTGTCAACGACACCTTAATCCAAAGTTTTGGGCACGGCACGACTGAATGTGTATGGAATATTATTCTCTTTCCGCTCTGTAAGTTCTGTTTCTGTATGTCCCGCTCTCTTGGAGAATGTCAATGCAGTCCACCGAATCGTGTCTAAAATTGTATTCGCTTCCATTTCTTGCAAGCCTCCTGGACTGGCGTTACTCGCCATCTCTATCTCCTGGCCTTTATCGACCTCCTCATAGGCCCTTGTTCCGCCTGGGATTGACATCCTTGCGAACGAATCCAAATACAAGAGTCATGACGCCACGTCCCCCATCCAGTGAAACTTGAGCCCAATGCTTAAAATCTGTGGCCCTGATTCATCCGCTGCCGTATACCAATAGCACGATGGCCTGTACCTCGCTGATCACAACGCATGACACGGCATACTCTCTAGACGCTTGTTGTCCACCTATCCTCCAGTTTTCTCTCCCACATGATCCTTCACTGACATATCGCTATAGTCTGGTACACGCCTACGAGAAGTCACTTTGCGCCGTTTTGTATCTGCTATGCTATCCCATTCCACCTTCCAGTCGACTTCACGGCCACTGTCTTGTGCATCTCACGAGCGTTCACCGTCTGTAGCATCCGCGTACCCACACATACCTGGTGTGGGGATTTTGTTCAGTACCCATTTTTACGACATCGCTGCCAGGCTTTCACTGCAAGCAGTGTTTCTGAACGTCCTGTGCCTCATTGACAGACGCATCTAGAGCGTATGAGACCCTTGAATGACCTCTGCGTCTGAACGCAATACGAATCGCGACACCCCGGGCACATCGCATGATCTGAAACGAAAACCCGGCGGCTGCTTGACATCCCGATCGTTCTATCTTGGTCTCTCCAGGGCAGCCTTGGAATACGCTGTGCCATACTTCTATGGCTCTACGTTTGCTTCGACCATGCATGATCGCTGTTGTATCCGACTTGGCATCGGTAGTTTTCAGGCTGCCATGCTGGTAGTTCGATAGGGCTGAGACCTCAAACCCGATCACGCCGCACGCTGAACCATTCTTACGTTGATCTGGCTCTGCAGTCCGACGGCGGCTAACGGCTTCGTCCCTGCTTAGATACAGACAAGAACTCGTCCCCGCTGGTCCATCCCACACCGCAGCATAGGTTGTTGTGGTCCAACTACTCGGCTATGTATACAGCGTGACTGCCCATACACTCAGCCGCCTTATTTGGCCTAAGGCTTACATCTTGCGGCTGCATATACTCTACAGCCATTGAGTCATACCCGTGTCTGTCTGGTCACCACTGTCGTACGTGGCTCGTGCGAATTGATAAAAGAAGCTCCCATGTAATGTACACCGGATCTAAAATATACCTCACGACGATCCAGTGGTGCATACAAGACTCGTAAAGCCTGTCGTGACAATTTAGTCTGTGTTGGACGTTGTCTCTGCCGCGAACCTCATGACTTGTGTATCATTAGCGGCGAAACTATGACCACCAGAAACTGAATCCTAATTGTCATTGATGATTCCCAGCAATGCTCCGTGCACGGTTGACTCAACCTCCCTTGCCCACGGCCGCTCGTTTACGCTGCATTCATGTGGCGAGCAACGCAATGGCAACTGACAGCTGGCAACTGGCAACTGGCAACTGACGACTGGCAACTGGCAACTGCCACGGCTCTAAATCACCACTTACACCGGACAGTAAAGTGCGTCCTGAAACCACCATGATCACGCTTTGAACACCACTCCCCAGGATCATCATTCTAGTGCCGCATCGCAGAGGCTGTGTGTGGTTGCCCCTGGCTGACGTCAAGTCGAGCGGGTGGTGGGCGAGCATTATCCCGAACGAAGTTCTCTCCTGAATCGCACAACAAAGAGTCGTTGCCCGTGTGACTGATGTACTAGTCGTAATTGCTTGCGCTGGTATGCGCAAATTGAGGATCGCGCGCCGTGGGACTTGTCGACCCAAAGTTAGTATAGCTTGCGGTCGTGCTATGATAGAAACGGCGATGCTCTGTGCTGCCTTCCGTCTACAGCACAACTGACCTGGTATATGTGTTCTGGTCTAAGGTCTACGTGCTCGTTGTCTGCCTGTCTCGATATATGTCCCTATATGAACAAGGATTTCAGCGGCAATGTAAAGCATCTCCATATCCCCACTGTAGCAGCATAGTACTGTTCTTTCTCATGCTAGTATCTATCTATCTATCATCACAGTCTAACATCATGTATGAGACAGTTCATTCTAGCTTGCTCTGTACATACACATGCTGGTGTATATATGTCTAAATACCGTACACACACATTGAACTTACATATGCATGATGTTTCTCGCAATGTAAACTCGTGATGTTGCGACACCATGGTAATCCTGGCCTTTTGCGTGCGTACACACTCGGATCTATCTGTTCCCGGAAGACTGTTCTGTATCACTGGAAATGCGTTTAAGATGCACATGATTTGTACACGAACTATGGTCAAGAGTACATCAAGAGTATGTCAAGAGTATGTCAAGAGTATGTCAAGAGTATGTCAAGAGTACGTCAAGAGTACGTCAAGAGTACGTCAAGCGCACATTAAGAGCATATACACATTCGTATAATCAAAGGCATGTCACTAGAGCTAACGAACTTGTACTACATCCATCCTCATCAGTCACCGTACTCATGACACGAGAGAGGTTGTTGTTTATACACTAGATAGACTAAAGTATGTATATATCCACTTTCTGGCATCTATAATACTAGAGACTACTGGGTGGGAGATATCAATCGATCTATATGTATGTATATCATCGCGACTTGGAACTCATAATTCATGACTAGTACCACTATATGGTTGGTAATCACTGGTACCTCGATTGCGTAGCTATACTACTGGTTATGCCTTGTTCTCATGGTCAAACCTTTTTGGGTGATGGGACTCTAGAATGGTGATAAGACTAATACTACTACTATTATTTATTATAATCAATTTGGTAACATGATGATGCACTTTGCATCTCAGATCTCATGAGAAGTGGTACCCGGGACATTATCTACGTCTGGTCTATCCCATCCCATTATGATGATCTGAAAATTCCTTGCCACATACTTAAACACTCCTTCGAGGTCAGGTTAGATACCATGTTGTTAGGTACACGTCAAACCACGGGCTTCCGCCTCTTGAACTTTTAGGCCTCATTCTGCTGTATACCGTTATGTATGTTGGCTTGTATCTCTCACCTCTTGGCTTTTCCATCCTTCCGAGTATCAACACTCACGTTGCGAGAATGATTGCGACTACTCTGCCCACTCACATTACCACTCACATTACCACTCACATTCCCATCAACCATACTTCCCAGTAAGCCTGCCTCTTTGACAAGCTCGTAGAACAAGCCACGTTGACGGACGAGCTCCTTTGGTGTATCGAATTCCTTGACCTCGCCGTTGCCGAGTACAATGATGCGGTCAGAGTCGAGAATGGTGTTGATGCGGTGCGCGATGGTGATAATGGTGCGGTTGGAGAAAATCGGGGAGCGCAGTGTTTGTTGCAGTAGGGCGTCAGTCTCGACGTCGACGGCGGCCTGTGTGGAGGTTAGTAGTGAGTCCGAAGATACGAACTCATTATACATGGAGGCAAGTAGTCACGAAGCTTGCACCGTAAGCAGGACGAACAGGGTGAAGAGAGAACCCTAGACAGCGCAGACTGAGAGCGCCGTGGCGACAGGTTCTTGGAAATTACGCAATAGATGTCCCAAACTATGCAAGTCTCATTCAGCGGGAATGGGAGGCCGAAGTGACTGGTTGCGCAGCGGATGTAACAGTGTAAAGGCAGGGTACAATGAAGTGGGGTCAAACTAGAAGTGAGAGAATCGACGTACAGTGGCCTCGTCTAGGACAAGAATATTGCTCGGGGCTAGGAGGGCACGGGCAAGCGATACGAGTTGGCGTTGTCCGGAACTTAGATTGGATCCTAGTACGGCTCAGTCAGCTTCGTGCTACATAGTGGCGTGTATAAGTCTCTAAAAAGATGGACCAACGTTCCCGTGGAAGGGCACACTGCATGCAATGAAAAGAGGGCCTTGCTAGCTGAACATGGGCCTTTCGCTACACGGATTACGAAGTAAGTGAACTTGGTACTTACCTGCCTCGTGGATGGGCGCCTCAAGCTTTCCAGGCATGTTAGACACATGCTCTTTCAGGCGAGCGTGGTCTATCTGAGTTAGCTATGGTATCCAATGATATTGACCTATGTGCTAGCGGTAAATGATGGATGTACTTACCAAGAACGCTCCAAAGTTCTGTGTCGTCGTGGACATGGCCGGGATCCAAATTGTCTCGCACGGTGCCCTCAAATAAAGCGGCATCCTGTGGGATAATAGCAAGACGTCTTCGCAAGTCAAGTAGACCTATTGTACTACTGTTCAGGTCGTCTATGGCGACATGTCCTTCTGCAGGCTCGATGATACGGAAGAGGGCCAGGGTAAGACTGCTCTTGCCCGCACCAGTCCGACCAACGACTCCAATCTTTTCATGCGGCTTAATCTTGAGGTTGATGTTCTTCAAGACCAAGTCGAGACCAGGTCGATAGCGAGTGCTGTAGTTATTGAACGCCACCTCTCCCTTGCTTGGCCAGCTGATAGGTGGTCTGTTCTTTGAGATGATTTCGGGTGCCTCTGGGGGGAGGCGTGCATATTCTAAAACACGCTCCACCGATACAATGTTAGTCTCAACCTCGACAGTCTGTCTTACGATCCAGTTCAGAGACTGAGTAATTTGCAGAGCATACGACATGGCCAGACCCACGAGTCCAGCCGACAAGCCGCTGTTCTTGGCTACCGAAATGATGGAAAAACCTGCCGCGGCAAGGATGATGATGGAACCTATAAATTCAAGTCGCACAGCCAACCATCGGTTGGCACTAATCGACGGGAAGTATGCACGTAAGTTCGCGTCCATCCTCCATTCGTTCTCCAGTGAAAAACGTTTCTGCTGCCGGTACGCGCGAATTGTACTGATGCCACTGAGAGACTCTTGAAAGTGAGCGTAGACAGGACTTTTGCTGACACTATCAAGTCGCTTCAGTTCGCGGGACGTGCGTAGATAGTATCGCTGAATGTAGAGATAGAGAGCTGCAAGAGGAAGAATCATTGCAGTGAAGGCTGGGGTTGACACGGAAATGACGACGAGTGTGAAGCCGGCTGCAAGATATGTCAGCCTAGTCTCCTAAGGAGCAATAAGGGATGAGGATGTACCTCTAGCCGTATTGACGAAGAGCATGTTGAAAGTGCGACTGCGACGCTGAGTTAGCGTACGTCTCCCGCATGGTGCCAGGGTGGCCGGAGGAGCTTCCTCTGGCTTTACGGAAGAGGACCAACCTGAGAACCTCGTCGACGCGGTAGATGTCACTATTCAGAAGTGTATACGTTAGTAAATGGTAACAGTCGAATGGACGCAACATCGCCAGTGGAGCGAGCCGACGGAAACACTTGCGCGCTTTAGTCCTAGGATCATGCTGGTTTGAACGCAAGAAGAGCAAGCAAGGGCGAGCCGGGCAAGTCAATGCTCTGCTGAGCCCCGTCACCCACGGAAAATCCTTGAGGACGTGCATACCGTCGAGAAGAGGGAAGGGATGATGATGATGATGATGATAATGATGATGATAGACAACAAGGGTCAACATTACCTGGAAAAGCGGTTGAGAATGCGACCAGCAGGGGTCGTCTCGAAGAAACTCATAGGCGAGCGGAAGATTGCAAACGCCATCCGCTCATGCAGCTTACGCGATGCCTGTAAATGTTAGCAAATGCGTACTAAGCTGTGAAGACCCTCCTTGACCATGGTGCGGACATGGCACCGAGACTCACCTCGATTGAACAGAAGATCCACAAGATCAAGGTTTGGACAACGACCAGGGCCGCCGAACCTACTCCAAATGCAAAATAGATACCAATATATTTGCCTACCTCCGGGTTCCGACCGCTGCCACTGTTAACTTCAGCCCAATGCTTCAGCCAAACACTGCCACCTAAGATATCATGTCAGTATATTGTCACAGCCCATTCTAGTACATTGTATAGAGGTTGCATACCGACGGATGCAGTCTGAGCTCCCGCCAAAGTGAGTAAATATATCGCAACAGCCACGATGTTACTCTCTTTTGCGTATTCGGCGTATACAGACCATCGGACCTTGCCCTGCTCGGAGAATTCCTTGCTCTGTCTCGTCTTTACACCTGCACCAGCCTCTTCGTCCAAAGCTTTGCCACGGGGGCCTTTGAAACTGGCTGAGCTGGCTCGTCGAAGGGTTACGGCGCTAGATTTACGGCGAGTAGCCCCATTTGCAGGCCGCAGAGGCTCGAGGGCAGCAAGTGTATCTCTTGACCCATCAATGTCTTCAGCGCGTCCCTCCTCGTCATCTGGAGGCGGACTCTCCCCTCCGTAGACTGTTTCATCACTGCTGGTTTCAGACACTTTGCTGTCTGATTCACTCTGGTCTTCGCTCTGGGCTGACTTGATGAGGTTTGCAATTTCGCCTTTCATTGCCATGAGCTGGTCATAGGTCCCTTTTTCAAAAATTCGTCCTTTTCGGAGTAGCACAATGAAATCAGCCTCCAATAAAACAGGAATTGAGTTGGTGGCGAGAACTCTGGTCTTCGTCGCGAGTAAGCCTTTTGGTCCGAGAACGTTGTCAATAACGTGGCGGCCGACATGCTGATCCACAGCGGACAGAACGTCATCAAGGAGATATATGTCAGCCCGGGCGTATACAGCTCGTGCGAGAGTCAGACGGGCTTTTTGACCACCCGAAAGAGAGATACCTCTTTCCCCTACCTCTGTCTGATCACCATCGGGCAAAGAAGCAAAATCGTCGACAAGAGCGCAGGCCTTCACAGTTTTGTCGTAAAATGCAGGATCCCATCGATATCCGAAAACTATATTCTCTTTCACCGTGGCATTCATGACCCAAGCCGATTGAGCGACGTATGCAGTAGTACCGCGAATAGTGACGGCTCCCTTCATCTTCCAGAGATCCCCAAGCATTGCTTGGAGTAGAGATGACTTTCCGGCACCGACGCGGCCGACGATACAAGAAAGCTCTCCTTTGTGGACCTTCATGTTGATGTCCTCTAGGGCTTGAATTGATTCTTCTTTGTTCCAAGTAAAGCTTGCATCAACAATGCTGAGAGTTTCCTCTCCTATCTCTTCAACCGAAGGCTCTCTCTGGACTGCATCAACCTGGAGCTCCTCGGCCTGAAAGAAACTGGTCAGACGTCCGACCGCAACACTAGCTTCAATGATTGAGGTGATAACCATAGGAAGAATGGACAGCGGGAAAGTCAGCAGATTGAACAATGTCAACGCCGGGAACACAATATCGGTTGTGAGTGGTCTGTTTTGCGTGAGCACAAATAGAGCAAATGTGGAACAGGAGACCAGGAAAGGTGTCGTGGACCAAGTAAAGTTAGCACCGGCTTGAGTGGCACCAATCTTCCTCAAGGTCATCAACTCTTGGTCATATCGAATGTAGTTGAGACGAGTCATGAATGCCTGACCCCAAGCATACAGCTTGATGGACTTCATGTTGTTAAGTATCTAGAAGCGGTCAGCAACGCTTGATCACATGCTGTGTGTAATATGCCCTGCAGATAATACCTCAGTCATAAGCCGTGTCCTGGCATCCTTATTCTTCATCTGCGTCTTCTGCAGGTTCTTCATCACTCTTGCAATCAGTCCATTGATAGGAATCATAAGAATCATGGCTGCGACCCCTGCAAACATGCTCCATCCAAGTAGTTGGTACAAGCTGACCATGCACAAAACAATCTGGAATGGCGCTGACCAGAGCTGTTGACCCCATTGAGCAAGGTCTGATAGTCTTTGGGTATCCACTGCCATGTAATTGACAATGTCTCCAGTACTCTTAGCTGCGCGTCCTTCATTAGAAAGCCTCATCGATTTTGAGTATATTGCAGCTGTAAGTGATGACTTTACCCGCATCCCAGTCTCGAACGCACGCTGGAAGTACTGGTGTAGCAGCGCGGTCTGTGTAACAGATACAGCAAACATACCTAGAGCAATCGCTACACCCCTGATTATGGGCTGGCGATTCTCCTCATTTCCAGCTTTGTAGGAGTCAACGAAGCTGATTAGCAAGCGCAGAAGTTGTGGTTGGATAAAAGCCAGAATGTCACTACCACTTTTGATTATTGCCCCACGTATGTACGGGCCACCAAAGCTCCTGAATAGTGCGATCCATAGCGAAGGGTACTTCTTTTCCATCTGTATATTCCAAGCCTGGTCAAAGGTCTCCACAGTCGCCCGGGTCGAGTCCTTTCGACGTAAATTCCAGAGATCGTCTTGGACGAGGAACTGTTTGTATCCATACTTCATCATTGGTGTCATCCACGAGAAAGTAAGGACCGAGAAAATGTCGGCATATTCATATGGGCACTCGTCTTCGTCCCCTAGTGCATCATAGTCGCTGACTCTTTTTGGGACAAGCCATTCCAGAACGAACTCCAGTACAGCAAGACCCAAGCTCACGCAGAATACGGCAAAGTATGCCGCATGGTCTTTGTGCAGCTCTTGTGAAATCAAAGATCGTAGCTTGACGGCATACGCAATCAGGAAGAACAGCCAATAGAAGAGTACAAGCCCGTTCGGATAGCGTGCACGCCAATGTTCAGCATATTGTATCCAGGAGATTATGCCCACAGAGAGTATCGTGGTTATTGTGCTCCAGAATCTAAAGTCACCAAACCATATTCCACGGTAATACTCGATCTGAAGGGCAGCTTGAAGGGCGAGGGTAATAGTCAGGCAGCCGATGACGCTCTGTAAGGTAAGGTCAGCAGGGTGCTCCTATTTCTGTGTATATATCCTACGACTTACAAGCTTGGCGTAGAAATGCCAATTCTTTTTGACTGGCTCCACTGTGCAACGTTTATACAGATACCACAAAGCTCCAGCTCCGCCTAGAATGCCGCCAACAGCGACGCCTGTAATCCATACATCGAGGAAACAGGGTGTAAAGTCATATCGGATTGTACTCAGAGGACCCCAACCTTCACTATTGCCACATAATGGCTGCCGCTGCGATGCACTTGCCGCGAGATATCCGTAAATTGTCTCCAGCTGGGGTACGAAAGGCCGCTGCAAGTGTGTAGATCGTTGCATATCCCAGGGTATAGACGACACTTTTGTCGGAAGCGCTGGAGATGTTATGCGATCTACGATTTGAGGGGGGCGAGAGCGCCTTCAAGTTGGTGGTCAAGGGCGTGGAACGTTGAAGATGAGATATCTGCAGCGAACGGCCCTAGAAGGAATCGTCTCATGTAGCTAATTACAGCTTACAGAGCATCATCAATGCAGACGGGAGAAACGCGCGGGCGTTGTTCGGATCTACCACTGCTCGCACCAATAAGTCGCCGATGACGCCGACGCGACAAATGACGCTAGACTAATTCTACGGCGTTAGCACCAAGCGAACCACTAATTACCGAGCATTTGAATACTGAGAGTATGTTTGGTCGTGCATAACACAAGTGTCGTGAAAAATTGTATCTCTATTGCATACCATGGTACGCTTTGTCTGCGTATCATGGATAGCGATCTATGGACCCAGGCCTACATCAGTGCAGCATCATGATTGGAATTTCACGGCCTACAGTCAATCACCAACATGTAGGATGATCGCAATGTCCATGGATGCTGCCATCTGGCTTTTTGGTCGATACAGCGAGGTACGGGACAGGGACAAACTCTACAGTTTGACCAAATCGGAGATGTGAGAGGCTCTGCCGCCATTTCTTCATGATCAAGAACGCCGTCCGGTACCATCATTGGCGCGTTGTAACTCATCCTTGAGCCATTAGGGCTCTGCATTTACTCCTATCAATAGGATGTTTAAGTTCGGGGTGCAGATCTCAACCACTTCGATTGCGTTGTAATATCTTTACTTGTGTCGTAGTATCTCAGGTCGAGTCGACAGACATGCGCTGCCGTTTGACGTCCGATCCGTCCTCCTCGATGTATTGCGTACGAAATGCCTCCAGCTTGTCTCCAGGCTCACCCATCTTTTGTTTGAGTAATTTGTCCATGTACTCACTTGACCTACTCTTGGCGGCCATGTCTTCAGTCATTTCCGTATCGCTTGAACTAACTCTGTCTGCAGTGATCGAGCTCGGATTAACGCTGCTAATGTTGTAGGTCGCACCCCAGTTGCGATCTGTGTTGTAGTCCCAGTCAACATCAGTCTGCAAACCCCGAGCCGAGTCATCCCAATCTGCTGAAGGAGTGACCATTGTAGCGCGCTCGTCTTCGAACAAGGTATTATCGTGTGTCACAAATTCCTGTAATGCCGTTGGTAGAGGTAGGAGGTCAGCCTCTGTAGCGTTCTTGGACGCGTAAACCAGGAGCGCAGTGCGACACTCCTCCTGAATAGCAGCTTGCACCTGTCCGAAATTGACTTTCCTTTTCTTTATTGAAGAGGTAGGGCTGTTGACATGCGAGAATTCCAAGCGCCACCATTGGCCCGCGTGGTTGACATCCATAGTATCACAAAGCACGTAAACGATAGTTGGCTGTGTGGCTACACCTCGAAGGTGATAAAGGGCGCTCGGTGACCTTTTGGGATCTTCACAGAGATCTTTCAATAAATCGGACATGTCGTTGAAGGCCTCAACCATTTCGGATCTACGTGCTTTCAAATCTGTAGCTTATTTAGCACCTGTGATATAGCACCAAAAACCCTAAAGAACTTGCATTCTATTCGGTGCTCGATCCGCCTGTGACGTTCCTGCAACTGATTGGTGATTGATAGATGTTCTGTCTCTGAAATCGGGAGATGCTCCAACTGTCCTGATGACTTATTCTCCTCTACATATACTTCCTTTTCTAGGTCGGTTGGTCTTCGAAACGCCTGCATGGCTGCGGTCAACAGATCAAGTGGCCTATGCGTTTTCCCAGACTTAGAGCTGTGGTAGCTGTGAAGGCTCTCCACATGTTGATCTAGCTTCCTGAATTGATCCTTGTGCGACATCATCTCGCGTCGCATGTGCGCGGTAGCATCCAAGTTACTTTCTAGATACCTGTCCATATATATGTGTTCAGGGATGTCCATGCTTAACCCTTTTGTGCTTGATATTGATTCCTCAATTTTGAACACAAGAGTTTCGGCCGCTGTACTTATGGACGCAAAGGCTTCTTCTCCTGGTTGGTCACCTGGTTCATCCGCTCCAAACACAATTTCGTCTAATATATCGTATAGAGTCTGCACACCACTCCTTGGGAACTCATCTGACGTCTGAAGGTTCATGCACCATACGTTCTGGTCAATATCCGGGGCAACTACCCTGGAATACAACAGGTGCGGGAACGCTTCGTCAGGCGCTACCAAAGACACAGAGGATCCCCAGACCACAAGGAACTTTGCCATCAATGACTCAGATTCAGAGACAGAGGTACCGAACAGGTTATTAGGGTTCTGCATGGCATCTAGTCGCACGAGGGCGTCTATACTTCCGTAGGAACGATCCGTCCCATCTAGAAATGCGACTAGTCTTTGCGTCTCTCGTATGAAGTCGGCGGCAGCTTTGCGTGGAGAATCCTCTTCGACCAGAGTCGGTCCATTGTTGTGTATCGTAGCGCCACTCCACCAATTCGCGTCATGTCCGTAATTCTGTTCTACAGAGGCCGGACATATTAGGGCATTGCGGACCATGGGAATATTTGCGAGGATCGTGAAAAGAGCTGGTAGATAATCGCCGGAAGCCAATGGCTTGATGAATGCTGGCTCATCGTCTTCGCGCTTTCTTGATTTGATCTCTACGTCCGGGATGGCCTCGGAAACTGTAGGTCCCGCAATTGTCAACGCCCATTGATTGGTGTCATAATGATTTTTGGTAGGAGGCCCAAAGTATGGAGCAATATTACCACCAAGGACTCCACTTTCCTGACCCGATATACCCATTGTAGAGCCACACCCTATGAAATCTTCAGCCTGCCTTCGACCATGACCTTTCTCGGATCTGCCAACACACCTGATGATGAAGGAACCATGTGCATCGCCGAGTCGACAGAGCGATGGCTAACACGAGATGGTGGTCTCGTTGGAGCGGTACTAGTATATCCCATACCTGCGTCGTCCACAGAGTCGATCTGAAAGGCTGAAGATCTTTTGTGAGATAGAAGTCCACTGTAGCCCAAAGAATGCATTCATCACCGGCACGTACCGGGAATGTTTCCATCCTGTGTCGAGTGACCATATCGATCTGAGGAGAATGCTGTGTCGTCATAACCAGACACGTCTGCGGTTGACTTGTATTGCTGGTACACGTCAATCCTAGCTCTATGGGAAGCTAGAGAGCCACTCCTACTGACCGACTGCTGGAGTGTGCCACTGTAGAACATATCAACCGCACGCTCGAGATCATGGTTCGACGCCTGTGGCAGATGTAGTCAGTCATTTTTTCTTCCAGTCAGAGCTTCTAGCATACCTGGAGGTGATCTAAGGCTTCTTGACTGGTCGCACATGTGATAGCGATAAAGTCGTGGATTTTGTCCTGTTCGACTATATTCGACATCTTGCGCTCCAGGAAGATGGCAGTCTAGGAAGATGTGCAGGGCTGGCGCCCAATATGGCTACGTGGTGAACAAAATCGGGCTGGAGCGGGTTACAAGAATGGCGGAGAGGTTGTGTTCCAATGTTGCTTAAGGTAGGTAGGAAGAAAAGGGTGAACGTGATGGGTAGGAGCGTTACAAAAAGTGATTGTTACTGCGATTAGGTATTTGATACTTCATGCCGAACGATGTCGCAGAAATCGCTGCTATGTTATTTCGCATAGCCCTGAGGACAGGACATTGACAAGCTTGCGCACGGGCGCTTGACGGGTGATCCGTATATCCATAGTTGCATGGGAAAGCTTGGCGCCTGATGCTGCGCTATGTCACCAACACGCGTTTTTATATATAATTAACATTTTACGACATTATTAATGAATACTTATATAACTATTAAAATACCTATTATATATTAGTATTATATGATATTAGCTATATATTAGTATCTTTTTAACTATTTTACGTTATCTATTATACCTTCTAAGTTACGTAGAGATATATAATTTAGATAGAATAACTTAATAGAACCTCTACTACTACCTTCTAGACTATAGCCACGTATATCTACGTTAAAGGCGCTCTAAAATAGTATAGATAAGATATTAAGGGCTATGAAGATAGCGACAAGGCGTAAAAATATACTACTAGCGCCCTCTATAGCTAAGTCTATACCCTTATTAAGCGACTCTCTAGCCTTACTAAGTAAGATACCTAGTAATATTAATAACTCTACTCTAGTTTACGGAGATTTAGCTAATATTAAAGAGAAGAATAAGCTCTAGAATAATAACACGGCCCTTAATGTTAGAACTTAGCCTTAGATAGAACCCGATCTACACGTACCTTAGCTAATAGGGTTAGAAGGTAATGTAAAGGGCGGTAAATAGTTACGTACTAGATAGATCAGCGTCCCTTTATATATATACTCTTAGATTTCTACTAAAAGGGTTTAGTAGTAATTCGTTCTATAATAGAATATACCCTATTATTCTATCTAACTATACTACTCTCTAATAACTCTATTCTTATATTTAAATTACTCTCTATATAGTACTATAGTTAAGATAGTCTAACTAGAACTAAGAAGGTTAACACGATCTACTATAGGGATAAGTAATACTATATTAAATAATAGAGATTCTCTATAATTAGTATTAATCCTAGCCGTTTCTAACTAAGAAGTAGAAATATTAGACTAAATTATAGAGCTTTTAGATAAAGAAATAGTAGAGACGCTAAGTAACTTCTAATAATATAAAGCTAGATAATAAGTTATAGCGGAGCCACGTAAGGTATTATAATAAACTATTACTAAACTTTAGAAATATATTACGAATTAGGCTTAAGAGATTTAAACTCTTAAAGAATAGATAGAATACGCGAAACTCCTTATAAAGAGACGAGAACTTAAGGAGTCTCTTAAAGAACTACGCCGAACGATAGTAGATAGACGACTTTCTATACTAATTTAGGCGGAATTAGTTTACCTACTATTAGAGTTATAATAATCTACTATATACCCGGCCGCTTCGTTACCGATTTACTCTACTTCTTCCCTAGATATACCAAAATCTAAAGACCCGACTATATTTATAGGGAAGAACTAAAAGGAGTAGAAAGACTAGAAGAGAGACTATAAAAAGTACTTCCTTAATAACCCTCTACTCTTTTCTACTAAAGTATAATATATTTCGTTTATAGAACGATATCTAGACTTATAATCCCGTAATTAATAGAATAGATAGAAGGAAGTATAGCTACTATCTACGATAACCTAGAAATATTTAGCTATATTTATACTAAATACCCTCGGAACAGATAGAGAACGTAAAAGAAAGGTACTATCTAAGTTAAGAAGTATAGTATAATAACCGAACTAGATATCTACTTAACTACTATAATACCTCTAAAACCTATAGAATAATATCCCTACGCTATAGGAAAATATTTATATATTCTAGTTTCGCGAAGTACTACTTCCGTTAATCTATAAAAGACTAGAAATAGTATTATTAAGTTTTAACTATCTATATAAATTAGAGAAGAAAGCTAATAAATACTACTGTATCCTTAAGGAACGTGGCTCTCTAGGTAAAACTGACGAACCCTATACGGGTTAGAAATAAGGTTGATTGAATATATTCGATTAAGAGTAACCTTACTGTGATTAGTACTAGAAGAGTGTAAATTGGGGTAGAAACGCGTTAAGAGGATACTAAAATAATTAAGGTGGTACTTCTTAACGTGGAAAAGGATAAGGTATAGACTTAAATATAACGTCTATTATAAAATAGTAGAATTATAGTATACTTCGTTACTATAAGTATAGAGAAATAGAATATATTTTACCTAACTATAAGAATCTAAAAAAAGAATAGGCTAGTATACGAGACCTAACCGCGTTCTTAGCTAAATTATATATACTTAGAAGGAGTCGTAGCGCCTTCTAGTAAGTAAAGACCTAATATTACTAAAAGTTTTATTACCTATAGTAAATAGTAATAAAACTATATAGGCTCTTATAGATACTAGTATAGAAGATAACTATATTTTATCGATTCTCGTAAAGGAGTATAGATTATTATATAATCTTAGTAAAGTTAGCTAAACTATCGTAGTTAATAGATATAAAGTTAGAATTTTAGATAAAGCTATAACGAATTACGAAGTTCATAACTTAAAGATAATAAAATAGTAGATATCTAATAAATTTATCGTGGCTAATATTAGCTAATAGAATATAATTCTAGGGATACCTTAGCTTAGATACCTAAACTCTATTCTTAATTTTTAGAAGGAGATATTAACGTTCTAATAATACTATAGTAAATTATACTAGTAAGTTATAACTATTAGTAAGAAGGTATAGAACCTCGCTATACGGACCCGATTATTACTAATCTATCTTACGTCCTTATTAATTATCGATAAAGATAAGAATAATAGTAATAATTAGAGTAAAGACACGCTATCTAACGTATATTCATAGTATGCGGATATGTTTTTAGTAGGAGATATATTACTTCTCCCTAATTACAGGCTATATAAGCTAAAGATTAAGCTCGAAGAGGGAGTAGACGTCCCTTATAGCCTACTTTACCTACTTTTAAGACTAGAACTTAAAGTTCTTTATAAATATATTAAAGAATACCTCGGAAGAGGCTAGATATATTATAGTATATTATTAGCTAGTATATCTATTCTCTTTATAAAAAAGAAAGAGAGAAGTTTACGTCTATACGTTAACTATTAGATACTAAATATAGTAACTAAGAAGAATCGTTATCTATTACCGCTAGTTAGTAAATCTTTAGACTAATTAATAAAGGTAAAGTACTTTATAAAGCTAGATTTATAAGATATATATTACCGGCTTTAAATTTATTATAGAGATAAGTAGAAAACCGCATTTCGGACTAGATATAGTTATTTTAAGTATACTATTATACTATTCGGGCTAATAAATACGCTAGAAGCGTTTTAAGAATATATTAATACTATACTTGTAGGATTACTTAACGTGATTTATGTAGTTTATCTTAATAATATACTAATTTACTCTGATAGTATATAGAATTATAAAGAATATATAAAATTGGTACTAAATTATCTAAGGTAGTATAAACTCTATGTAAAATTATCTAAATGTGAGTTTTACTAATAAGAAGTTAGGTTTCTTAGCTTTATTATAATATATAGCGGTCTAAAAATAGAGCCGGAGCGTATAAAGACCATTATAGAATAGCTAGAACCTACTACTATACGTTAAATTAGAATATTTATAGGTTTTATAAACTATTATTATAAATTTATTATAGACTTCTTACGAATTACGGCGCCGCTTAATAAACTTATAGAGAATAGTAGTAAAATCTCTATAGATAGGCGAGTATAGTATAAAGCTAAGTTAGTTAGGATATAGTTAATACTAGAAGCGCGAGATACGTTCTAATCATTAAAGAATTACTTTATAACTACGCCGATTCTTAGGTATTTTAATTCTAAGAAGTATATTTAGATTAAAACTAACACGTTAGAATTTATAATTACTAGAATTATTAGTTAACCGTATAAAGATACGAAAGATAAGGTATAATAGTATCTAGTCGCTTTCTTTTTCTATAAAATAGCGGATATAGAGACGCGTTATAACACGTACGACTAGAAACTACTTATAATTATTAAGAGTTTTAAGTAATAGCGATATTATTTAGAAGGCTCTATATATTAGATTAAATTATTATTAGATTATATAAATCTACGTTACTTTATATTAACTAAGGTTCTTAATTACTAATAAGTATATTAGGCTAAGTAGATATTAATATTTAACTTTAAAATCTTATATAAAGCTAGAAGAGAGAATAAAGCTAATCCTCTATCGTGGTGTAAAGATTATAAGAAATTGTTATAGAATGACGTAGATAGTTGGTATAAGTTAGACTATACTATACTTTAGATACTATAAGACTAGTTATCTAATAGAATGCTAGAAGCTAGGATACTTTCGGTGATTCTCTGTGGGAATTAGAGCGGGTATTAAGTAATCTAAATAAACGTCTAAGAAACTAAGAAAACCCTTAAAGACTTAATTAAATCTATCTAGAATTCCAATATATTAGTAAAGAAAGTTATAAGTATAAAAGGAAGTACTATAGATCCGCTATAGTTATTAAGGTAGAAATAATAATTAGACGCGATCTACTTCTAATGTTAGGACTTAGCCTTAGGTAGGACCTAACCTACACGTACCTTAGCTAACAGGGATAGGAGGTGACGTAAAGGGCGGTAAACAGTCACGTACTAGATAGATCGGCGTCCCTTTATATATATACTCTCGGATTCCTACCGAAAGGGTTCGGTAGTAATTCGTTCTATGATAGAATACACCCCATTGTTCTATCTAACTATACTACTATCCAATAACCCTATTCTTATATCTAAGGCCGACTCTACGTACTAGAAGACAGCTTATAAATCGATATTTTAAGGGAATAGTATAATTACGCGTTAGTAGAGTACTTTAGTATTATAAGGACGGTCGATTTA